CTACACCATGAAACATTGCACGTCGAGGCAGTCGGTGGTCGGGCATACGTAACACATGTCCCAGCCATCTCAACTGATCAAGTTTCACTACTTCATCAATCGATTTGCCATCCCTACCTAGTACTCGTTTCCTAACAACTGCATTACTTACCCGGTGGTCCCAGGATATACGAGCAATGCTTCGAAGACACCTATGATCGAACACTAGTAGTCTACGAATATCCTCTACTCTTATAGGCCATGTTTCACTTCCATAAAGTAGGACGGAGCGAACTGCTGCACAGTAAACCCGTCCTTTCATTGATAGACGTATATCTCGCCTACGCCATAAATGACGCAAGTTGGAGGAAGCTAGACGGGCCTTCTGTATCCGTGCTGAGATTTCGTCACATACTAGACCACAAGGGCTGATGAGACTACCAAGATAAGTGAAGTGGTCTACACGCTCAACTACTTCACTCCCTATCATTAGTTCAGGTGTCGATGCAACCCAATCCTGAAGTAACATTTTGCAATTCGAGGGAGAGAATCGCATTTCGAACATGCGTGCATAGTTGCTTATAGTGGTCAGAAGACTGCATGTTGTCAGCGTCTTCACCAAGTAAAACTATGTCGTCGGCGTATTCTGAGTCCACAAGTGAGCCTCCTGGTAAAAGTTCAACTCCTGGAGGTTTAGCTGATGAAAGTGCTATCTCTAAAAGTATGTCAATGACAAAGTTAAACAAGAATGGGGAGAGTGGACAGCCCTGACGAACGCCACTTGAGGTAATCAGTTCTGATGACAGTTCGCCATAGGCTCTAACGCGACCAGTTGTGTTCGAGTAGAGAGCCTTTATGAGGTTAATGTACTTCTTTGGTACTCCTTTCAGTGACAAACACTGCCATAGAACCTCACGATCAACGGAGTCAAATGCCGCCTTAAGGTCAAGAAATACTACTATTGTGGGACGTCTGAATTTGTGTCTATGTTCTAGGACCTGACGTAGGGTGAATATCTGGTCTATGCAACCACGTCCAGGTCGAAAACCAGTCTGGTTTTCTCTAGTCTGCTCTTCACGGGCTTTGGTTAGGCGACCTAGTATTATTGAAGCTAATATTTTAGACACTATATTAGTCAAACTGATCCCTCTGTAATTGTCACAGGAGGACTTTTGTCCTTTATTAGAGACTGGCACAATCAGTGATTGGGACCAGTCAGATGGAATTACGTCCAGTTCCCAGATTCTACCTAAGACCTCAGTCAATCTCACTGCTAGTACTGGACCACCATCCTTAAAAATCTCAGGGGTAAACTTGTCAGGGCCTGCGGCTCTCCCTCGCTTCAGATTTCCTATAGCTTTTGCAGCCTCGCAGAGGGTTGGAGGACTTACATCAATTTGCCATTCAGGACGACTGGGGATCGTGGGTAATTGAAGTGTGGCTAAAGGCCAGTTGAACTGACCCCTAAAGTGTTCTGCCCATCGATCCAATCTCCTGGATTGAGAATGAATAATATGCCCATTCCTATAATTGAAGAATATATAGAACTCTAGACAACTGTTTTTCAACCAATATCAATGTCACAATCTTAAATACGAACGTCAAGACAGTCCTAGTGTATGGAACTGAAACTTGGAGAAGTACTATAACCATCATCAAGAAGGTACAATTGTCTATACAAGACACTCAATATCCGTTGACCGGAAACCACCGGTAACAACTTTCTGTGGGAGAGGAAAAAGCAGGATTCTCAAAAACAACAAGGAAAACACCAACCCAATTACACTTGATGGAGAAACTATGGAAGATGTGAAATCTCTCATGTATCTGGGAAGTATCATCAATGAACAAGGAACATCCGATGTAGACGTAAAGGCGAGGATTCAGAAAGTAAGGGCCATATTCCCAGAATTTAAGAACATATGGAACTCAAAACAACTGTCAACTAATTTCAAAATGAGAATTTTCAAAACGAATGTCAAGACAGTTCTACTATACAGAGTTGAAACAAAGAGAACTACTACAATAATCATCAAGAAGGTACAAATGTCTATGGAAGATACTCAATATATGTTGACTGGAAACCATCGGCAACAGCCTACTGTGAGAGGGGACAAACCAGCTTTTAGCTGAGGAGGAAATTATGAAAAGAGGTTGGAAGTGGATAGTAAACGCATTAAAGAAATCACCAAACTGCATGACAAGGCAAGTGTTAACTTGGAATCCTGAAAGGAAACGGAAAAGATGAAGACCAAGGAACGCATTACATCGAGAATTGGAGGCAGACATGAGAAGAATGTATAGGAACTGGAAAAACTGGAAAGGATTGCCTAGGACAGAGTTGGATGAAGAATGCTGGTGAGCCGTCTATGCTCCTCCACGAGTTGTAACAGGCGTCAGTAAGTAAGTAATTAAGTTAATAATTAACTGAGAGAATATTGTCATTTCATCATATAATAACTATTTTTATTTGATCTTTGATTTATTATCAAGTCTATAATTTAAAAAAAATTAATTTCTGTATACTTATTGATGATACATTCATGATGTTACCAGTGGATAACACCTATATCTGAATTAAGTTAAGTTGAATATTATGTTTGACAAATGTAAATCAGTGTAGTGGAGAAGAATTTTAACTCAGGTGGATGATTTTGATGGAGTTTTGTTCTCTGAGTTGGATGGTTTGGTCGTGGAGCTTACAACGATGTAAGCTCCATATTAAAATGAAACGGCTATCTCGTGCTTTCATGTTTTTAATAGTGATCTAATTGGAATCAGCTCATGATTTCAAATGAATCCGCTTGTGTACCTGCTTTGTTTCATTAACCATAAGGTTGAGATCAACCTAAAAACTACTATCATAATACCTTCTATTCTAAAATTATTGTAATTGGAATCTGATCTTTATACTCTATGTCCTCTTACTGTAATCCCTTATTTAGGTAATAACAGTATTTTCCATCGCATTTGTGTGTTATGGACCTGTTATTCCCGTGTTTATTCTGATAATATTTTTGATAGTTGAAATCATAAGTCAATTGAAGCTAGACCACCATGGAAAACCTGGAAGCACTGGATGGCCGTTTCATCCTACTATGGGACTCACTGAAGACAATTGGTGAACGATTGCTCAAACTTTGTGGATTTGTTGAAGTTAGACATTAACACAGTTGGATGCCGGCTAGCCAAGTGGTTTATCGGCTAAGTACTCGCATACGAGACTGGTAGGTGCTGGGTTCGCAACTCTCGAGATGGGATCTTAGATGCGCACTGCTGAGGAGTCCAACAATAGGACTTCCAGGTTTTCGATGGTGGTCTAGCTTCAATTGACTCATGATTTCAACTATGAAAATAGTAAAATCTCCACAAAACCCCTTCTAAAACTTTTGAGTTAGTTAAACCAGATAAAGAATTGGATTTCGAGTTCCTGCTTTAATCGTTTCTTTTCCTCACTTGTCAACCGGCCGGTTGATTCAAGTGAACAGAGACGTTTGCATAAATTATTCGAATCGACAGATTACTGTTGTTGCTTCAAAAGACAAATCGTCCAGTCAACTCGGTTACTTCAAGATTGCTTCAGTTAAGGAGAAGCGGTGGTCTAGTCGTCATGGCGTTTAAGTTTCAACCATTAGGTTCTAAGTTCGAACCTTCGTTTGCTAATTTTGTTATGTTTTCCAAGGTCATTAAATGTCGCTATAAAATAAAGTTGTTCTTTTACAAATTTGACCTTCTACAGAATGCAAAGTTATCCTGTATATTTAGTTTTTCATTTTATTGTGTGGATAATTAAGCTAAAATGCTGTCGTCTAACAGACGTCCAGTTTATTGGAGTCCCCATTCGCTGCATCTCAGTCATTAGCAAAAGAATTATCCGTAATCCAACCGGCAATTCCAATAAGCTACTTGTTCTTGGGGAAAAAATAACACTTTGAGATTAAAACAAACATGCGGCAAAACTGTTGAAAAGAAGGTAATGATTTAAATTTAGGTGTCAGTAATGTTTCTACCTTTCGGCAAAACATCATAAATTACTTCATTTAAATAACTACTAATCACCAGGATTCATCGGTTTAATACCACGAGAACGAGAATGAACTGGGCAGTTGTTTCCTACCGATATGGAACTCTTTAATAGTGCCAACACACGACCTATTCAGATCACACAGCGAAGGATTACCGTAAAACCATTGAATTGGTATTCAGTTTCAATCAATTCGAAGTATCATACAGCCATCACCCATTATCATGATCAATGTGACTGAGTTTCAATGTTTATATGTTCTCATTAGAAATCTTGGAATTACATCTTTAAGTTAGTTATTATTGACCATGTCATAAATGTTGTTATTACAGGGTTAATTGAGATTGTGAAACTTTCAGTTTTAAATGATGATTGATTATGGTTTGAAAAAAACCCATTCAAAAACCAAACGAGAGTGGGAAACTATTTCTTTCCAGTATAACACTGCTCAGCAGTGAGCATCCATGACTTCAACAGAATTTGATATCCAGTTTTTATTTATTTATTTAAACACATAAATATTGGTACAAGGGGGCCACCAGATATATATGTGCCACACAAAACAATGAGAAAGGGAAGAGAAAAGGGGTAAGATGCATATATAAAGAAAATAAGTGGAATGATGGGGGAAAGTAAAAAAAACCTACAACCAGTTAAGGAAGTTATAACCAATCTTTATGAAGAAAGTAAAAGAAAGTTACAGCACGATCGCAACTGGTTTCTATTCTGAGCCATATCTCATAACGTCTCTAGCCAATGTGTTACACCATCTCTTGGACCTCAGCCAGGGAGTCGTGAAGGACCAAGAGAAGCTAGCCCTTTGGAGATTTCTTTCATATTAGTACATTGTATATCTAAATCTTATCCATTTTCAAAAGTCCTCTATCTAGAGTTTCTTGAATTTTAATGATTCTTTAATTAGACTTAGTCTACTATACTACCAATAATAATGATAATTGTTTCGAAACTGAGAAATCAGAAGATTAACACAGACACATACATACACATATATATCTAATTTCTTACAAAGATGGTTCCATTGTATACATCGATATCCATATACAATTATACTGACAATAGTCCCTTGCATATACACACATGGTATTATACATGTCAAAATAAAGAATGGTACCATGTCACTATTCAACTAGGTAATAGTAATAATAATCATTACACATATATAGAAGAAAACTGACAATGATTAGTAAATTTATATAAACCACGTGTTGCCATGACAATACACATTTAATTTACAAATAGATCATCTTACTTTTTTATATTATGATGTTTTCATAACTGAAATACAAGACTACCCTCCACCTCATTGTCCTGCTCCTCCTCGTTGTTCTCATCCTCTTCTTCCTCCTCCTCCTCCTCCTCCTCGTCATCTCATTTTGACTGGATAATATTTACTTTCAATCTTGAACTATTTCTGAAAAAAAGAAGGTATTGGTCTACTCACGCACACACACACACACACAGATTTACACACATACGCACATACACATGCACACAATAGCCCATTTCAATAAGATTTTTTCACTTATTATTAATATTGAATATTGAATACAACAATTGGTTTTTTCATTTCTTCATTGCTTCATTCCTTCATTCAATTACATAATGAATTGTAAAAATTTTCATAGAACTCAATCTACTACTCATAATCATCATCATAATCATGATCATTTAAGTAAACGTCAAGTATATGCTCATAATTATATCAATTTAAATGGGGATAAATTTCCCCATCATCATCATCATTATTATTGTCATAATCAAATTTGTTCTACCCATTATAAATGGTATAATTTTATAATTAAAAATTTATATGAACAATTTCATAATATTGCTAATTTATATTTTTTATTAATTATAGTTACATATTACTTTGTTGATCATGTTGGTAGTGTCACAGTGACAATTATGCCTTTAATAATATTAATTAGTATTACAATGATTAAAGATGGTATTGATGATTTATTACGTTATCGTTTAGATAAACAATTAAATTCAATAAAATATTTATTATTAAATATTGATTTTAATCGAAAATCAATAAAATGGATTTATAAAAAAGCTTCATTAATAAATGTTGGTGATATTATATGTTGTTTTAATAATCAATCATTTCCATGTGATTTATTATTATTATATTCATCATATTCTAATGGTTATGTTTATATTAATACAATAAATTTAGATGGGGAAAATAATATTAAAAAATATAATACATTAAAACAATATCAACAGAATTATGCCAAATATATTATGACTACTACTACTAATACTACTGATAAGAATAATAATAGTAGTATTGATAATAATGATAATTTTAATGAAAAACAATATGATGAATTGAATTTTCAATCTATGATTAAACATTTATATTTACAAGTTATATGTGAACAACCAAATGAAAATTTAACAAGTTTTCAAGGTTATTATAAAACTGCTCAACATTTAAATACTACTCCTGATGAGGATAACAATGATGGTCATAATAATGACGAAATATGTTTTCCATTAAATTATAAAAATTTAGTATTACGTGGATCAAAATTAATCTCTACAAATTATATTATTGGTTTAGTTATTTATACTGGTAAAGATACTAAATTATCATTAAATAGTAATAAAAATTTAAAAAGAAAATATAGTACTCGTGAAAATTTATCTAATATTATATTATTAATTTTTATGGTTGCCATGGTAACTATCACATTATTGTTTACTATCTTATCTATAATATGGATTAAAAATAATAATAAAAAAATATGGTATATTGATTTTGAATTATTAACAATATGGCAATTTATACGTACAATTATACGTTTTTTATTTATAATTAATTATTTAATTCCAATATCTATTATAGTTACTATTGAATTTCAACAATTGTTGCTAAGTTATTTTATTACTAATGATATTCATATGTATAACCCTATAGAGAATATTAGTAGTCATGCAAATAATTCACAATTAGCTGATGAATTAGGACAAATTAAATTTTTATTTTGTGATAAAACTGGTACATTAACACAAAATTTTATGGTTTTATATTCATGTTGTTTATTAAATAAGGAAGAAGTTTATTTATGTGATACTCATACTACTTATAAGGATGCTACTGATAATCCTACTACTTATAATGCTACTACTGATAATCATACTACTTATAATGATCATAGTAGTAATGATAATAATAGAATAAATTTATTATCTAAAGAGAATTCTTATATCAAATATTTAAAATTACCGGATATGAATAAAGATTTTCGTGATTTTTTAACAGTGATTACATTATGTCATACAGTTGAATTAAAAAATTATAATAAATTAAATGATACTACTGAAATGGATCTTCATAATGGTAATAGTAATATAGAACAATCATCTATGAATAATTATGAACCATGCAGATATTATGAATATGAAGTAAGTTTTTTTGTTGTTGAAAATAATCGATTTTATTATTATTAATTGAAAAATAATTTTTAAAAAAAACAAAGACTGATAGGTTGTGGGTTCGAATCTTGTGAGGTGGGATCGTGGGATGCACACTGATGAGGAGTGTAACAATTGGATGAAACGGTTATTAAGTGCTTTCAGGTTTTTCTACGGTGGTCTAACTATAATTGATTCATTGGGAAAATTAGAATAACATATATTGGTGAACCACATTGTTTTCAATGAGATCATAGTTGAACACTGCTGAGGAGTCTAACAATAAGACGAAACAGCTATTCAATATTTTCAGCTTTTTCTATGGTGGTCTCTGTTATGACTTGACCTAGCCGTCGCCAATTTGCTATGTTTTTGACCTAGACTGTAGCCAATTGTTATGACTTGATCAAGGTCGCCGCTGATTCGTTATGACCTTACGAATTTAACAAGAACGTAAGTCGCGTAAATTATCCACCAATAGAATACGACTTCTACGACCTACACACTGTGACAATGACGTCCGACTAATATGAGTAATCTAGCGTCCTTATTGGTCCTTGTCAGCCTAACCCGTCCACTTGAGTCTAAAACACCAATAGCAGCCTCGGCAATACGAATAGTTTATTTCAAGCATACTATAAAATAGAAAATAATATTTGTACAAAACCAAGCCAAATGAGGCTGTAAGCGTGGGAGACAATAATCAATAAACTGATTATAACATAGGGACAGTAAATCATATAGTAATAATCAATAGGTCAAAATGAAGCTTACAATAAAATGAATATAGATATAGATAATCTAGTTACCGAATAGTTATACAATAAGAATGATAGTCCAATAGTAGGTCCTGCAAGTTACCCGTACTTATGTCTTCGCTACTACATAACAGTCTCATTGTGAAAAGTAGAATGATACATATAAGTGAACAATATTGTTTTCAATTAGACCGTCATCATCAAGCTTTACTCTAATATATATGAATATTTATATTGAAAATGTTAAACCAATCAAGGTAATTTAAGTCGATAATAACAATTAAGAAATAGATTATGTCACCGATCATAATAGATGAAAGTATATGTGGATAGTGGGAAGACAAGTATGCTGGTAGTAGTAAGAATATTGAATTACGATAACAAAAGTCTTATCAACAGTTGAACATTGGAAATAGGAGGTCCAATGTGGATAAATAAACTTAGAATAGTCATCAGAAAACATTAAAATCATTATGTAATAAGAGGTATGTAAATAATTAGACAGTGAAGAATATAAACGAAAAGAGACCTATATGAGACTCATCAGATGGATTGAACTTCATCCCAGACTTCTTGATGCTTATTCTGGAACTCGATCGCAACACCGTTCGTATTATTCAAATAGGATGAAACGTGCATTCTGAATTCCACTGCTAGCCACTATCCATCTTTCCTTATAATGCTTGTAAAATTAAAGCTATATCGAGGCAATACGCACAGTATGTACATATGCAAATAAGAGACTGATCCACTGTAATCCTAAAGAACAATGAGAAGATACAAGTAAACAACACTAAGTGAATGTCGTTTGTTAAATTATATCTGGCTATGGAAGGGATAGGGGGTTTACAAATTTCTTCTGCATACATAAGTTGGGGTGAAATATACAAATTCCAATGGCTTCAGCTGTATAAAGGAGGCGGGGACGAACTCCGTTAGGAAAGAATTTCGATTTATCTATTTCATTATGATTATTGACTTAAATTACCTTGATTGGTTTAAACATTTTCGTATCAATATTCATGTCTATTATAGTAAAGCCTGATGATGACAATCTAATTGAAAACAATATTGTTCTTTAATATATGCTGTACACTAAAAAGAATTCAATGAAGAAAATTCTTTTTTTGACAAAATCATTTACTTGATCAGGTTCATTTGCATTTATAGTTATTGTGCAAAATATCAGGAACGGTTTTTGTGGATATTAAAGTAATTTTAATAGTTGAGATCATGAATCAATTGAAGCTAGACCATCATGGAAAACCTGACAGCACTGGATGTCCATTTGGTCCTAATATGGGACTCCTCAGCAGTGCGTATCCACAACCCAGCCTAGCGAGAGTCGAACACAGAACCTATCAGTCTCGTGTACGAACGCTTAACCTCTAGAACCACTGATCCGGTATCCAACTGCGTTAATGTCTAACTTCAACCAATACACGAAATTTTTAGACACATTCACTATTTTCTTCAGTGTGTTACTATCTCACAACAGACCTGGTTGAACTCCACTGGTCACTGCTTCTCACTAGAACTCCAGGAAATACCTCTTGAACCTAGTCACTAGTGAGAATATTTTGGATAATATCAGAAGGGAGTTTTGTGAATATTATAGTAATTTTAATCGTTGTCCAGTTAACAGATATGAAGAAAAAACGACAAACATAAAGATTATAATAATATAAACTGAATAATAATAATATTAGTGCTCATCCAAGATCCCGCTTCGCGAGATTCGAACACAGAAGTCCCACAATAAGGCGAAACAGTCTTCCAGTGCTTCCAGGTTTTCCATGATGGTTTAGATTCAATTCACTCATGATTCCAATACATAAAATTACTAGTCTCCACAAAACCCCATTCTGGTAATAACAATCAAGAAAACTTGTTTAAAGGTAATAATAACTGATTACAGTTGAAAATGAAAGAAACGCTAATTTTAGAAAAATCAATAACAATCAAATAAAAAGGAAAAAAAGGGAATAAAAATTGAAACATATCACTAATGGGAATTAGAGTCAAGGAAGGATGACAGGTTGGACGATGCCTACAATATTTTATTTTTATTTAATTTAAACACATGAATATTAGTACAAAGGGACACCGAATACATATGCGACACACAAGTCACTTGATATGTGTGTGTGTGCTATGATACTGTTCGGGTACCCAAACAGAAGCAGGTGGTTTTCTTAAGGGGCCACACCCGGAGCCTTTGACCTAAAGGTCTAATCCACAAGGCAGTGGAACAACGTAAAGAGATACAGTCACATGGTAGTTTATAACCAACGGTTGATTCATACTCTATTTGTTCCCTCAGGATCCTGCAACCCATGTGCACAGCTGATTTAGAATCAGTGTTTTCCAACTCCCCTAGGTGGATTCTCTATACCCACCAAACCGGTTAAAAGCGCCCGACATTCTCTTTTCAACCTCTCTATTACGTAAACAACACCTCTACCCCATGGCATGAAATTAAACAATTCAGATATACTGTAGTGAATGAGAACACAATTTGTGACAATCAAATGTATTTGAACACATGATTACAGAACGTCTTTGTAAAATCTGAGAACCATAGTAAATAGTCCCACACTTGATCGTTCCTTCGTTTTCACACCAATCATTTTCTATTCTCGTTGTCTTTTCTTTCATTTTCTTAACCCTCTTCCTCCAGGCATTTCACTTTATATTAATGATACATATTACTTATATCTATCGAAATCAGTAGCAAGCATCACAATACTAGTTGACATATTATGTGCAGAAAAAATTAGGTTGTATTCAATTTTTTTGCAATCTTAACTACATTCTGACTTATTTAAAATTACAATTTCAACATATTTTCCGAAAAAAATTAGTCCTTAAAATAACCATGAATATTCAGCTTACTTACTTACTTACGCCTGTTACCCCCAATGGAGCATAAACCGAGGACCATCATTCTCCAACTCACTCTGTCCTGGGCATTCCTTTCTAGTTCTATCCAGTTTTTGTTCATTCTTCTCATGTCTGTCTCCATTTCTCGGCGTAATGTGTTCTTTGGTGTTCCTCTTCTACTTCGCGCCTTCAGGATTCCATGTGAGAGCTTGTTTTGTGACGTAGTTGACTGCTTTTCTCAATGTGTGTTCTGTCGACTTCCAGCGCTTCTTCCTGATTTCTTCCTCCACTGGAATCTGGTTTGTTGTCTCCCACAGTAACTTGTTGCTGATAGTGTCTGATCAACGGATCCAAAGTATCTTGCGTAGACAACTGTTAATAAACACTTGTACCTTCTGGATGATGGCTTTCATAATTCTCCACGTTTCCGCCGCATACAGTAGAACAGTGTTGACGTTTTTATTGAAAATTCTTATCTTGGTGTTGGTTGACATTTGTTTGAGTTCCAGATGTTCTTCAGCTGTAAATATGCTGCTCTTGCTTTGCCGATCCTCGTCTTCACATCTGCATCTGATCCACTCTCTAAAAAAGCGCTAACCAGGAACATAAACTACCTGTATCAACTACTGAAAATTTAGGTTTTTAACTATTGAGATCAAGGTTTATTTTTACTTCAGATTTCGATTTGTAATGCTGCATGGTTTGAACATTTTTATTGATAAGTTAATGGGTTCTGTGGTTGAATTACTATGTGTTAAACATTTGAATATTTTCCCATCGTTATTTTAGTTTGCTCATTAGTATTCAAAGCAATTTCTTCGTTATTATTTAGTTAGATCACTTTGATTAAATCAGTTTTTATCAGAAGGAGATTTTGTAGAGGATTTAGTAGTTTTATAGTTGAAATCGTGAGTCAATTGAAGCTAGACCACCATGAAAAACCTGAAAGCACTGAACAGCCGTTTCATCTTTTCATGGGACTCTTCAGCACTGCCCATTCACGATGCAGTTTCGCAAGATTCGAGCACAGTACCTATCAGTCTCGCGCGTTAGCGCTTAAACTCTAGACCACTGTGAGATAATAACTCACTGAAGACAATGGTGGACGGTTGCTCAAAATCACTTTTATTGCAAGTCAATTTATACAGTGTATTTGTGGTGTGTGCTGCTGATGTCGTTAGATATAAGTAGTATGTATCATCAACCGAAAGTGAAATGTCTGACTGCAGAAGGTCAAAAAGATCAAAGAAAAGAGAGCGAGAAAAGAAAATAACTAATGTGGAAATGAAGGAATAGTCAAGCCTGAAACATTTGATTAATATTTTACTAAGAGATTCAGTAATTTTATGTTCAAATACATTCGGTTGTACTCATTGATTTTCTCATTCACTGTTCATATAAAACTAAAAAATTTCTGTACTATTGACGACTGCTTAGTTATAAATCAAATGCCATGGTACGACCGAGAGTGTGGAGAGTCCGCTCTCCCTCTCCAAATGCTCTCACATGGCCACTCGTATACAACAATTGTCAGGGAAGTCCTACTCACTGCCTTCTCCTGGCGGGGGTGTTGTTTGTGGTGTTGTCTACTTATATCCATATAAGTAGTATATGGCGTGGGTCTGACATAGAATGTATTTTGGCAGAAGACCGATGAGGAGAGAACTGAAATGAAGCGCAATCGTTTGGAAAATGCATGAGCAATGGAATTAGAGAAGAAACAGTGAAGATTGAAACAATTGGTTATTAATTTGCAAATTGACTGTTCATTGTTTGGTTATCAGAATTTACCGAGATAGTTTGTAATGTTTGCTTAAATACATTCGATTGTCCCCAACTAGTGTTTTGTTCGCTACAGTTTACGCAATTGAGAGGACAAAAAGCCAATGTCCGGCGCTTTAACCGGGTTAGTGGATGCGGAAAGTTCACCTAGGGGAGTTGGAAAACCTTCATTCCAAACCGATGGTGCACATAGGCTACAATATCTTGAGGAAACAAATCGAGTATGAAGCCGTTGTTGGTCACCAACTCCCATGGAACTGCATTTCCTCTCGATGCTCCATTGTTTTGTGGATTAGACCTTTATGTCAAAGTCTCCATGTGTGTCCCTCCTAAGAAAGTCATCTGCTTCAGTTTGGGAACCTGAGCAGTATCATAGCCCTCACCCAAATCAAATGAGATTTGTATGGCGCATATATATCTGATACCCATTTGTATCAATAATAATGTGTTTAAATAAATAAAACTATTTTTCATAAAACTACTGAAAAGTTCTTGTTTATCTTTCTTGTAATAAAAACAAAAAAATTTTGTTTTTCATTTGAAGGCAACATCATCTGATGAGAAAGCATTAGTTGAAGGTGCTTCAAAACTTGGTGTTGTATTTTCCGGTAAAGAACCTGATTTAAATGAGACTGATTCAAATCGTTTATATATTGATTATTGGTCATATTCATCATCATCATCATCATCATCATCATCATCATCATCATCATCATCATCATCATCATCATCATCATCATCATCATCATCATCATCATCATCATCATCACCATCAACAACAACAACAAAAGATGAAAAGTTTATAAATCGTCAATGTTATATTGTGGATGCTGTATTAGAATTTGATCCAATTCGTAAACGTATGAGTGTTATGGTACGTTATCCTGATGGAACATATTATGTATTAAGTAAGGGAGCAGAAAGTGCAATGTTAGATCCTGAGGTAATTTTCACTTTATTGATTATTTGTTTGTTTGTTTTTAGTATATCATTAGTTTCGTAACAAAATGACATCAATTAAGGCACCATTGAATAATTGTTTCGGTTTTATACGACGTTTCCATAATAGTTGGAACCTACAACACTCTCTAGGACTTTACTTGGTATTCTTTGTATGGATCTTCCCACTGATGTTTTTAGGACTTTAACTGGTTAGTCTCAAATTGGCATAGGTGCATACTGTGCATATTGCCTCGATATAGCCAGTTGCAGTCCTAAAAACATAAATGGGAAGATCCAAACAAATAATAATAAGTAAATTTCAACTTCACCCCATTGCACAAGCAAGTGGCTATCAGGACTCAATGGCTGAGTGGATAATGCGATGGCGTTTGAAGCGAAAGGTACTTGGTTGGAGTCCCAGAATGAACGTCAAATCTGAGATGCAGGTACATCCAGCTGACGAGTTCCAAATAGGACGAAACGCGCGTCCTGGATTCCCCTGCTAGCCATTATTCATGTTTGCTTACTCCCTAGGACTATTGGAAGGACTTTGAGATATCTGACTTAACATCTAATGGTCAACATTTTCAATTTCAAGCAGTCCACCATTGATTATGGTGAGTTTTTAAAGACACTATTAATAATTGTCTGATTTTGTATGTGGCTCGACCCTAATTTTTAATACTTAGTGATGCCTCCACGTTTATTAATTTCATTTCATTTATTAACTAAAGATCCGTGTACTTAAGCATGAACTACACTTCAAGTGTGGGAGCTATTGAAACTGACCGCTTATTATAACCTAAGTAGAGATGAGTTTTAACATTATATTTAGTTTATTACATTTGAATACCCTAAGCATTGAGTTACCACACCCTAACAATAAAGATTCAATCTTTTTAAGTTCGTGAATTGATGGAAGCTAGACATTAATCCTGCACGCGCGTTTCGTCCTATTTGAAACTCGTCAGCTGGATGCATTTTTCATATCTCAAAAGTGAACGAATCGCACGTCTTGTATTCGACTGCGAGCCACCATCCATCCTTGTTGATAAGTTTTCTTCTACATTTTTTAGACACCATAGATTTTCTTTTAGTATGATTCACTGTGGTATTATCCAACTGAATAGGGCTAGCCCGCAAGACTGGTAGGTCCTGGGTTTGAATCTCGCAAGGCGGGATCGTGGATGCGCACTGTTGAAGAGTCCCACAATAGGACGAAACGGCCGTTCAGTGCTTCCAGGCTTTTTATAGTGGCCTAGCTTTAATTGACTCATAACCATCATTTGTTTATCAAAATTACTCAACTATGTCACTCTTTCTTATCAGATAACATAATCATTAATAATCAGTAAAAATGAAAGTCATAAAGTAATTAATACTGTCTTAATTTGGTTGAATATTTCCATTTCATATGTAACCAAATATTGAAATATAAACTCCATTGAGAGTAACAGGCGTAAGTAAGTAGGTAAGGATTCTAGAGAATGTTGAAATCATGAACCGATCTAATTTAAACAGCCATCGAAGAACTTCAAGCATTGAAAGGCTGTTTTGTCCTAGTATGGACGTATATACGACCGTACAATCCAGAATCTAAACCGGGAACTTCAGTCTCACGTGAGAACGTTTAACTTCTAGACCACTAAGTCAGGAACCAATGGTGTGAGACTAATGTTAATCAGTCGACGATATTATACGACAATGTTTCATTGTCTTCGATGGATACCTTCTTAACACCCCATACTGTTCAGCTTCACTGATAGCTCCTTATCACTAGAGCTTTAGGAATTTCCTCTCAAAGCCAGACACTAATGATCACATGATATGTGTTAGCATGTGATTGTGGAGATTGCCGTGTGGAGTGCCATACTGGAGCAAAGTAGCTATTCAGAACTCCCAGGTTTCCTATAGTTATCTAACCTCTACAGTTTCTTGATTGGAATAAAAATTAGAAACAGTGTCCTTTATTATCCAGTCAACAATCGATGGTGAGAAGTTAGCGATTCAGTTGAGTGTTTATCGTAACTATTTTTCATTCTATCAGCATGATATGAAAATGTTCAAAAAAATTAGCTGAATATAATCAAGGATCTCAATTTCAGCAGAGATAATCAGGTGATCTCTCAATTTCGTGGATCGATTGAAGTTAGAATTAGACACTATTCGATCCCATCTCATTTGTTTAGAAATTAAGCCTTCAAGTGTGAAACTAAAGATTTTGGGCTCAAGTCCCACGTGCGAGATCCCAGATATGTATTGATGAAGACTCTTATACTAGAACGAAATGCCCTTCTAGTACTTGGAGCGTTTCAGTGGTTGTCTAGCTGGAAAAAAGTAATGTTTTCTACATTAAGATCAATCATATCGATTATCTTTATCAGTTGGTTGTTACTTTCTTTTTTATATCATAGCACCTATAAATCACTTTTATATAATAAACCATTAACTGAATCATTGATAGACGACTTGTTAAGTAAACCCATGTAATTAAACACACATATAGTCTATGTTCTATTTAAAGTATTACATCAATCTTTATTTCATTGGCATCAATCAAGTTATTATGGAAGAATAATCCATCATAGTATCATAATTGTCATTCGTGATAAGATTCTATTTGAATATTGACATTTTTCATTTAAAGTTATCAAATAATGTAAGTTGAAAACAGTCGACATTTCGTTATCCTGTTTATACTACTACTAGTAAGTAAGTAAGTATTACTACCTCTACTAATACTACTACGACTACTACTACTACTACGACTACTACTACTACTACGACTACTACTACTACTACTACTACAACGACTAATACTACTACGACGACTACGACTAATACTACTACTACTACGATCACGACTACTACTACTACGACTACGACTACGACTACTACTAATACTACTACTACGACTACTATATATGTATATTCTTATTCGAAAACTTTAAATTAAGTAGATTATATCTATGTATATTTCTGTTATTATAAGCTTCCATTTAACCTATAGACTATTATTAAACAATTTACTATACTTAAAGCAATTAGTCTCTTTGATCAATTTCGATAGTGTAAATAAGAAGACGAAGATTATCAGAACTATGTGATGAGATAAGCAAAGATGGATAGTGGGACTCGTCAGCTGGATTTACCTGCATCTCAGTGTTGATGTTCACTCTGGGACTGAAACCCAGTACCTTTCGCTTCAAACGCCATCGCTCTATCCACTGGGCCACTGAGTTTTGAGATATTGGCGCAATACATTTCAAACAATCTGACCACACATAGTATACTTGTTAAGAACATTTATATAGAAGAAATATAAAACAACAACTAGACAGCGATAATAATAATAATAATAATAGTGTGAAAACAATTTGTCACCTAATCACTCTGGATAATAAGCTGATATTACTAGGCTAGGTTTAGGAAGAGAATAAAATGTTTTTGAATATCAGAAGGCGTTTTTGTGAATATTTAGTATTTTTCATAGTTGAAAGCGTGAGTCAATTGAGGCTAGTCCACAATGGAAAAACTAGAGACACTGGACGGCCGTCTCGTCTTATTATGGGACTACAGAGCAGTGTGCATCCACGAACACGCACCCGCGAGATTCGAACCCAGGACATACCAGACCCGAGCCAAAGCCTTTAACTGATAGACCAGCAAGCTGGCATCCAACGGTGTTAATGTCTAATAGACAAAGGGGGTTTTAATTTTCATATGGCTAAGGCTTCAATAAACCTTAGTATACGCCCTTTTACACTTTTATGCAACACCACAAAAGCCGAGTTAAGATCAATCTTATGACCTGTTTCGATTATATGTTTAGCAATAGAGGATGATGGATGTTTGTTTATCCTCTACTATTGTTGGCTCATTTGATTTCATTTGTGTTTGCAACCATTTCGGTACATGTTCACCCACCCTAATTTTCAGATCACGATTGCTCCTCCCTATGCATGTGTGACCACACATACATTTAAATTGGTAAACACAGTGGGATGTGACACAACCGTTTTCATGTCATTTAGGTTTTGAATGAAGCATTTTGTATGTGTGAAATAGCCCCCGAATGCCCTGGTATGACCGAGAATATGGAGGGCCCGCCATCTCTTTCGAAATGCCCTCACATGGCCACGCATATACAGCCACTGTCAGGGAAGTGCTACACACTGCCTCCTCGTGACGGGGGTGTTGTTTACAAAACTGAGAGGACGAAAAGCGAATGTCCCGAGATTTAACCGAGTTGGTGGATATGGAGGATCCACCTAGGGGAGTTGGAAAACCCTGATTCCAAACCAATGGTGCACATGGGCTCCAGTATCCTGAGGTAACAAATGGCGTACGAATTAATCGTTGATCACCGGCTACCATGGGACTGCATCTCCTCACGATGCTCCACTGCCTTGTGGATCAGACCTTTATGTCAAAGCCTACGGGTGTGGCCCCCTCAGAAAACCACCTGCTTCAGTTCGGGCACCTGAGCAGTATCGTAGCCCTCACACAAATCAAATGAGATTTGTGCGGTGCATATTTATCTGGTGCTTCATTGTACCAATATTTATGTGTTTAAATAAATAAAATATGGCCCCCCAAGAAAACCACCTAATTCGGTCTTGGCACCCGGGCAGTATCATAGCGCCCACATAATTAAGTGAAATGACAATTTTTGTGTGGTGCATATACATGTGGTGCCCCTTTGTACCAATATTTATGTGTTCAAATAAAATAAAATAAAAATTAGTACTATAATTGTGAACGTGTATGTTATCCTATTCAAGAGTAAACAGTTAGGAAGACATACCGGCATCTTAGATGACTTCAACAATGTAATGACATATGATAGCTATCACCCTTCAACTAACGTATTGATGCTGGCGATAATAAGGTATCTTTTTAAAGATCACATATTCTATCACATGTTTATCTATTGTAAACTTTGAAAGGCCATAGTGTCGAAATAAGAATCTTCACAGTTACTGAAAGAACTTTATTAGAACTGTGAACAATGGTACCAACTTATTTGTGATCTGATAACTAAATACTATGTTTATAGGTTATATTTATGATAAACTGATCTTAGTTGGAGTATCTTTGAGAATCAAGGATCAATCAACAACTGTTTAGTCTGCGTATGAGACTCGAGTATGCGTACCAACAACTACGCTAGAGAATAACCCCAGGTCCTTGAAATTTCATGATGAATGAGTAGCCATTAGAATCAATTTTTCACTTTTAAGTAGAGTTGGAAAGTGGCTTGAATTGGAATTCAGGACGCATATTCTATCCTATTCGAGACTCATCATTTGGATGTACCTACAACCATGTTGATATTGTCATGGGGACTCGTACTCAATAGCTTCCTCTTCAAATATCCAAAGCATTATCTACAGCTTTACTACACCCAGGGAGCCAATCATGAGTGTAACGGTTTGAATTTTCAATTCATCCATAATGTCCGTTTAAATCTTCTCCCTGTTGGTGTTAAGGAATGCAGCTGATCAGCTTTTTTTAGGATATACGATTTTTGTTCTGATTTCCTCGTGGTAAACAAGATCCATACATTTCAAAAGATAGTGACCAATTGCAGACCTCGACAAAAACAAAGAAAAGTTCCAAGTAACCTTTACAAATGAATTTCAGCGGTACAATTATTTGTTTACAAATTCTAAGAAGCAAAATTCATTGCATTGTTAATCTAGTAACCTTACTTACTTACTTACTTACTTACGCCCGTTACTCCCAATGGAGCATAGGCCGCCGACCAGCATTCTCCAACCCGCTCTGTCCTGGGCCTTTTTTTCTAGTTCTATCCAGTTTTTGTTCATTCTTCTCATGTCTGTCTCTATTTTTCAGCGTAATGTAACCTTAGTACTCGGTAGAATGTGTAGTGATAATACACTTTAAAGTCGATTATATCAGCTTCAGAGGAATAATTGACAATCAAGCAACATTAATCACCTGTTTTATCTACGACAATGAGTGTTCATAAATCATTCACTCAAACGTACATACATTCTTGATATTCATATGTCATACTGTTAGGGATGTTAGATCCTCAAAACTCATTTGATAAATGCCTTATTTTTGTAATTTTAATTTGGAAACTTGAATTTCTTGCCTTCACACCGAAAGCACCCATTTTCATCTTCATGTCATATTTTCAACATAGAAGAACCTTAAATGTCATTGGTTCGTTGTCTCTTTTAATGTGTTATTTTGTACTTGTTTTATCATTATGTCACTGAGTTTTTGTTCCCTTGACAGATTAGGAAAATTTGTAATCTCTCTAAACATAGTATATACCGACTAAGATCAATGATAGAGTATGATCTTAATATTTCTGTTTAATAAATTACTTACTTACGCCTGTCACCGCTCGACCAGGAGCATAGGCCGCTCACTAGCATTCTCCATCCAACTCTGTTCTTGGCAATCTTTTCCAGTTCTTTCCAGATATTATTCATCCTTTTCATATCGGCTTCTATTTCCAGACGTAATGTGTTATTTGGCCTTCCTCTCTTCCGCTTCCCTTCCGAATTCCAAGTTAAGGTTTTCCTCGTGATGCAGTTTGGTGATTTCCTCAATGTATGTCCGATCCACTTCCAAGGTCTTTTCCCAACTTCCTATTCAGCTGAAAGCTGGTATGTACTCTCCCCTAAAACGCTGTTGCTGATGGTATCAGGACAGTGAATGTTGAGTATTTTTCGTAGACAAGTGTTCATAAATACATGTACCTTCTTGAAGATGGATGTAGTAGTTCTCCACGTTTCAGCTCCATACAATAGGAATGTCTTGACGTTCTTAATGAAGATTCTCACTTTGAATTTAGTTGACAGTTGTTTTGAGTTCTATATCAGTCCAGTCAATCACCAGAAGAAAGAGGAATGGGGAGAGTAGACAGCCTTGTCTGACTCCGGCGCTTACTGGAAACGCATCTGTCAGCTGTCCTCCATGCACCACTTTGCACTGTAGTCCATCGTATGAGTTTTGGACAATGTTAACAATCTTCTTAAAAACTCCATAGTGTCGAAGATGTTTCCATAATGTTTTCCTGTCACACTGTCAAACGCCTTCTCATAGTCGATGAAGTTGACGTATAGTGATGAGTTCCACTCAACTGATTGCTCAACGATGATCCGTAGTGTCGCAATCTGGTCTGTGCACGACCGATCCTTACGGAATCCAACATATTGATCTCTGTTCAATTAATCAAATTTTATTTAAATTCATAGTTTCTATATAATTTATTAATAACGATATATATATATATATATCTTTTTAAATCCAGGAGTTCTAGTGAGAAGCAGTGACCAGTCGAGTTCAAACCACGTCTTTTGTGAGATAGGACCACACTGAAGACAATTGGTGAATGGTTGCTCAAACTTCATGGATTGGTTAAAGTTATACATTAACGCCGTTGTACGTCGGCTCAGTGATCTATCGGTTAAGTGCTCTGGCGCGAGACTAGTAGGTCCTGGGTTCGGATCCCGCGAAGCGGAATCGTGGATGAGCACTGCTGAGGAGTCCCACAACAGGACGAAACGGCCGTCTAGTGCTTCCAGGTTTTCCATGGTGGTCTAGCTTCAATTGACTCATGATTTCAACTATATAAAACCTAATTTTATTTACATTCATAGTTTCTATATGGCTTATTCATAATGATATATCTCCTTTTTTCTATGTTTTCTATGTATTCAAGAAATGTAGTATTGCATCTAAGTATCAACGTTCACGTGCTATACATTATGTTAATGAATATTCATTAAATGGTTTACGTACACTTGTATTTGCTAAACGTCAATTAACTCAATCTATTTATATGAAATTATTAAAAAATTTAAAATTAGCTTCTAATTTATTGAATAATGAACGTATTCATGCATTAAAACAATGTTATAATGATATTGAATATGATATGGAACCCATTTATGTTACTGCTATTGAAGATAAATTACAACCTGGTGTAAAAAATTGTATAAAAGCATTAAAAGAAGCTGGAATACAAGTAAGTTTAGATGTATATAATTATTTTACGATCTATCTATCTGTCTGTCTATCTATCTTTCTATCTACTTGTTTATCTGTCTAGTTGTCTATCTACATATCTGTCTATCTGCCTACCTGTCAGTCTATCTATCCATTCATCTATCCATCTATCTGTCTATGTCTATTTATCTATCCCTTTGTATATCTGTCTGTCTGTCTATCTATCTATCCATCCATTTGTCTGTCTCCGTCTATCTATCTACCCCTTTGTCTGTCTGTCTATCTATCTATCTATTTGTCTATCTGCGTACCTGTCAGTCTGTCTATCCATTTATCTATCCACCTATCCGTCTGTCTGTCTATCTATCTATTTGTCTGTCTATCTATTTATTTATCTGTCTATCTATCCATCCATCTATGTTTTATATATATATATATATATATATATATATATATATATATATATATATATATATATATATATATATATATAGAAATTGAACGCTATACTGTGATCCTAAGCTAGTCTCGTAACCCGTAAGCTAAATCTACGCAGCAACTTGAGCACGAGAGAAAAGGCACAAAATATGCTATAAGCACTTTACTCAAAAGGTTTATTTATTTACAGAAAATATAGGATTTTATAGTATTTTAGAAATCCTTGGGTTTTCCTGAAAATTCTGGAATACTACTAAGCATAGTAGCATTATAGTAATCAGCGAATCAGAAACTCTAAATGAGACTTTTCACTTTTGTGATGTTTCTAGCAAAACTCCTAGTCAAACGCTGATTGGATAAAATGCTTCTTAATGTTTCCTTAGCTTATCATGTCTATTGCGAGGAATTTTCTGGATCGCTCCACTATATATATTCACTTATACTGACGGTATACATTTCACATGGATCCCTCCGAAATTCAGTTTTAGCATAAGATATGTTTAGTAGCGGTGGTTTTTAGTCAAAGTATTTTAGACCAAGCAATAGTTAAAACTGGATTCCACTGCTAGTCATTATTCATCCATCTTTGCTTATAATGCTTGTGACTTCAAGGAATATCAGGGCAGTTCGTACAGGATGCACATATGCTAATAAGAGAGAGACTGATCATTTGTAATCTTAAACATCAATGGGAAAATTCAAACAAACAATACTAAGTGAATTTAAACTTCACCCCATTGTAGAAGGAGGTAGCTATCAGGACTCAGTAGTTAAGTGGTTAACACGATGGGGTTTGAAGTGAACAGTACTGGGTTCGAGTCCGAAAGTGAACATCAACTCTGAGATTCAGGTACATCCAGCTGACGAGTCCGAGATAGGACAGAATGCGTGTCAAACTGGGTTCCACTGCTATACACTATCCGTATTTGCTTGTAAAACATGATGAATGTTACAAAGAAGAGGTTGAAGAATAAGTCGATTATAGATTATTCGCTCTTTAACGGAATTAATCCCTAATTATTAGGCTTAATCTTGTTTCATCAGATCAGTTACCTCCAAATATTCACTGACTGTAACAATACATTTATCAATATTTTTAATCTTTATTGTTTCAAACATGTTTAGAAGTTCTTAGAATACAAATCCTTCAAGTATTTTCTTGTCGATTTCCTATCATTCTAGCACCAACCTTATATGAATGTACTGAACTTTAAGAGTAAAAGGAAATCCCAAGAAACTGAGTTTACTACTTAGGAGAAGTGACCTAAAGTAGGGATAGAATTATCAACCAGAAACCAGAAGACAATCAGTTCTGAAAGTCGAGAGACAGTGTCACGACCCGAAAGTCAACATTTACTGTCTATCTATTCTTATGAAATTCATGCCTGACAACACAATTAGTATCTCGTATTTATTGAACAGATGATATATACAGACTTAAGTACTTACGATCGAAGGTTAAGTGGTTTATACAAATCCTGTTGCTTAAATCCGAACTATAAAAATCATTATTTACTCATTTATCTTTTATCAGTTAAATTCATGAGTTGATGTAAGCTATAAGCATTGGATGACCGTTTCGTCGTAGTATGATATACCTCATCAGAATGTATCCACAATGTCACCTAAGGGGCTCGAACCCAACATCTCCAATCTCACATAAACATGTTTTACCTCTCGATCTATCCTAAGACGAAATAGTCATCTGATAATAATCTCCATAAACCCAAATTGAAGTAAAGGGTTTTTCTTAGGGAATCACACACGGAGCCTTCGAACTAAAGGTCTGATCCTTAAAGCAGTGAAACATCATCAGGAGATGCAATCTCATGTTAGTCACTGACCAACGATTGGCTCATACGTCATTTGTTCCTACAGGATTCTGAAGTCCATGTGCAAGATGGGTTCAGAATGAAGATTTTCCATCCCCTCTACGTAGAACCTCTGTATCCACTAACCCAGTTGAAGCTCCGAATATTCGCTTTCAGTCTTCTAAATTTCGCAAACAACACCCCTGTCACAAGAAGACAGTAAGTAGGACTTCCCTGATAGTGGCTGTATACGCGTAGCCATATGAAAAATCATTTGGAGAGGGAAGACGGACTCTCATCACTCTCGACCGTACCAGGGCATTCGGGGCATACTATACTAAGACAAAATGGTCATCCATAACTTTGATCTTTTCAATAATGATCTCCACTAATCCTTCACTTTCATCTTTTTTCATTTCTTATTCTTAATATAGATTTGGATATTAACTGGTGATAAAGCTGAAACAGCTATTACAATATGTCAATCTATTGAACATTTTACATCGAATATGTCATTAATTAAAATTATGAATTGTATTACATTACAATCAACAGCATATAAAATTTATGAACAATTAGATGCATTAAAACTATATAAAGATTATCATAAACAGAAGGATAATCATCATTATCATAGTAGTTCATTATATACAATACCAAGAATCAAGACAATAAACTATGGTAGATCATCTTCCATGTCAAGATCATCTTCCATGTCAAGATCATCTTCCATGTTGAAATCATCTTCCATGTTGAAGTCCTTCTCATCATATATGAATGGAATGTATAATAATAATAGTAATGATAATACTTATTATTACTATGGTAATAGTAAAAGTAACTTCCTGTTAGGTAGGAAACATTGTATATTGAATCGTTATATTAGACATAAACATAAAAAACATCCTGGTATAGCAAATGAATCAATTGGTCTTGTTATTGATGGAAAAAGTCTACAATATGCATTACATGTAAGTAGTTATTTTTTTGGATTTTTTTTCTATGATACTATCTGGGTGCCAAAACTGAAGTAGAGAGTTCTCTTAGGGGAACAGACACAAAGCCTTCGACCTAAAAGTCTGATCCACAAAGCAGTGGAGCAACATCAGGAGATGGAGCCCCATGGTAGCCGGTGACCAACAATTGGTTCATATGTCATTTGTTCTATTAGGATCCTAGAGTCCATGTACACCGTTGATTTGGAATGAGGATTTTCCATCTCCCCTTCATAGAACCTCTATATCTACCAACCCAGTTGAAACTCCGGATATTCGCTTTTCGTCCTCTAAATTTCGAAAACAACACCGCCGCCAAAAGAAGGCAGTGAGTAGGACTTCCGTGACAGAGTCTATATACGCGTGACCGTGTGATAGCATTTAGAGAGGGAGAACAGACTCTCCCCACCCTCTGCCGTACCAGGATATTCGGGGTATATTAAGTTTAAATTTCGATAATACAATGCTAAGATGAAGGTTATCAGAATTATGTGATATAATTTGCCCAATACATTTTGAACAAACTGATCATACATAATATTCTTGTCAAGATATTTTTATATGAAAACTAAAAGGTCAACTAAACAGAATAAAGGTAATTCATAACTAAGAAAAGTAAAGTACACAAAAAGCAATGTGATAACCACTCTGGATAATAAATCAGTATTAGCAGGATAGATTAAGGGTAAATACAACTTGTTTTTGAACACATAAAGGAGGTTCCAGCTTCCTTATCACCAAAGTTTTAATAAACTTTAGTATACGCTCTTGAAGGCTTTTCTACAATACTACAAATGCTGACTTGATATCAACAGTATGACCAGTTTCAGCCAAACGTTTCTCAATGGAGGGAGATGTCTGTCTATCTCGTGATCTTATTTAACCATTGGAATTCATTTGTTTCTGTAGTTATGTGTTCCGTCCCCCTTTACTTACAGATCATGGTTGCTCCTCCCTATGTACGTGTTACCATACATACATATAAATTACTAGACACAATCGCTTACGTGGTGTTTTGGTTCTTGGTGAAAACATAGACCTTATCTTTTTAATAATGACAAGTCGGACAGCATAAAATGTTCTGTTGATAGCTAATTTAAGTCTTCATTTAGATATGATACTATTTGAGTTGCCTCTAAATGGTTACATAATATAAACTCACTTTTTAGATGCCAGAAATTTCATAGGTCTAATCGTAGATGCTCACTGCTGAGGAGGTCAGTGTTACAAGATCTTTAATATGAGTGAATTTTAATATATCAACTCTCTACATTTTAGACCTTACTAATAGCACTAACAATCTATAGGGGCAATGCGAGGTGTGCTATTTTCAAGGGATTGACCTACTGTAACTTATACCTTCCTGAAAACATCGGTGAGTGTTGCCAGAAGGAAATACACTACTGTTAACACACTCTAGTTCAAACGACCGTACGACTCCACCTTCGAGTTTTATATTACCATTCTTCAACTGACCTGTTTAACATGAGAGGACCTCAGTGAACAAAATTTTTTTGATCAGTATAGGTCATTTTCGTAGTCACAAATGGAAAGACTTGACCATGTTGTCAATGTAGCAGGTACAGTCGAGATGAAAATATCTACTATTGGATAAAATTGTAAAGCTTTATATTTATTTATTTAAACACATAAATATTGGTACAAAGAAGCACCAGATATATATACGCCACACACATCTCATTCGATTTGTGTGAGGGCTACGATACTGCTCAGGTACCAAAAATGAAGCAAGTGGTTTTCTTAGGGAGCCACACCCGGAACATTTGACTGAAAGATCTGATCCACAAGGCAGTGGAGCATCGTGAGGAGATGCAGTCCCATGGTAGCCGGTGACCAACGATTGATTAATACGCCATTTGTTCCCTCAGGATACTGGAGCCCATGTGCACCATTGGTTTGGAATCAGGGTTTTCCAGCTCCCCTAGGTGGACTTGCCTTGTCCACCAACCTGGTTAAAGCGCCGGAAATTCGCTTTTCGTCCTCTCAATTTTGTCAACAACAGTAATGCCACGAGAATGCAGTGAGTAGGACTTCCCTGACAGAGGCTATGTACGCGTGGCCATGTGAGAGCATTTGGAGAGGGAGAGCGGACTCTCCACACTCTCGGCCGTACCAGGGAATTTGGGGGCACTTTATACATATATTTACTATTAATTCATTTCGTAATTGATTTTCAACCCATACATTATTATGACTGAATACATTATTTCTTTCATAATCTTGATTCTTTTTGTTAGACCTCATTACGCGACTCATTTCTAGAATTATGCATGAGTGTCACAACCGTGTTATGTTGTCGTATGACACCATTACAAAAAGCATCTATTGTTAAATTAGTTCAAATTGGTTTAGCAAAACATTCACATCTACGTATGAAACCAGTTGTAGCTGCAGTTGGTGATGGTGGTAATGATGTAGCTATGATTTTACAAGCTAATATCGGTGTTGGAGTTTATGGAAAAGAAGGTCGTGAAGCAGTTAGAGCTGCAGATTATTCAGTGACAGAATTCAGGTAAATGGTCTTTTGTGTAGTTTTAAAAGTATTTAATGCTTAAATTAAAGAATTCTAATAACATTGGATACCAACTCAGAAAAGTAAACGTTAATTTTATATAGTTAAGATCGTGAGTCAACTGAAGCTAGACCACCATGGAAAACCTGGAAACGCTGGACGGCCGTTTCGTCCTATTGTGTGACTCCTCAGCAGTGCGCATCCACGAACCCGCCTCGCGAGATTCGAACTTAGGACCTACCAGTCTCGCGTCAGAGCATTTAACCAATAGACCACTGAGCTGGCCGGCATCCAACAGTGTTAATGTCTAACCTCAACCAATCCACTAAATCCTGCGAGGCAGGACAGTGGATGTGCACTGCTGAGTCCCACAATAGGACGAAACGGCAGTTCAGTGCTTCCAGGTTTTCCATGGTGGTCTAGCTTCAGTTGACTTATGATTTTAACCATATAAAATCATTAAAATCTCCACAAAACTCCAATGTGATAAACGTTAATTTCTTGCTGAGAGCCTTTTAAGTCCTGGATTTGATCTCCAAGTGGGTAATGGATGATCACTGATTAGGTGTTCCATACTAGGAAGAAATGGATATTCAGATACTCTTGCTTTTAAATAGATGTCCAATTGAAGTCAGTCATTGATGTGAAATTTAAGAGTAAAAATTGTTTACAAGAACATTGGAAGAATTTCTATCGCAGACTGACATCAGCTAGTTAACCATTGAGAATTCGAGTGCAACAAATAACCGTCTTGAAATGTAAGCAAAGATGAATAGTGGTTAGCAGTTGAGTTCAGGACGCGTGTTTCGTCCTATCTGGGACTCGTCTTGAAATGGTTTCTATCTCCTTAGAAGTGTACATCACGTCCCTACGCAATATGTAATCTTAAACATTTATATATCGGAATGAAGTTGTAATAAATTAAGAACATCAGTTTAGAAGTAAGATGGTTTATATCTTTAATTTGATTTAATTTGTGATACCCCGAATTCACAGTTGTCGAGTTACATTGATTCACAATGTTGTAACTGAAGAACGGTAAATAGTATAATAACAGTTTATACGTCAAAATAAAGCTCTTGATAAGAGGGATACGAATATGAATAGTTTTAGTTGGTTAACATTTATACAATAAACATATATATGTATAGCATTAGACCATAAATAGATCCCAACAGTTTACCATTCATTATTCTTATCGGGATATGACAATTTCATTGCCATAGGTGAGTGAGTGTTCCATGCTCGACCCACTGGTCAAAGCCAGACATTGACACCGTCGAATACCGACTAACTAGTGTAAATATTAAGCGTTCGCGCACGAGACCGAAGGTCCTGGGTCTAAGCCCCGTGTACGAGATCGTGGAAGCACACTGTTGAGGAGTCCAATGCTAGAACGAAACAGTCTTTCAGTGTCCCTGGGTTTTCAATAATGGTCTACTATTGATCAGTTTATAATCTCAATGAAATTCAACAGTATCCGTAACCTCAAACTGAAAACTCATTAGCATTTTTACTGCAATCATTTTTTTAAATCTAAATTTTACAACAAATCTGATGTAAGAAGAAAGGAAGAAAGGAAGAAAAGAAGAAAAGAAGAAAGAAAAAGGAAAAGAAACCCCTCATATGTCATGACCGAGAACTTGGGTGGGGGACAATCGAATGTAGTTTACAAAACACAATTATAGACTATCTCACTAACATCTTACAATCATACAGTAAACAGTTAATTTGCAAATTATCAATCAATTGCCTCCAACTTGACCATTTATTCTGCAAATTTATTTATTTATTTAAATACATAAATATTGGTACAAAGAGGCACCAGATATATATACGCCGGGCAAATCTCATTTGATTTGTGTGAGAGATGTGATACTGCCCAGGTGCCTAAAACGAAACAGATGGTTTTCTTAGGGGGCCACACCCGGAGCCTTTGACCTAAAGGTCTAATCCACAAGGTAATGGAGCATCGTGAGGAGATGCAGTCCCATGGTAGTCGGTGACCAACTATTGATTCATACGCCATTTGTTCCTTCAGGATACTAGAGTCCATGTGCACAATTGGTTTGGAATGAGGGTATCTCAACTTCCCTAGTAGGACGCGCCGTGTCCACCAACCTGGTTAAAGGGCCGGACATTCGCTTTTCGTCCTCTCAATTTTGTCAACAACAGTAATGCCACGAGAATGCAGTGAGTAGGACTTCCCTGACAGAGGCTATGTACGCGTGGCCATATGAGAGCATTTGGAGAGGTAGAGTGTACTCTCCCCAATCTCGGTCGTACCAGAGCATTTGGGGGCAAATATCATTCCATCATATCCGGTTATTATTATTATTCATCCATTTTCATACCAATTGCGTTTCTTTCCCGTTCTCTTCTTATCAATCTTCTATTGAAATACATTAAATATCTGACCATCGTTATATGCTACTTATATGGATATAAGTAACCCATACAAAACCACACACACACACACTTACCCCCTCATTTCATTCTTTTTTTTTCCTTTTTATAGACATATAAAACGATTGTTTTTATTACATGGACATTGGTCATATTATCGTATTACAATAACAATGTTATTCTTTTATCATAAAGCAGTTGCATTTGTCTGTAATCAATTATGTGTTATTTATAATAATGGTTATTCAGAAATTCCATCATTTGGTACTATACTATTTATATGTTATAATTTAACTATGACATTTCTGGTTAGTTTAGGTTATGGAATGTTTGAACGTCATATAGAAGAGAAGATTCTATTGAATAAACCATATTTATATAAAGCGGTAAGTCATTGTAAATAAATTTCAATTGTTGAGATCATGAATCGATTGAAACTAGACCACCGTAGTCAACCTAGAAGTATTGGATGGCCGTTCAGTCCTATAATGAGACTCTTCAGTAGTGCACATCAACGATCCAACCTAGCGAAATTCGAATACAGTACCTATCAGTCGGGCATCCGAATGCTTAACCGCTAGACCACTGAGCTAGCTGGCATCCAACAGTAATAATGTCTAACTTCAACTAATCTACAACATTAAACGATATATCTTTCACTGTCTTCAGTGAGTTGATATCTTACAACCGACCCGGTTGACCTCCAATGATCACTGCTTCTCACTAGAACTCTAGGAAATACCTCATGGAGCCAGTCACTAGTGAGCATATGTTGATTAATACCTGTTAGCGGGAAATAAACCGGATTAAGGCATGTTATATGCATGATCGTGATGGCGCACGCTGATTGACTAATTCTAAACTAATCAGCTCTGGCAAATTATTGGAGAAACATCTAGAAACTTCTTATGCATATACTATAAATATATGAACGTTTTTCTAACGATTGATTGCTGTTAACCTATCCTTGTTATTTTGAATACATTTTCGTTCCTGTTCAACTTGTTCTGATTTTGGGGTCTTGTCGAGTGTCATCGTATAAGAATACTAAGCAATAGGAGTATCTGGGTTGTTTATTAGCAAAACAATTATAACAATACCAGAAGGGGTGTTTGTGGATATAATAGTAATTTTAATAGTTGAGATCATGAGTCCATTGAAGCTAGATTATTATGGAAAACTTGGAAGGGCTAGATGGCCGTTTCGTCCTAGTATGGATTCCTCAGAAAAACACATCCACGATCCTACCTAGAAAGATTCGAACACAGGATCTATAAGTCTCGTGCGTGAGTGCTTAACCACTAGACACACTGCTGAGGAGTCTAATAATAGGACGAAAGGTCCATCCAGTACTTTCAAGTTTTCTATGGTGATCTAGCTTCAATGGACTTATGAATTCAACTATAAAATTCCACTGTTAGTCACTATCCATCTTTGCTTACCATGCTTGTGAATTAGGGCTATATCGAGATAATGCGTACAGTATGCACATATGCCAATTAGAGACTGACCAGTTGCAATCCTAATACATCGATGGGAAGATTCAAACAAACAATACTAAGTGAATTTAAATTCTATTTTTGTTTAATAAGCTTTAGATTGAATTACGTTAACTGTTGCTGAAGAGTCTCATATTAGAACGAAATGGCTGTTCAATACTTCCAGGTTTTAAATGGTGACCTAACATCAATTGGTTCATCATCTTAATCAAAGACATAAGTTAATCAAAGAATGAGCTGTTGATTAATGTATATCCTTATTTTTTCACAGATTATTACTCAAATACTATGAGATGAGTTGAAGAATGAGTATGATTCATGCTATCAATTATTCTAATATGCTTTTAACCATCAGTTTATTCTTTCCTTATTAGTCGTTTAAAGTTAAAGGTTTAAACAAGTCAGTGAATATCCAATTAGTTTGTCCTACTTGTACTTTTTTGATGATGGTTGTGGTAGTTCTCCAAGTATCAAATCCGTACTATAGAACGAACTGTCTTGACGGTCATATTGAAGATTCTGACTTTGATACTGGTTAATAATTGTTTGAGTCTCATATGTTTCTCAATCATAGGAATGTTGTCTTTACTTTGCCAGTTCTTTCATTTACGTCTACATCAGATCCTCCACCTTCATCATTGATGCTTTCCAGGTACGTGAATGTTTCCACCTCTTCCAGAGTTTCGCCATCAAGTGTGATTAGGTTGGTGTTCTCCATGTTGTATTTAAGGATACTGCTTTTTCTTTTGTCTATGTTCAGACCTACTGCTGCAGATACTGCTACTACATTTGTTGTCTTCACCTGTATTTGCTCGTGTGTATGAGATAGAAGGACTATGTTATCTACGAACTCCAAACCGCCTAATTGATTCTGAGATGTCCATTGTATTCCGTTTATCCCCTCAGATGTCGAAGTCTTCCTAATTCAGTCAATCACCAGAAGAAATGGAAATCGGGAGATTAGACAGCTTTGAATGACTCCGGTCTTTACTTTAAATGCATCTGTCAAAAAAGAGAAAAAACAGAAAATGATATTCACTATTTTGTTTATATGAATGTTTGCAAAAAGAAGTTTAAAAATTAGATCCCTTTATCTGAACATGTGTTTAAATCAATGATAAGATATTGGTTTGTATTTTGAAGATCGACTTTATATTTCCAAAGATGATAATACCATGAAGATATGTCAACTAGTATTGTGAGGTATGCTACAGATGTCGACTGTCATTTATTATGTTCATCCCACATAACTTTTTCTGACCTCCGGACAAGCTAATCTATTCATTCTTCTTGAGTCACATGTTTGACCTTTTTAATTATTCACTTATCAATCCTGACTGTTTTTATATGAGCGTATAATTGTACATTTCTTATCCTATTCATTACATGTCTGTAACTTATTTGGGTGTGACTATCAATTAAAGCTAGACCATCATAGAAAACTTGGAGGTTTCATCCTAGTTTGAGACTTCTCAGCGGTGCTTATCTACGATCTCGCTTGCAGGATTCGAACCCAGGATCTATCGGTCTCGCTTGCTCGAATACTTAACCAGTAGACCCTTAAATTGACACAGCATTATCTTTATTTACCATTCGTATTGCTATTCATTTCGTTTCTATTCATTCATTCTTCTTCTTCCTATTTTACTCAATCATAGATATCCTATCAAGCCAATTTAAAAGCATGGTATATATTCTTATGGGTTATAGATGGTATATGGCATGGTCTTATTACTTATTTTATACCATATTATTGTTTAGCTGGTGGTAATCTATATGCTGAAGCAATTTTCTATCAAACTAATCATCATAATACAAATGGTAATTATGATTTCACTATGATTGGTAATGCATCATTTGTATATTTATGGATATCTGTAACTATACGTTCAACAATATGGACAAAAGATTTTAATTTAATGTTAATTCTGTGTCATATTGGTACAACATTAAATCTTGTCATTTTATTTGTATTTCAAGTAAGTGACTACTTATTTTAACATTATATAAGTAGTATAAATAAATGATTTATAATGTTGAGCCATATATTGATAATATTTGGAATGGTACAAAGGAGGTTTTGTGATGATTTTAGTAATTTTATATAGGTAAGATCATGAGTCAATTGAAGCTAGACAACCATGGAGAACGTGAAAGCACTGGATGACTGTTTCGTTCTGTTGTGGGACTACTCAGCAGTGCGCATCCACGATCCCGCCTCGCGGGATTAACACCGTTGGATGCCCGTTAGCTCAGTGGTCTAGAGATTAGGTGCTCTGACGCGAAACTGATAGGTCCTGGGTTCGAATCCCGTGAGGTGGGATCGTGGATGCGCACTGCCGAGGAGTGCCATAATAGAACGAGACGGTCGTCCAGCGTTTCTAGGTTTTCATGGTGGTCTAGTTTCAATTGACTCATGATCTTTCCTATATAACATTTGGAATGGATTATCTTTGAAGTGGTTGTAGTGCCGTGCTTCGCTAATCGTTCGGGTAAGCCAACTCGAGTGAGCGGAGCGAAAATGACGAACATTGGAGATGGCGGGTAAGTCAACTCTAATACGTGTCATTTATGCTTCGCTCGCTGGTATTTGTTCATGTGCTTATAAATTTCTGACCTGAGTCATTAGTCAATAAAACTGTAGTTGCCGCTTCTCTTTGCCTTCTGATTTTATACATCAATAAGATTTGTATTATAACGGTTATCAAGGTGAACGATTAGCGAAACACAATACTACATAGTTCTTATGACTTTATATATTACTTATCTTGATTATTATCCTGGATTTCACTGCTAGCCACTATTCATCCATCTTTGTTTATAAAGCTTGTGAATTAATGGCAATATCGAGGCAATACGCACAGGATGCATATATGCCGATAAGAGACTGATCAATTGCAGTCCTAAATAACAATTGGAAGATACAAGTAAACAATAACAAGTGAATGTTATTAGATAATTCTTAATAGTGTACATATTTCAGAAGACAATACAAAGTATTGACCATAGTTTATTATTGTGAAATGGAGATTATTAAGTTTCAGTCACTATAAACCAATTTAAGTAGCCATGCGAATGTAAATAAACGCGAGTGAGAGAGCGAGCGAGCGGGCGAGCGAGTACAGTGAGGAACAATGAAGCGTCTTAAAAGTCGTATGAATTGAGAAGATTTAGCAAATTTATATAGAAAAGCGAATGAATCATAGAGTGATCTAAGTATTTAATATTTAAGTTACCAAGATAGATATTTGAGTAGGCTGTAACACATGAGATTCGGTATACACGTTTATACAGACATAATGACAAGATCAAACAAGATATATAAATAGTAATCATTTGAATGACATTGTCTGATAAATAAATTTGATTGAAGGGCTTAATAAAACTAAACGTAAAGATCTAGGTACAGTTGAGTTGTTATATGCGTATTATCCCTAGATTTATCTCAAATACCAGGCAGGTTAGTGTTTTTGTTAGCGAGTTAGTTTTTCTACGAGATGGGGTCGCTAACCCTATGCCCAACCCTCCTCATTTACCTGGGCTTAAGAACGGTAGTAACTCTAGGAGAACTACAGGTGGAGTTAAATGCCACGCAGGACTATTCAAAAATCCCAATTATAAGATGGGATGGTAAATAAATGGTATGTTATGAGTTCTCGCTCACATGTTACATGTTATCGAGCATTATGGTTATTGTCATTTATCAGCTATTAATAGCATTTGTTACCATCGTATGTCAGTTTTCGTAATGTTCGTGCATGTTATATAGCTTTTATCCCAGTTAGTTAGTAGTCTAACAAAGCTATTGCTCACTAGCTAAGTGAATGTTAAATCAGCCTTATATGGTTATTTGAAACAATATAAACTTAAGCAAATAAAACTTCTCAAATGTAGAACTTAAGTTATTCTTATTATGCAGTTCTCCGGGTCTTATTAACTTTTAAACAAAAATGGGGTTGAGATTAGTGTAGTATAATTGATATCCCAGATCAAATTACAAGCCCCCAAACGCTCTAGTACGGTCGAGAGTGTGGAGAGTCCGCTCTCCCTCTCCAAATGCTCTCATATGGCCACGCGTACATAGCCTCTGTCAGGGAAGTCCTACTCACTGCCTTCTCACAGCATTACTGTTGTTTACGAAATTGAGAGGACGAAAAGCGAATGTCCGGCACTGTAACCGGGTTGGTGAATATACAAGTTCCAGGTAGGGGATATGGAAAACACTTATTCCATATCAGTGGTGCACATGGGCTGACTCCAGTGTCCTATGAAAACAAATCGAGTATGAAGCCGCTGTTGGTCATCAACCACCATGGGACTGCATCTCCTCACGATGCTCTACTGCCTTGTGGATCAAACCTTTAGTCCAAAGGCTCTGGGTGTGGCCCCACAAGGAAACCATCTGTTTTACTTTGTGCACCTGAGCAGTATCATAGCCCTCACAGAAATCAAACGAGATTTGTGTAGTGTATCTATATCTGGTTCCTCTTGGTACCAGTATTTATGTGTTTAAATAAAATAAAATAAAGTTACAAAGCAACAATCCATCCGACATGCACACTATAAAACAGTGAAAGTTAAATTCATGTTTTTCGCAATGATTTCTTTATTATTTCGCTACATCAAAAGACTACTGAAAAATAAGAACACTTAGAATTCATACAATCCAATAGGTGTCCAACAAATCCACATTAATTGAAATACAGAATAGCTACTAATAATTGATTGATCACTGGGTGGTGATGAATAACATGCGTGTCAAGTCCTTCTTAGTGCTGATCGAATGCTGTCGATCAAGTTTCCTATTGACCACCTCCAACCACCATCTTATTTCAACAGAGTGCAAGCAGTGTAGAGCCACCTAGAATAGTAGCCACATTGCAACTTGATCGATAGCATTCTATTAGCACTAAGAATGATTTGCCACGCATGATATTGATCACTACCCATTGATCAATCAATTGTGACTACATCTCAGTCATACAGGAGATCGCTCGCGATGCGGATAGCTCAGTGGTAACGTCTCTGACTTTGAAGTTAAGTGACACGGAATCGAATCCGTAAGGGAACACTTATTCCCTCAAGATTAAAGGTACGCCTTGCTGACGAGAGCCAAGTAGCACGAAACCCTGGTCCAGAGTCTCCTGTTGACCACCCCCAACCACCATCTTATCTCAACAGAATAGCTTCCTCATATCAATCCATTCAAAGTTGTTAAAACGAAACTGTAGACACTTTTGATTGAGCATATCATTTTTATTGTGTTTTTTTTTCACCATCCCTTGGAAAATTGATTAATTTGAAAACTTTTTTTTCCGTGTAAATATGATTTCACTTGACCTTGAAAGTGATGCACAAAAAAAAATTTAAAGAAAAATAAAAACAGTTGCCAATAAAAAAACACCGACAAATCGAAAGATCATTTACCGCCATTAAAATTATGACACCATGTAATTCAATAATCAATAATTCATTCAACCTTATAATTAGTTACTATGATTTGGCTTCCATTTTTCCATTATAAAAGTTTTATTGACAGGTTATTTCTCTTTTAAAAAGATTCTAGTATTCAAATCAATCAACTGTTATCATTCATTGAATAGATAGTAAACTGTTATCATAGAGATAATGTGATAAAGTATGAATGGATAGTTTTTTTTTTGGTAATTGATTAACATTTGATAGTTGAAATCATGAGTCAATTGAAGCTAGACTACTATGGAAAACTTGGAAGTAATGGATGGCGGTTTCATTCTATTGTGGGACTCCTCAGTAGTGTGCATCCATGATCTCGCCTCATGAAACTCGAACACAGGACCTTTGAGTCATATGCTCAATCATATGTTTACTAGTGACTGGTTTCAAGAGGTATTTCCTTGAGTTCTAGTAAGAAACAGTGACCAGTAAAATTCAACCGGTCAATTCAGTGAAGACTATAATGGACGGTTGCTCAATGTTGTGGATTGGTTGAAGTTAAACATTAACACCGTAGGATGCCGGCAATTTAAGTGGTCTAGAGGTTAAGCGCTCGTATGCAAGACTGATAGGTCTTGTATTCGAATCTCGTGAGGCGAACGTGTTGAGGAATTAATTTCTCTATATCTGACTCCAATAAATAAATAATATCCCGCTAACTGAATATTTACTCCAGGCTAAATCTCCTAGTAGAATTACGGGTTTACTCGAGATTATTCAAAAGCCTGAACATCAGTTATAGAGATAGTTTATTGATGAAGCTCGGTAAAATCCGCAAGCGTACAGATAGCAAGCACACAGGGAAAGCAAGTGAGTGTCTGTGAGTGAGTGTTAAAAATCCATATATATTTATGAGTGTTAATGGATTGTGGATAAATTATTGATTGTCTTTGTTTACAACCAATGAGAGAACAAATTAGGGATTGATGTGCAGATATGCGCTCAATCAGACTCACACATAAATTTACAGCGGGTTAAATGTTAGGATTACAGAGAGCACATAAAAAATACAGTAGTTGAATGGGCTTGCTACAAACGTGGTTGTTCACTGCTGAGGAGTCCCATAACAGGACGGAACGGTCATCCAGTGTTTCCAGGTTTGCGATGGTGGTTTAGCTTCAATTGACTCATGAATTCCACTATAAAATTACTAAAATCTCCCCAAACCTCACTTCTGATAAAATGTAACAGTTATTTAAAATGAATTATGATTTAGTTAAAATGTAAGAGTTTACAGTCAGTAAAATTCGGTAGTTTACTAAACAGTTCATTATTATAAGCAAAGAGATGGATAGGGAATATTGGCTAGCAGTGAAATTCAGTTTGACGCATGTTTCCTCCTATTTGAAATTTGTCCGTTGGATCTACCTGCATCTTAGAGTTGATATTCATTCTAAGACTCAAACTCAATACTGTTCGCTTCAAACGCCATCGCTTTGTCTACCTAGCTACTAAATCCTGATAGCTACCTACTTGTTCAATGGGGTGAAGTTTACATTCACACGGTATTGTTTTACTTGAATCTTCCCATTGATGTTTATGACTGCAATTGATCAGTCTTTTATTGGCCATATGTGCATACTCTGCGTATTGTCTCGATATAGCCTTAATTCACAAGCATTATAAGCAAAGATGGATGGATAGTGGATAGCAATGAAATCCAGTTTGAGGTGCGTTTTGTCCTATTTAGGGTTCATCAGCTGGACGTACCAGTATTTCAGGTTCACTGTTATTTCTAATCTGATTATCTTATAATCTTATATAATCACTTAACCACAATTTTTACTTGACTCACTGACTAGTTAAGACTGTTTCAAGTTTATTTGACAACATTTCACTGAAGGCTATTTCAATTGATAGATCTTTTGGAAAGGATGGCTTAATTTTTACATGAAGATTAATCTAATCTCTGTAAAACCTCTCAGATAAATTGCAATTGTGTGTTCATTGGAAGATTTGCTTGAAAACAGAGTCTTTCTGTGTATTTTGAATTCCAATCATAGTCTGAGATGTTATCGTCAAGCTATTGGAATCTCAGACTGTAAACTGTGGTGTAACGTGTTGGAATCCCATAGTGAAAATTCGTTCCCTCAACATTGTATGTTGGTACATCTTGCTACTGAAGAGTGCTGACTAGGTACAGAACTTTATGATGATCGTCTCTCATCACCTATAATCTAAATACAGCTCAAATGATCTACAGTCCCTTGCACTAGGGTTGTGATACAACTTGGTCGATTAAATTCACTAAACGCTAACGAATAAACAGGCAGTACGTTTATTGCTATTTTCAAAACAAATATCAAGACAGTTCTATTGTATGGGACGCAAACTTGGAGAACTAAGAAAGCTATCATCGAAGAAATACAAGAGTTTATTTACACTTTTCTACGCAAAATACTTCGGATCCTTTGGCCAGACAAAATCAGAAACAATCTTCTGTGGAAGAGAACAAACCAGATTCCAGAGGAGGAAGAAATCAGGAAGAAGTACTGGAAGTGGATAGGACGCACATTGAGAAAAGCATCCAACTACACCACAAGGAAAGCTCCAACTTGTTATTCTCAAGGCCAAAAGAGAAGAGGAAGACCAAAAAACACATTACGCCGAGAAACGGAGACGGACATGAGAAGAATGATTGACAACTGGATAAAAGTAGAAAGGAAGTCGCAGTACAGATTGAGTTAGACAATGCTGACCGGTGTCCTGTTCTCCATTGGGGGTAACAAGCGTAAGTAAGTTAGTAATTTATTATTCTTTATAATCAAAGACCTTAAGTAAAAATATTTCAATTTTTGTAGTGATCTAAGCCTTCACAATACAAAATCTATACTGCAACACTTTAGCTAGGACTTACTCATATGACCATCGATTTATCCATTACACAAGATTGTTCATCAAATAGCTCATTCAATGTTCTTTATAGGATCTACGTCCAGGGTATCCTGAAGATGTTTCTTCTAGTGCACTTAGCTATGACCTTTTAGAAGCCAATGACAGCGTTAAGTGTTTTACTGATAAAATACCAACATCCTAAAAACATTAACCCTTTCAGTTAACGTTTATTTTCTAAATATTTATCCTATCCTAATTACACAGACATTTGTTCCCCCTACAAGTAATGAATATCAAAGATATGCACAATTATGTCGAAGTCCTGCATTTTGGTTCACATTCCCATTAACTGTTTTTATAGCCAATGCTCCAGGATTATTATGGCGTTTAGCTTCAGATACATGGTGGACTATATTTATTGAAATGAAAAATGTACCTAAAAGTAATAAACGTAAATTCTATATGAAGAATCCATTGATTTGGTTAAGAGCATTAGTTTTTGGTCGAACAGGAAGAAACGAGTCAATTATCCAGGGAAAATAAAATGATACCAACACTTTCAAAGAAGAAATTAATCATAGTTCTAAGTTATAAAAGTAGATTTTTTTTATTATTCAGATCTTATTTTGTTAATGTTACTAGTTGTATTCTCTGTAAACAGAAACTACCTGGATTATCTTATGAATTTCTATGAAACCTGTGAACTATTTCATTTAAAGAAAAGATTCATGACCCACCATCTATGTTTTTATACTTCATTTTGTAACTAGATACTACGAACGTACTTTCATTTCTTCATATGGCATATTGTAATATAAATTTCAGTAAACGTTTTTGCCTACTCATGAGTAAGCAAACTTTTACAAAAAAGGTTTTGTTGATTATCTTTATTATTAATGAAACGTGTTGTGTACAATGTGATTGATCTCATGAACCATCTTTGTATCTTTGATAAATCACACAAAAAGTGTTATTTTACGACGGCTAACATTTACATCTATATATAATAATCGTAGAAAAATATATTGCATGTTTTACTAGAATATGAATGATTTGGTTTGTATTGTCTCATGATATATTAGTTTTCAATAATTTCGTGACAAAGTCACATATTGATACTATCAGCTGATTACGATAATGTTTTCCTGAATTAAAAAAAAAACTCAGAATGAAATGTTTACCGATTTTACGACATCTGACTGATAGCATTTTTAGTTTGTTTCAATCATGTGCTCAACAATGTTTTCGTTATCACAATGATGTATGTATGACTTTTATACATCTCATTTCGAGTTGTATTCAATGAGACAACATTTGATACAGTGCAGAACCGTAAAATTCTAATTTCACGAACGTATTATGGTAAAATGTCTCTTGATAACGGTGATCAAATTTGTTTCAATATTAACCGAATCGACCACTGAAATTCAGGTGTCGATTCTCATCAGCAATGTTTTGTCAAATTACCAACTCACCCGTAACTAAGTATAATAGCAAGCCATAATATAATGGTTTATTACTAAATCAAGAGCAGAGAACTGTAAGACAACTCAACTTTTTTAGTTCATGAAATAAGTGAACTCTGTAGTTTACACTACATAGTTCGGATTCACTAGTTGTTGGGTATAGTGGCATTCCATTTATATGTTGGATCTCTGATGATAACTATGAAGTCAGGTGACATGAAGAATATTTCAGATATGTTCAAAGGCTCAACCTTGAATGTGAATGGTGATCATGGATCATAGAACTTCAGGGTGATCCTTATCAGGGGGAACTGTACTAACCAGGTTGTGAGTTTTCATGCGTAATATTTGGATACAATCATATAATAAAACGTGTCATGCATGAACATTCAGGTGGGTATAACCAATTCATTGTTTAGTGCACAATTGCACAGTGTGTTAGTCAAATAAGAAAACCATACATTAAATGCTTTATCTGAACATCATTTAGTTGTCTCTCACACACTCATCATTCCTTCATTCTTTTTGTTATAACAATCACTCTCTGCTTACATTCCTATCTACTTTGATTAGATCTTCTCAACTTTCTGTCACCAAACATTCAACTTCTGGCCTGTTTTACATACTACTTATATCTGCCAACATAAATAACATAAACCACACATCCATAATGAAACCAAGCATATAAATATGCGGCCTATTGGCCTCCGCACATACAAGATTTACGGATCTTTAAACAAATCCTAAAACAAATTCATCATATCAACTACAAAAAATCGCAAGTTATGAAGTAGTTCAATGTAGGCCACGTATACACACAATCATTAAAGACTGTAGTAATGTGATCATTAGAAGTATTCGAACTGAATCGCTAACTAAGAATTTCCGAAAAGGCTCAATTCAAGACAGGTAAAACTAGATTAAAAAACTGAATGTATTATATTTTGGATTCGTAATAAGCAAAGAAATCATCAGTTAGTACAGAAATCACGGCTTTTTTCTCCTGTTACACTCAATGGAACAAAGACCATCCACCAGCAATCCCCAACTCACTCTGTCCTGGTCCTTCCTTTCTACTTCTGTCCGATTGTCGTTCATTCATTCCATGTTTGTCTCCGTTTCTCAGCGTAATGTGTTCGTTGGTTTTCCTCTTCTCCTTTTTCCTTGAGGATTACAAATGGGGGCTTTCCTTATGGTGCAGTTGGATGCTTTACTCAATGTGTGTCCTATCCATTTCCAGATCTAAAATCACAGTTGCCACGGCTTAAATGGGAACGCAGATTTCTGTAATTAATTGTACGTCTTTTCTGCAGGACGATCATGTGTATATCAGAATTTGTATTGGCCGAGCTCTATATTATATATGATGTGCTCAGTAAATTAACAACGGGAATCACAACAGGCTTACCCGGGTCTTTGTGCTGTACACGGTTTTTGTGACTGACCTGCAAATCTATTCTAGATTTATAAAGCATTTTTAGCGGACCTTTAATAGACCGTAAAATTTGTAGTATAGTATATCACATTAACAAAATGTTATAATTTCCAATTGGCATATTTCGTCCAAGTTCACTGTTGAGTTCAGTGCTTCCAGGTTTTCATTGTTGGTCTAGCTTAGATAGACTTATGAATTCGATTGTTAACATTTCCACAACTTCTACAATATCTACAATTCCTCATTCTGATCTCATAATTGTTTCCATTGCGTGCGACCTGGTAATTCTGCACAAAAGTCTTCACCTAATTGTGGCGTTTATACTAACGCCTCATTCATTTATACCTGATTGAGCGCTTATTACGAATTCCAAATATAATACATCCAATCTTGTTCATCTAGTTTTACTTGAATTAAATTTTCACTACTTCAAGATTTCTTAGTTAGCGAACCAGTTTGAATTCTTCTAGTTATCGTAATGGCGATGCGATAGAGTCTGTCATCGAACATTTGGGTATACGTTTCAATGCTGAAGCTTTTTCGGATTATGTGGAAATGTTTGAAGTTTGACTTATGACCAGTAAAGACAAGAATGAGAATATTAAGGCTCATTTCCTTACTTCTATCCGAAAGGATGCCTACAACTTACTAAAAATTCAGTTTATTGATTATTGTATCCCACGTTCACAGACACATTTGGCTCGATATTGTACAAATATTATTTTCTATTTAATGATGTGATGCGGTCTGTCTGTCTGGTATATAAATCGAGTATGCTTCAAATAAGCGATTCTCATAGCAGAAGTTGCAATTGGTGTTCTGGACTCAATTAAAAGGGCTGGGCGGCCAAGGAACCAATAAAGACGCTAGACTACTCATGATGGTCGAACGTCATTGATTTTGCAAAATGTTAATATTAGAAAAGTCGTATTCTGATTAATGGATAATCCACGTGATAAAAGCCGGACATAAGATCAACAGCGAATTAGCATACGTCCTGTTTTTTATGAAGTCACAACACCATAGGCTATGGCGAATAGTGAGTTTTAATTAAAGGCATGTTTCCGCTGTTGGGTCTTCCACATCTAAGTTAAGAACGATTTATAACTTAAGTAAAACTGAATGCTATAGCTGAAAAAGACACTTCATGACTGGTAAAATAAAAGCAATGTTTTGCTACAGTGGTGTTCATAGTTGTCTGAAATGACGGTAATGAGAACAAATGCCGTTAAAACATTCATACAGTAATCTCACTGACGGTGAGACCCAACCATGAGTTTTAGAAAATAAAAACGCAATACTAGCTTCAACTAGGGCTACAAATACGGAGATGTCGGTGTCCAAAAATTAGACGTTAGTGTCACCCTAAAAATGATGAAATTTCGTTCTTTATATCCTACAGTAACATTTTATACAAGCATCCTCTTGCACGGATATATTCAAGTCGTAATGATTGAACCGGTATGGTTGTAATCAGAAAAAATATTAACCGAAATTTTATGGAATATGCAGACTTAAAAGACGACCAAGCTATGGAACCGAAAAGATTATTTATGGAGAAGTGATGCATTCAAACTTGTGGGGGTCATCCTAGAAACTCTAGAATAACGTTCTGTCCGATAAAATAAGGGTTTAACGGACCAGATTGGTCGAGAGGTAATCAGATGATCAACAATTAATAACCACAATAGGAATAAAGACCAAATAATTAGCCGTTCGCTTTTTTGTTTAGAAAAGACGGACACCTTCAATGAATTCATGGTTTCTTTTGATGTCTCCGAATTATTTACTACAATCTCATCGACAGAAGCTGTACAAATAAAGCGTGAACACGCTGATCTGTAGTGTTATCGGTTCCTAACCACACGATCTTTGAGGTTGAACATAATGCAGAAAATACACATTCGACGATTAACACGAAAATGTCAGACATCATGAACGTGAAAACAATTCATCAGCATGGTATAACAGACTAGCAAGCATGGCTATTCTGTGTAATTCGTACCTTCCCACAGTAAACATATTAATTTATCCGCAGCCAAAATATGTTCTTCAGAAGTATTAACCATCATATTGCTGATTGTCACCACAGGACGAGTTAGTATAGACGATGATGTGATTTCCACATAATACATTATAGATTAGGTAGTCACGTTATGGTGAATATGTGATTTTGAGATTAGGTCAACATTACAGTGAAAAACATGAATGTAATAACACCGAATGAGACCATGTATCAACAGAACTACTCAGCTTTACAAAAGATGAATTTAAACAGCTCCTACTAATATGCACCAAAGGCATTTAGTTTCTATTCAATAATGTCCTATATCATTTGTCTGGTGGGGTGGCTTTGAATAGCACACTGGGTCCGATTCTCGCAGATATATTTGCGGGAATTCTAGAACAGACAGTCATGAAATCAGTAATCAATGATACAGATTTGTACGTCAGGTTTGTTGACAATACATTCGTAGCTTAAAAAGAGCCTTGGTCAGAATGCTGCTCAATCATAACAGAAGAATTTGTTTAGTAGGTGGAACTGATGAGGAACTAACCATAGTTGAACATTGCCTATGTGATAATTTTTACCCTCGATAATGGGAAGAAGAAAGTGAAGGAAATGGAGTGTGTTGTGGTTGAAAAGCAGTGTGCATTCCTAAGACTTGACTTCAAAGATGATGAAATAGCCTTGAAGACTGACTTTTAGATTAGAAACCATAATAAAAAGGATTTATTTAGCTGTCAAGCTCATCTCCCTGAATCAAAAGAACTGCTCATTTAGACAGTCATGTATGGACAGTGTGAAAACGTTATAACTCAAGTATTTATTTGCCCCCCGTTCAGAGTAGGCATTATAGTTCCTGTTACCCTATGACGAATGTTGACAGTTTTGTGTTTAAAACCAGAACTTTTGGCTCCAATCGTTGTATTTCGTATTCCGAACAATCTACTTCTGGTATTTTTAGAGCATAAAAATAGGAGTGATTACTAGCAGCGAGAGTCCTAGAATGAACTCAATGTGGTTTGACTACTTCATACATCTAATTTCCCACAGTGATGCATCAGGAAACTGAATAGGTGAAAGTATTTTTTAATATGTGTACAATTTAGACCACCCAAACCCCCCATGAAGAAACATATTGTCCACAAAAGGAAATTGACACTAAGTAGTCGATCAGTTAGTGACGCTTCAGAAGAGAGAAATCGGATGCTTCTTTTAGATACTGCCGTTTTAAAAATACCGATTGTTTTTTCAGTAGCGTGTACCTGATATATGTATGGCTTCTTACATATTGATGCTATGATTTTTGATTAGTCTATTTCTGCCCCTTAAGCCGTTTGATATGTCACTTGCTCTGTTATTCATAGACTTGTGTTCATTCTTCTAGTTTGTTCGACTGATTTTTTGTCTTCTAAACACCGCATTCTTCCTTTCTTCTGCGCTAAAATTTGTATAATTTTTGCATTGCAACTAACAAAACCCCACTGACCAATGACAAACACATTCTTTTTAAAGTTCCGGATAAACAAGCTTGCAAAACTCGAATCCACTAAGATTACTGTTAACTAGGACCTGTCTAGGGATAAATTTTATGATTCTATTCCTTTCTTCTTGTTCTTTATAGACTTTTTCTTCAACGAGTAATATTTGGGGACGGCGATCAGCAATTTAGGTGATCTATGTCGATGACTTAGATCTACTACAGTTGGACTGAAATAGTGTGATATCTTAGCCTATGTATAATTAGCACGTCACAGTTCATACCTGACGTGAATCAACGTTTTGTCAAATATAAGTACTGCGGCCAATATGATGACCATAAAAACAAACATGGTGTTACTGAAGTAATGTATCAATTATAATAGGTCGGCGAAACGAACAGCGGCCACTGCCGCGCAGTTTCGTCCACCGAGTGGGATTTTTTAATGCACGTTGGTTTTTCTTGACCTCAGTGAAGCTCCACAAACTGCTCCACGTCCAGCGACCGTTCTGATGGATGATTTGAGTAGTAAAAAGTGACATTTCACTGACGCTACACAAATTATGCAATTAAGAAAGTTGATATTGTGAAATTCGAAGTTGATTTTGATAGCAAAAAAGCAAACCAAGTTAAAGAGGTGTGGAGATAAATAAATCCCCGAAATCAATAGATCTGTAAATGTAAATGTACTTGTCACATTAGTTTTAATGGACTCATCCATCTGGAGGCCCTCAGTCGTGCATCCCCACAAGATCACAATTGGAAACGCCGTGCTCAACATCCCTTGCAATCACTAGCTAGATTAGATCAGTTGACCTACGATATATAGACGGCCTATCAAATACATCTTCGAACCTCCTCGCTTCGGTCTTTTGATTTCATCTGGTGGGTAATAGGTGTTACTGGTTGAAGAGTTGTCAAACTCCAAATACCTGTGGCATCTTCAAAGGCTTGGAAAAAAATAGTTACCAATACAAGAAAGAGCGAGATATTTTCAAATATCTCCGTTGCGCAGGAACGAACACATATCGTGTGAATAGTGAAACCTCAATGGTGAACCAAGTAATATGAAAATGAGTTACTTCAGGACTGGTACAATCGACTACCCTAATTGAGTTCCATCAAAGTCCTAATATTGTGATGAAGCAATAGGAAGATTGCGCAAAAAATCACTTTATTTACATCAACTAGTTACGGAGATACTGGGCATTGTATTTCTTAAAACTCCACGGACACAATTATAGTTGAGTGGCTAGACTACCAAAACTGGACTCAAGCGATAGCCTGAAAAGGTACATTTACATTAAGACGTCTTTTTTTACAGTAATCAAAGAGTTTTAATCAAGTGATCACAGAAATTTTAGATAATATATGTTACGAATCTTCGACGTAGCACTTTGTAGGTCACACCCAGGGTCACTTTTTGCCAATATTTCAAAACCTTCACGTTATGGATGAGTCTGTACCTTCGAAGAGCCAGTCTAAGAAGCTGGCTAAACGTGAAAAAAAGATGGCTAAATTTGAGGCCAAACAAGAAAAACTTTTGTCAGATACTTCAAAGGTACTTTTTCCTGTCTTTATAAAGTTTTCAGAATCAAAAATCGTCAAAGAAAGACAAATTAAAAAAGGAGCAAGTTGTTCTGAATGCAGTGGCAGACACGTCTGGCAAAAAAGGTTCGTGTGTCTTTCTTATTGTTGCTGTTTGAAGATATGACTGGTGAAATGCCTGAATCATACTCCCCCAAATATGTTGAAGCCATGTGGTACGAATGGTGGGAGCGTAGTGGGTTTTTCAAACCGGAATTTCGGGTAATTGTGGTAATAAACTTTTGGATTCGTGTATTTACAAGCTTCGGCTATAGTTCCAGCCTACTTAGTCCCTCTGTTAACGTAATGAAAACTTCATAAATGCTATCAAACTGTTGCTTCACTTCACTAGTCTTCTGTTAGCAATTGAATTATCACACTATTTTTCGCGTTGCATCCCACCAATATCATGTGTAGTAATGTGATAAATACTGGTTTTCAAAATCTCTACTGCCATGAGGCAAACGCACTCAAAGTAAACAGATAACTACCACACTGACTAGGACTGGTGCAATCGAGTACCTAGACCTCCACTCATTAAGCATTACCAAAGATCTAGAACCGTACTGAAACAACAAGAAGCGGACGCAGAAAAATCAATCGGTTTATTCAAGCTTATGACTTAGAAGTTGGATATATTGAGTCATTTTTCGAAATTCCAAAGACGTTTTTCTTACGGTCTTAAATAAACCAACATCATCGAGTTAGTCACACAATCCATTGTTCTATGATAGTTTACAAGCATTGTTTGTAGGAATTAAAACCTATAACAAGTTTTGTTGATTATTAGTCGTCTAACTGTGATTGCATTCAGCGTTTTAGAATGTTTCACCACATGTTTTACCTTCCTTCGATCATTTCGGATTATCAAATTCTCACAATAATCAGTCTATTTGTTATTAATTCTTAAGAAAAAAAGAAAAATCACGACGACGGACCTGTGATATACTCGAATTAGGGGTACTTATTAACTAATCGTAAAAACGTGCACTAATTTATTGAGTTTAAACTTTCTGGTAAAGTAGATGACTATTTTACAGTAAATTTGATTTCTTATGGTACACGAATCTGCGCCTAGTGTGCGCAAATGCATCCAGAAAAAGTTCTGTTGCACATCTCAGTATTATTCGCTACATAAATCGTTGTTCTGCAATGGTGATTATTAATGTTTTAAGTGAAAAAATGTAGATTAATTTATTACACTGTTTAGGAGGTAGTTAGGTTTCAATAAAACGTTCGCTTTTTCGTTGACTCTTAAGATTGAAAGCCCAGACAAATTTGTTATGGTTATACCTCCCCCAAACGTCACAGGAGTCTTGCATTTGGGCCACGCTTTGACAAACAGCGTTGAAGATGCTATTACACGATGGCACAGAATGAATGGAAAAGTTACACTCTGGATTCCTGGATGTGACCACGCCGGTATCGCCACTCAGGTGAGTTCTCATGATATGTTAGACGGTTATATTTCTTTATAACAATGAACTTGCATAACTGTAACCGTGTTTTTTTATTAATATAACACGAGGAACCCATAAGGATCATTGATAATTGCTAAATAATAGCTAAAATAAGCCATAAATTTTCATATGAGTGAGCATGATCGGTGAAATGCTCGTGGTTTAAAAACTTACTCAAATATACAGACTTTGTAAATTGACTGATTCTGTAGATGTTTTTTTACAATTCTCCCATTAAATCTCTTTTCTGTTGGCTACTTTACCTGGATCTGTCTTTATTGTAGCTTTATTCAGTCTCCCCATTACTCCATTTCCATCTAAACTGTAGTCACTTAAACTCGATAATTGCACTTCGGATAATATATTCACTTATTATTATGGTGTAGTGTCTAGTACTGTGTCAAGCCGATATGGGTTATTTTAACTTCCGGACAGAGTAGTTTCTTCACTCTTCCCAAGCCTCATTTTGACCTTGTTAACTACTCACTTATCCACCTTAACTGTTTTTATATGAGCATATATGTGTGCATTGCATATCCTACGTATCAAATGTTTGTAACTTACTTTTGTCTGATTGTAAATATCGAATCACGCTTGATCAAATCGAGTTGGCTCTCTCGCCTTCTCTACTTCTTATTCTGAATGTCCATATGGATAAACAAATATTTGGAATATCCTCCAACGCAACTTATATTTGGCTTCTTATTATCGCCGTGACACAAACGGGGTTAGTCTAAGTAATATACAGAGTTAAATAGAAGATCTTGTAGGGGCTGGTACTATGTCAAGCCCACATAGGTTATTCTATCCTGTGGACAGATCAATCTGTTCATTCTTCTCAAGTCGCATTTTCATCCTGTCACTTATTCGTTTATCAAGCTTGACTGTTTTTATGTAATGGTGTGTGTTCATTTCTTATTTCACTCATCCCATGTCTGTAACATATTTCCGTTCGACTGCAAGTATCGATTCACGCTTGACTAAACTTGGTTGTCTCAATCTCCTTCATTGCGCGTCGTTTTGTTTTGCTTCGCTTTCCGATCAACGATTGTACGGAATATACGTATTCAGATATTCGGGGGCCACTAAAATTTATATTCATAGCATATTTGTACGATCAAACTGGAGCCAGATACTGGGCTACAACAACAAAAATTAGCCCGGGGAACATGCGAAGAACGAAAAAATCAAATGAACTATCCTTCAGTTAGTAGTCACTGTTTTCAGAATTATATGAAACCTTGGGTAGCTAAAGGATTAAGTATCGAAAAGTTACCTCTGAATTTTCGAACACTATTTAATGTGGTCAAGCTTGATCATTATGGAAAAGTGAGGTGGTTTCATCCTTTTTTTCATTCTTAAAGATATGAATCTCACTTACCTAACAGAGGTCTTTGTTTGAAACAACAATTTTCGGGAAATTATTCAAGGAATTATATTTACAAGTTCAGTAATATAACAGCTAATGTAATTCCTTCATAAACCACAGGTTTATTTATTCGGCGTTTAGTGCTACATTTAGTATTGCTAAGGCTTTTGAGGACATATAGGTGTTTATACTCAAGCAGATAAAGCGCTGTTTAAACCTGCTAATACTTTAACCAATGAGCCAGTGGATTTACAGTTTTCTTACCACTTAGATTTATATATATCGTACTATTTTCAGTACTGCATTCTCTTTTACTGTAAATTAAGTATATGATAGTTCATACCGAAAATTGTAAGTTCTCAATTATTATTTCTCTTCCCAAGCAAAATGTGCAACCAGATAATCATAAAAATAAGGATATATTTATTAAGTCATGCTTTGGTAATGATTATTACACATGCTTACTTACGCCTGTTGCTCCCAATGGAGCATAGGTCGCCGACCAGCATTCTCCAACCCACTCTGTCATGGGCCTTTTCTAGTTCTATCCAGTTTTTGTTCATTCTTCTCATGTCTGTCTCTATTTCTCGGCGTAATGTGTTCTTTGGTCTTCCTCTTCTCCTTTGGCCTTCATGATTCCATGTGAGGGCTTGTCTTGTGACGCAATTGGGTGATTTCCTCAAAGTGTGTCCTGTCCACTTTCAGCTCTTCTTCCTGATTTCTTCCTCCTCTGGAATCTGGTTTGTTCTCTCCCACAGTAGGTTAGTGTCCGGCCATCGGATCCGAAGTATCTTGCGTAGACAGACAACTGTTAATAAACACTTGTATCTTCTGGATGATGGCTTTTGTAGTTCTCCACGTTTCCGACCCATACAACAGAACTGTCTTGACGTTTGTATTGAAAATCTAACCTTGGTGTTGGTTGACAATTGTTTTGAATTCCAGATATTTTTCAGTCGTAAATATACTGTTCTTGCTTTGCCTGTCCGCGCCCTCACATCTCCATCTAATCCACCGTGTTCATCAATGATGCTGAAAAAATATTCAATTACACATGCATTACTAACCAATTTAAATTATTCATGGAGATTTCTAATTTCTAGCGTTTGTTAACTAAATAACTACATTTAAGTTTCCAAACTGTCAAAATACTTATGATCATATTAAAACCAATACCTACTTTATCCTTTTGTCATAGGTAGTGGTAGAAAAAAAGTTGTGGAGAGAGAAAAAACTCACTCGACATGACATTGGACGTGATGAATTTGTGAAAGAAGTTTGGAAATGGAAAGAAGAGTAAGATTTGTTTCATAAGTTGAACATTTGTGTTGATTGTTAGTATGATGTTCATCAAAGAGCACTTTACATATCATATAAATGGATTAGTTATGCATTTTTGTACACACAATAAATCAGGTTTATTCTTTTAACCACACAATACCTTAGTGGAACTGCTTCTCCCTCTATGGTTATCCCATGATATATACCCTTTCTTTTAAGATGGTAAAATAAACAACTTTGACTTGTGTGGTGAAATTTCATTCAACTCCTCAAATGTTAGACTATCTCAGTCACGCTAGCTGTTAAAACTGAACCACTATCCGTAAATATTTTTGTAGTCAACGTGTTTTGACCTTTTCAACATAACTAAAAGTTGGATGTTTATGAGTAGTAGGAACCTAGAAGGAATCTTGAGATCAGTTCAGTGTGACGTCCTATCAATCACCTCGGAGCAATCGGATTCTTTTTTACTCGTCTGTAAATCTTGAGGTTACTGTTATCCCATATTTTCCATTCTTCGGTCTTATTTGTTCCTTGCTAAATTAAATTTTTTGTGGTGCATTTCCCGTTCCAATTGATGTTGTTACTATTATCATTATTTCAGCCCGTTGCGTACTTCTCACTTTATTAATTTTCTCTCTCGGTTTCCCAAAGTGGTTCGATTCTCCAGTTCTTACATTCTCTTTGATTGAATAACTGACTATTCGTCTTTATGTGCTTCAAGTTAATTAGTATTAACGAGTTAAAGGTTAGTGTTCAACCTGCTGAACGATCAGACAGTACCTAGCACTTTGTGATACATTCCGTAATATATATATTATTGTACACAGAGGCTATCAAAGGACTGCTTGGTACAGTCATAGTCAATGTAGAACCTGGCATATATTTGTGTCGGTTCAATTTGTCTCACCATATTACCCCCGAATGCCCTGGTACGGCCGAGAGTGGGGAGAGTCTACTCTCCCTCTCGAAATGCTCTCACATGGCCAGCGAATATATAGCCTCTGCCAAGGAAGTCCTACTCACTACCTTCTCGTGGCGGGGGTGTTGTTTACGAAAGTGAGAGGACGAAAAGCGAATGTCCGGCGCTATAACCGGATTGGTGGACACGGAGGGTCCACCTAGGGGAGTTGGAAAACCCTGATTCCAAACCAATGGTGCACATGGACTCCAGTATCCTGATGGAACGAATGGCGGAAGAACCTGTCATTGGTCAACGGCTACCATGGGACTGCATCTCCTCACGATGCTCCACTGCCTTGTGGATCAGACCTTTAGGTCAAAGGCTCGGGGTGTGGCCCCCTAAGAAAACCACCTTCTTCGGTTTGGGCACCCGGGCAGTATCACAGCCCACACACAAATGAATGAAATAATGAACTCTATTGACGATAATATCCCTGCTCATACTAAAAGCAAGACAATTTACATTATTGTTATTATTATTATTATTATTATTATTATTATTATTATTATTATTATTATTTACCATATCGCTAACTCACCCCCTTTTATTCCCAGCCGTTCAAGCTGGCTTCCTTCAACGTTCGCACACTAATGCATATCAGACAACAGATAGGGCTGGCTATGTCTTTGGAAGGTCTTAATGTTGATGTTTGTTGTCTATCCAAGACCCGTATTCAAGACTCTAGTGAAGTACTACAAATCCGCTCTCCATCTGTCGCCTCGAAAAGCTTGTTCCACGTGCGCTTATCCGGGGACCCTGTGGCATCTTCGTCTGGTCTTGCTGGCGTTGGTGTCGCACTAAGCGCTAGGGCTGAGGCAGCACTAATCGATTGGATCCCCATTAACAGTCGGTTATGTGCTGTTAGATTAGAAAGTTCCATCAAAGTGAGAAGAAATCGGCGCGAGAAACGGTGTCTTTTCGTCATCTCCGCCTATGCCCCGACAGATTGCAGCCCGGATGCAATCAAGGATGAGTTTTACTATCAGTTAACAGTTCTTCTCCAGAAAGCGCGTTCGACAGATATTGTAGTACTAGCCAGAGACTTGAATGCTCAGGTCGGGCGTCCAGGCACAGAAGAGAGTCGTTTAGGTGGCCGATGGGGACTTGTTGGCCGCAGGACAGATAACGGGGACCGTTTGCTGCAACTGTGCACAGACCACAACCTGTTTCTGGCCAGCACTAACGTCCGGCACAGTCATCGCCGGTGTGCCACTTGGCGTCCTCCCTCTGCATCCCAAGCCTGGACTCAGATTGATCACATCGCGATCAGCTACCGCTGGCGTGGTTGTGTACAAGACTGCCGCTCCTTTTGGAGTACCTATCTGGAGTCTGATCATGCCCTGGTCTGCGCCAATCTCACCTTACTTTTCAGTGGCCGAAGGATTGACCACCATCAACGGATCGATGTTAGTAAACTGGCTGCAACTTCTGTTGCAAGTAAGTATCGAGCTGAGCTAGCCTCTAGGCTAGCTACCACCCCACCGAAAAGTATAGACGAGCATTGGTTGCATCTTCACGACGCCATGAAAATGGCGAGTAAAGCCGCTTGCGGCTTCGCGAAACGTCCCGCTTACAAGCACTGGGTCTCTTCTGGCTCCTTACAACTGATCGAAGCCCGTCGGTCTACTCCGGGTGACCGTGAGTTTGACCACAAACGAAGGCTGTTACGTAATGAAATCGGGCAAAGCTTGAGTAAGGACCGGGAAGCCTGGTGGTCGGAGCGTGCTAATGAGTTGGAAGCAGCAGCTGCATCTGGTAACTGCCGGAAGCTCTTCCAACTCATCCGAGCCACTGGAAGCAAGAAGTCTGGTGTGAGTGAAACAATCTACGAGGATGATGGGATGCCAATCACTAACATCTGTCGACGTCTTGGACGATGGGCGGAATTTTTCGAAGGGCAGTTCAACTGGCCTGCTGCTCCGGTAACATCAACCAGCTTGTCCTGCTCCCCATGGCCGGTGACGACTGATCCACCAAACGAGGCGGAAGTCCGCAAGGAACTCCAACTCTTGAAACGTTATAAATCACCTGGCCCAGATGACTTACCTCCGGCTCTTTTTAAAGATGGTGGTGACTTTCTGACTAAGGAATTGACTGAGTTGTTTGGAAAGGCTTGGGAGCAAGAAAGTGTTCTAACATCTTGGAATGAGTCAATAGTCGTCCCTATCTTTAAAAAGGGTTCACGTTGTTCCTGCAATAACTATTGGGGGATGTCTACTTTCGATTGCGTCCAAACTATTGGCTTCTATCATTCTTCGTAGGTTGTTTAAAACCCGAGAACGATTGACTCGCGAGGAGCAGGCTGGTTTTCGTTGTGGTCGAGAATGCATTGATCACATCTTCACCCTCCGCCAAATGTTAGAACACCGTCATACTTATCGCAGGCCAACAATCGTAGTGTTTCTTGATATCAGGGCGGCCTTCGATTCGTTGGACAGGACTGTTCTCTGTAATTGTCTATTGAAGAAGGGTGTGCCTGAGAAGTTCATTAACATCTTAAAGGCCCTGTATACGAACACCTCAGGCAGAGTGAGGGCATACAACCACCTTTCTCCCTTGTTCCATTCGAGCAGTGGGGTTAGGCAGGGTTGCCCGATCTCACCATTCCTCTTCAACTTTGCTATCGACGACATCCTGGAAACAGCTCTGGTGGATGTAAGTAATGGCGGTGTGGATATGTTGCCTGGAGAACGACTTCTCGACCTCGAGTATGTTGATGATATTGTCTTAGTGTGCGATGATGCCCAAGGCATGCAATCCGCACTTAATCAGTTGGCAATCAGTGTCCGCAGGTACGGCATGTGCTTTGCACCCTCCAAGTGCAAAGTACTCCTACAAGACTGGCAGAATTCTCATCCTGTACTCACCCTGGATGGTGAGGAGATCGAAGTAGTTGAGAAGTTCGTGTATCTAGGTAGCTATATAAGTGCTGGTGGTGGCGTGAGTGATGAGATTGATGCACGTATAATGAAAGCCAGAGCGGCTTATGCTAATCTGGGCCATCTTTGGCGCCTTCGTGATGTTAGTCTGGCTGTAAAAGGTCGGATCTACAACGCGTCGGTGAGAGCAGTTTTGCTCTATGCTTGTGAAACCTGGCCTCTCCGAGTTGAGGATGTTAGACGACTCTCTGTGTTCGATCATCGTTGTCTCCGAAGGATTGCTGACATAGTGGCAACACCATGTTAGTAATGCAGAGGTTCGGCATCGTGTGTTCGGGCGCAGAGACGATAATTCAATTGGTGTCACCATCTTGAAACACCGACTTCGGTGGCTTGGACATGTTTTACGAATGTCGTCCCAGAGACTTCCACGTCGTGCATTATTTGCCGACCCTGGGACTGGTTGGAGAAAGCGGAGAGGAGGTCAGTGTATGACATGGTGTCGTGGCATGAAAGAAAGCTGCAAAGGGCTAGCTTCTGTTGGTCCTTCACGACTCCCTGGCTGGGATCCGAGAGATGGTGCAACACAGTGGCTAAAGACGTTATCAGATATGGCTCAGAATAGAAGCCAGTGGCGATCCTGCTGCAACCTTCTTTTACTTTCTACATAAAGAATGGTTCTAACTTTCCTAACTGAAAGAGTCTTCTGGTTGTACATTTCAGTCCGCCTTATCTTTTCATCCCTTCTCTTCCTACTTTCATTATTTTGTGTGGCGCATATGTATTTGCTGCCCTTTTGTACCAATATATATGTGTTTAAATAAAATAATAAATAAACCATATTGCCTCAGCAAGGTGAAAAGTTAAACGACAGAAGCGTTATGTTTAAACGAATGTCTACAACAAAGTTAAATAGAAATGAATACAAAGAACGGCCCTTGAAGTGGACAAATATAGTGACTGTTTACCAGTATTATTCTAGTAGAGCCTGTACAAGGTAATACATTTTGGTACACCTTTCAATGTCAGACTCTATCACAAAACCTAAATTAACAGTGTCGAATGATGCTTTATGATCAAGGAACACAACTATGACCGGACGTCGGAAAGTATATTTCTGTTCCAGAACTTAATAAGGGCCAAATACTTGGGTTGGTGACTTATTGGTTACGACATTCGACCTTCGGTCACTCATTTCTAGGTCCAAACCTTACCCCATCTACTTCGGTTTAGGTGAATGAGTAATATCAGTCGCCTTCACATTTAGTGTGGCTCCTAGTCAAATACCTGACGAATGAGTTAGTCATAATGATGAACACATGTTTATTCAAGTCAAAAGCCTGTCTAGTTCTCCCATTTTTGCTCTTTACCAGCCATAGATAAGTGAGCGATAATTATTAAAATCGAAATTTTAGACACTGCTAATCAAACTGATTCTTTTATGGCTGTCGCAAGAAGATTTCTGTCCTTCCTTATAAACTGGGACAAACAACGATCAAAATCAGTGAGTTGAGATTATGTCCAGTTCCTGAACTCTAGCTAATATCTCAGTCAATATAACTGCTAAAACTAGACTGCTACCACTAAAGACCTCCATAAGAGCCCATTTATTTTCATTGCTTTGGACTAACTATACCTTTTCCAACCTCATTAAGAGTCGGGGACCTGGAGTTCTGCGTGATCGGGGATTTTGTAGTGGACGGATACTTGGATTAAAGTACCCCACTTAAGTTCCATTCATTTCTTGACGCAACCGCCCGACCGTAGCTTCTACACTGACACGGTGATTTTACTTGCTAATCTTCATCAGTCGAGCTATATTGGATAAAACGTATTTTTATTGAGGTCCTGCCATGCTGAACAAAACGTATGGATAATAATAAGATCAAAAACATCAAATTTATTTTAGGGCCGACTACAATGATGTATCCTTATGAAATCAGTTTGTCCCATGCATTATTTTCCAGTACCAGTTACACCATTTTCTTTTTCCCTTCACCAAGACAATTTAAATAGCCTTTATTCATCTTTTTAGAAAGGGTGATCGCATTTATCAACAACTCAGAGCTTTAGGAAGTTCTTGTGATTGGTCTCGAGCTAGATTCACTATGGATCCATCTATGAGTAAAGCTGTTACAGAGGCTTTTATTCGTTTATACAATGATGGTTTAATTTATCGAAGCCTTCGGTTAGTCAATTGGTCCTGTACTTTACGTTCAGCCATATCAGATATTGAAGTAGATAAACAAGAACTTTCTGGACGTACTTTACTTCGTGTTCCTGGCTATAATAAACCTGTAGCATTCGGAGTTATTACATCATTTGCTTACCCTCTTTTACCTGGTAAGCATTTGTTCCAGCTATTTTTTCTCATAACTTTCTTCTGTCATTCAATTTCAGTTCATTTTAGAAGACATCAAAAATACTTATTAACTTCAATTGATGATTTAGAACTTTGGCCCTAATGGCCGAAGAAGTAATTCAACAGACATCTTTTATACAATTGTTTCTAGAATTATCATGTTCATAGCAATAATCTGAACAGTGTAGAAAAAAACTGCCCGAGTACCCAGACTGAAGCAGGTGGTTTTCTTAGGGGGCCACACTCGGAGGCTTTGACCCAAAGGCCTAGTCCACAATGCAGTGGATCATCGTGAGGAGATGCAGTCCCATGGTAGCCGGTGACCAACGATTGATTCATACGCTATTTTTTCCTCAGGATACTGGAGACCATGTGCACCATTGGTTTGCAATCAGGATTTTTCAACTCCCCTAGGTAAACTCGCCGCGTCCACCGGCCCGGTTAAATCGCTGGACATTCGCTTTTCGTCCTCTCAATTTCGTAAACAACAGTAATGCTGTGAGAAGGCAGTGAGTCGGACTTCCCTAGCAGAGGCTGTACACTATGAAATATAACTAAAGAATATTGTATTTGTTTGTGGATTTATGGTAGTTTTAAATGTTAACTTTCGTTAAAATAAAATGCTTTTTTAGATCTATATGCGCTGAATATTTCCAACTTTTGAATGGGACACGTATTATGTATGTTCAACCATTTCTTAGCTCGACGAGCGATGTTTTAGCTAGTATAAGAGTAGATCGGAAGAAATCTAAGGCTGAACCAACCAAAATGCAATATCAGTCCATGGAATTATTGACTCTTGCTATGTACAGAATATCTGGTTTGGGTCCATGTGATGATAACCACGATCGGTGGTTAAAAACGTTGGTTCACAATCAATCACACTGGCGCAGATGCACTTACTCTTCATTGTCTTTTGAATCCCGAGATTCAAAATTGTTCCACAAGTTCATCCATTATATTCTGTATATTTAGTTACGCTATGAATAATACTATTATGTTTTGTATCACTAACTGGCTTAAGTTTAAACCTATAGCTAGCATTGTTTGCTCTAGCATTAGATGTGTAACTCACCAACCATGAATGCTAGCCTTACAATTGATATATTCGCCCTTCAACTAACACACTGCGCTTTCGAGACCTATATTTGTCTGGGAAGCTGGTAAGTATCACCAGCCTAAATGTATACTTGGTAAAGATACATGACGTTATTCATATTATTCCATTCTTTCTTTTGGATATATTGTTTTGATAAACTTTTCATCTTAAATTGTCAAACCTTGGTTCATTTAATGCTGTTTTCTTCTCTACTAACAGATCCTAGTAAAGCTGAATCAGACACTGAAATTGTTGTCGCAACCACACGACTTGAAACAATGTTAGGTGATACGGGCGTTGCTGTACATCCTGACGATAATCGTTATCGACATTTAATTGGTCGCCTAATCAAACATCCACTTATTCCGGATAGATTAATTCCAATCGTTGGTGATACATTTGTTGATCCGAATTTCGGAACTGGTGCTGTAAAATTAACACCTGCTCATGATCATAATGATTGGGAAGTTGGGAAAAGGCATTCACTTCCTACTGTAATAGTAATTGGTGAAGATGGTCTGATGACATCTGCTGCAGGTCCCAGATTTGAAGGTATGTATGTTTTTAACCAATCACGTCGATAGATCAGATGGAGAAAACATTAACCTTAGAAGTGTTTTCTCAAAATAATAATTTGATAAAAAAAATAGTAATTTGATCTTTCAACTTGATCATCAATGTCCACTTAAAAAGCCAACCATCAACGTGGTAATATACTGCTTTAGTATGCGTCTCATTGACAAACAACACTACAAGACATTTCGATCAATGGAACACAGTACTGTTGTCAGACTGGATATGCAGATATTTAAAAAGAAACAATCAATTAACTATCCATCTTCAGTTGAGATGGCTGGGACACGTGTTACGTATGCCCAACCACCGACTGCCCCGACGTGCAATGTTTCATGGTGTAGGAGTAGGTTGGAAGAAAGCTAGGGGTGGCAACTTGAACTGATGTACGTACGTATGAAGTTCTACGTTGTAGCTGACTGACTGAACTAACTAATTAGTACAGATTTGATAGAAACATTCACTTTGAGTCCAAAGTCTATTGTTGTACGATTTTCAGTTACATGTTACATAACTGTACAAGTTGAACTGTTAAAAAAACAACGTTAGTCAAAGTGATTTTTTCGTAGTCATCAGAGTAAAAATAAACCATTTAAAGCAGTTTAACTTTTAAATTTCGTGAATTGGTTGAAGTTAGACATTAACACCGTTGAATGCCGGTTTAGTGGTCTAGAGGTTAAGCGCTCGCGCGCGAGGCGAGGTCGTGGATGCGCACTGCTGAGTGATCTCACAATAGGACGAAACGGTTGTCCAGTGCTTCCACGTTTTCCATGATGGTCTAGCTTCAATTGGCTCTTGATCTCAACTATTTAAATTTTAATTCATAGTTCAGTCAATTGCAATAACAGTAATAATCCTAAAAGACTTTTGAAGTTCACCTTTCAATTGTGGTATTTAACCCAATTATTGTAGATTACTTCCAGTCTTCTTAACTTCATCAGCACATAGATGTTTAATTTCAACTATCCATCCACATTGTTTCATTTTATTTTATTTAAACACATAAATATTGGTACAAGGAAACACCAGATACATATGCGCCTCACAAATCTCATTCGATTTGTGTGAGGGCTGTGATACTGCCCAGATACTCAAACTGAAGCAGGTTTCCTAGGTGAATCCTCCACATCCATCAACCCGGTTAAAGCGCCGGACATTAGCTTTTAGTCCTCTCAATTTCGTAAACAACACCCCCGCCACGAGAAGGCAGTGAATAGGACTTCCCTGTCAGAGGCTATATACGCCTGACTATGTTAGAGCATTTCGAGAGGGAGAGCAGACTCTCCACTCTCGACCGTACCAGGGCATTTGGGGGCAACTATAGAGTATAAATAAAGATTATTTGTTTTATTCAGCAAAGTATTCTCACTCTTTTTTAGTTCAGTGGCTGGATTTCAATCTGTAATTGGTTTGATGCAAACACATCAGTGAATTTTACGTGGAAATATTTTGTTCCCATCCATTAAACTGACTAAAAAGTCCTCCACTGGCAGTATCCAATTAGAATGGGGTTTGAATTTATGGAGTTTTAAAGGCACAAGATTAAGTCTAGTGTTGATAGGACACCAGATAAATGAAGTAGCACTATGTTCAAATGTTCATCGTCTTGTTTCAAGAAATCTAGCATTCACAAGATCATTTAAAACCGCTACACAATAATTTTGTTGGTTATATGAGATACCTTAAGTGAATTAATAGTTTTGCTGTCATCATTCTGTTACGTAATATATAGTTAAGGATAAATAACAAGACAGTACGGCTAAACCTTTTTTGTACTATGCTGTGGAGCCTTACTTACTTACTTACGCCTGTTACCCCTTGTGGAGGAGCATAGACCGCTCACCAGCATTCTTCATCCAACTCTGTCCTGAGCTTTCCTTTCCAGTTCTTTCCAGTTGCTATTCATCCTTTTCATATCGGCTTCTATTTCCCGGCGTAGTGTGTTCTTTGGCCTTCCTCTTTTCCGATTCCCTTCAGGATTCCAAGTTAGGGATTGAGTCGTGATGCACATTGGTGATTTCCTCAATGTATGTCCGATCCACTTCCAAGGTCTTTTCCCAACTTCCTATTCAGCTGAAAGCTGGTATGTACTCTCCCCTAAAACGCTGTTGCTGATGGTATCAGGACAGTGAATGTTGAGTATTTTTCGTAGACAAGTGTTCATAAATACATATACCTTCTTGAAGATGGATGTAGTAGTTCTCCACGTTTCAGCTCCATACAATAGGACTGTCTTGACGTTCTTAATGAAGATTCTCACTTTGAATTTAGTTGACAGTTGTTTTGAGTTCCATATGTTATTCAATTTTAGAAATGCTGCCCTTGTTTGCCGATCCTCGCCTTTACATCTGCATCCGATCCTCCTTGTTTATCAACGATGCTCCCCAGGTACTTGAATGTTTCCACCTCTTCCAGAGTTTCACCATCAAGTGTGATTGGGTTGGTGTTCTCCGTGTTGCATTTGAGAATCTTGCTTTTTCCTTTGTGAATGTGGAGGCCTATCGATGCGGAGGCTGCTGCTACATTTGCTGTCTTCATCTGCATTTGGTCGTGTGTATGAGAGAGGAGGGCTAGGTCATCTGCGAAGTCCAAATCATGTAATTGATTCTGAGCTGTCCATTGTATTCCGTATTTCCCTTCAGATGTCGAATTCTTCATAATCCAGTCAATCACTAGAAGAAAGAGGAATGGGGAGAGTAGACAGCTTTGTCTGACTCCGGTCCTTACTGGAAATGCATCTGTCAGCTGTCCTCCATGCACCACTTTTCACTGTAGTCCATCGTATGAGTTTTGGATAATGTTGACAATCTTTTCAGGAACTCTATGGTGTCGAAGATGTTTCCATAATGTTCTCCTGTCCACGCTTTCAAACGCCTTCTCATAGTCGATGAAGTTGACGTATAGTGATGAGTTCCACTCAACTGATTGTTCAACGATGACCCGTAGTGTCGCAATCTGGTCTGTGCACGACCGATCCTTACGGAATCCAGCCTGGTGATCCCTAAGTTTGGCGTCTACTGCGTCTTTCATCCGATTCAGCAGCACTCTGTTGAAAACTTTTCCTGGTACCGATAACAAACTGATGCTTATGTAGTTTTCACATTTGTTCATATCTCCTTTCTTTGGTATCTTGATGAGGTATCCTCCTTTCCAGTCCATTGGCACTTGTTCCTCTTCCCAAATCTTCTTGAATAGAAGGTGAAGCATGTTTGCAGTTATTTCAATGTGTGTGTCTGATGACCATCTTGACTTCTTCGATCGTTGGTGGAGTGACATCTATAGGAGGGTCAGTGTGTGCTGCTTCGATGTCCGTTGGGTTCAATGGGGCTGGTCTATTCAGCAGTTCCTGGAAGTATTCTGCCCATCTTTTCCTCTGTTCTTGAATCTCAGTGATTGTCTTTCCTTCTTTGTCTTTGACTGGTCTCTCTGGTTTGCTATATCTCCCTGCCAATTTCTTCGTTGTATCATATAGTTGTTTCATATTCCCTTCTCTTGCAGCTTTTTCCGCCGTCGTTGCTAGTTCTCCCATGTATTTCTGCTTGTCAGCTTTAATGCTTTTCTTCACTTCCCTGTTTGCTTCTGTGTAGTCTGCTTGTGCTTTGACTTTCTCTGCTCGTGTTCGGCTGTTGTTAATTGCTAGTTTCTTGTTCTTCCTTTCTTGAATTTTGTCCAGGGTTCCCATAGAGATCCATTCCTTGTGATGATGCTTCTTAGGACCAAGAACCTCCTGACACGTTGAAGTTAGCGCTTCTTTTATCCATTTCCAGTTGTCCTCCAAAGTAGTTTCTTGTTCTTTCAGTAGATCCTGTAGAGCTTGGAACCTGTTGTTGAGAGTTATCTTGAATTCATGGAGTTTGTCAGTATCTCGAAGGAAGGCTGTATTAAACCTTTGTAGTGCTGTTTGTCCAGTTGTCCAGTGTTTCTTAAGCTTCAGTCTCATCTTGGCCACAACCAGGTGGTGATCTGAAGCTATGTCAGCTCCTCTCCGAGTTCTCACATCTTCCATTGATCTTCGGAATTTTTTGTTGATACAGATGTAATCTATCTGGTTCTCTGTGGTGTGGTCCGGTGAGATCCATGTAGCTTTGTGTATGCGTTTGTGTGGGAATATTATGCCGCCTATAACCAATTTGTTGAAAGCACATAGGTTTGCAAGTCTCTCCCCATTTTCATTTCTCTCTCCTAATCCATGTCGTCCAATTATATCTTCATATCCTGTGTTGTCCACTCCAACTTTAGCATTTAGATCTCCCATCTGGATTGTGAGGTCCTTTCGTGAACACTTTGCTATAATTGATTGCAGCCTTTCATAGAACTGATCTTTATCATCGTCGTTGCTATCATTGGTGGGTGCATAACACTGGATAACGTTCATTGTGATCCCTTGCTTCTTTGTTCTGAATGATGCTTTGATTATCCTGGGTCCATGAGATTCCCATCCCACAAGTGCATTTCGTGCTTCTTTGGACAGCATTAGAGCAACTCCCTGAGTGTGTGGAGCATTTTCTCCTTCGTGACCGGAGTACAGCAGCATCTCTCCTGTACCTAGCCTTTCTTGTCCAGTTTGTGTCCAATGGGTTTCGCTGATTCCGAGTACTGCCAAGTTGTATCTCCTCATTTCCATTGCTATTTGGCTGGTCTTTCCTGTCTCCCACATTGTCCGGACGTTCCATGTACCTATAAAGAGTGTTGCTCTGGTTGTTAGAAGGTGGAGCCTGGACAAGTTTATACATCAATTGTATGATATGCTTGATGAAACTAATTACGTACGGATTCATAAAACGGTATCAATGTGGCTGACATAAGGAATTGCACATCGAAATCATTATTGTAAGATCCTATCAGAGAATCATGAAGTTTGTTAAGCTTTTTTTTAAACTGTGCTGACCCTTGCTAGTTGTTCAGCATGGAATCGCAAGAATAAAATTTATGGACGGACCAATGGCATTAATGGTATCAAGTGTTGTATTTCGGCTCGTAGTTCATTTATCCGTATGTCTAAATAATATTCTGACACTAGCTGATGTCAATTTGTGATGAAAACTCAAACTCTAATACTTAACGCTAACTTCTTTCTATCTTTATCTTAATTCCTCATAATAGTCTATAGCCCTCTTTAAACCCTAGTAAGTGGGTAAGTTTCCTCAAGGTTGCTTTAGCGTCGCTCAAAGGCCGTCCGTAAATTATAGTCGCATTCATCCAATACCCTACCTTCACGGTTTTGTCTTTTCTTAATCGACATTGAACTAAAAAAAATAAGTCACGTACTTTATTTTGTTTAAATTATTTTAAAATAATAATAATAAATTTAATAATGGCTTTACAGGACTTCAAAGATTCATGGCTCGGGATGCCGTTCGGAAAGCTCTCGATGAATTAGGCTTGTATAGAGGTGAAAAAGATAATCCTATGATTGTACCGATATGTTCTCGAAGCAAAGATATTGTTGAACCTATGTTGAAACCGCAATGGTACCTACGTTGTCAGGATATGGCTATTGCCGCAATGAAGGAGGTTAGTTTTTTTCTTGGAAAGACTTCTAATAACTCTTCATGCTACTAATTATTGTATTCAACTTTATAGTTTCTCTTCAAAACCTATGTTAATTACAATGTTATAGACTGCCTTGTTTAGTCCGTGTTGATAGGTGTAGATTACCTTGTTGAATTCCACCTGTTAGTTGCGATTAGTAGTTTAAGATGTCTAATGACGTGGCTTAAAAATCGATCAAAATGGCCCAGATGTATTCATTCCCTATCTATCTCTAGATGTTAAGTTCCTGTGTTCTACCATACGTACCTTTCCATCTCGTCTTATCGAACCACATTCTCATTTTTGTCATTCTCATTACTACTATAATCGTTTCAACCTGTAAGTTGTTTGTTTTGTTCATTTTACTTCGTTGTACTGACATACGATGTGGTAACTTGGAAACTTTTTGTCGAAGCCAGTCGCTAGTGAACACATGATAACTGTTAGTAATTGATTGTGGAGATTGTTAAGTTTCACTGAGTGCGATGCTAGGACAATGTGGTCGTTCAGAACTCCCAGGTTTTCAGCAGTTGTCTAGCTCAGCTCGTTTCATGATTGGAACAAAAACTTAAATCAGAAGGGGATTTGTGGAGATTTCAGTATATTTCAAAGTTGAAATCATGAGTCAATTGAAGCTAGACTAATCTTTATGTTTTGATCCATCCAAAATGTTTGAATTCGTTAAATGGTTACTTTATAAAAATTCCTGTCAATTAATACAATGTTTGATGCAGTTATTCTAATGATATGCGTGTCGTCTAATCCTGGTGCTTTCAGCATGCATATCCAACTGTTCATTAGACAATAGTCTGGTATAGTTAAAGCTAAAAAATGTCACTGTACATTTCAGTGAACCAAAAAACATATTACGCTGGGAACTTGAGGCAAAAGAATGAGTAGCACTTAGCAACAACTGGAAGGGAGATCCCAGGACTAAGTTTATTGGATAGTCCTGGTCGACGGTCCATGTTCCAAGAAGAATAACAAGCGTAAGTAAAATTTTAGTGAGTTGTTACTTATTCGTTCACGATCTATCTACCGACGACACCCAAACAGCCTTTGTTTTGTTCTAAGTAAAGTTTAAAGCTTACTTTATTCATGCTTATTGTCCATTTGTTCCATTTTTACCCTCAACAAATTGGTTTGTTTCTAACTTGATGAAGTGTTTAGTTCGGTTTTAGAAAAATGAAATATTGTACTTCATTGCAGTTCATGAATTGTATTGTAGTGAAATTGTGTTCATTGGTCGTATAATACTCTTTGAATAACATCTTCAAACCCTAATCTTTCGGTTTACTGCTTATACTCTTACTACTTCTACCACTATGGGATTTGAATCGACAACTGCATCTCTGTGCTAATGTGGTATGGCAACTTGAACTGATGTACGTACGTACGAAGTTCTACGTTGTGACTGACTGACATTGGGCGTTTGTTATTACACCTATATAATAATTTTCTTTTTTAAGATGATGGCTTACTCTATGTATCATAAGGATGTTGGTTTTTTATTCACCATAGGTATCGGAAGGTCGCTTACGTGTTATTCCTAGTTTCCATATTCGTACATGGAATAATTGGCTTAAAGATTGTCATGATTGGTGTATTTCTCGACAATTATGGTGGGGACATCGTATTCCTGCTTATCATATTTCAATGAAACATCCTGGTGTAGATCATTTAGAAGTTTTGGATGTAAGTGTCGAATTATAGTGTGTTGTTTTCTTCACTTTTAACATAGTTATGATTCATTCGTTGTGTTCTACACTTTTGAAGGAATATACTGATCACCTTGGGGTGACTTATCAACCAACAAGGAGACGCTGCCTAGTTATAAAACAGTTAACAATACAAAGTAATGAAATAATGGTGGAATAACAGCTTTGATCGTTATAATTAAAACCCACTATTCAAATTATCCTTTTGTAATAAAGAAAAAAAGAGGGCAAGTTTACATATATGCATACATATTAGGAGTCGGGCTTCCGTTTTAAGTTGGGGTTTATCACCTCATAGAGTTTTCGTCACAAACGTTTAATGCAACAAGGTTAAGATTAAGTATCATGGGTTAAACTGGAGTTTTGAGTTTGGTTTACAAACTAGGGTCAGGTATTTCAACTATAATGCAATACCTTTCTACCTTCCTGTTTACAAACTTGAGAAACCTAAGTTTGAGATTTAGAATGAAAGTAAGAAAGGGAGAACAGTAACTAACTTCACTAAACACTCTTGATTACTTAATAAATGACACCAAGTACCTCAACATACAATCTGCCACAGGAGCATGTATGCTTTGTAAATTAGCTAAAGAACCAAATATCGCCAATTTTCACTTGGTTGATCATAACATACGTGTTATACATCATTACACTTTAAACTCCGCTCAAAATACATTCGGTGTTACCCTAATCCTAATTGGCTAGCTCAAGGCCTTCAGTATCTTTATAATTTTACCGAATTGTCATTCCAGACTTTTCATTCATCATGAAAAGTTTGAATGATGCTCATGATGCTTCACTGCCTTGTGGATCAGACCTTTAGGTCAAAGGCTCCGGGTGTGGCCACCTAAGAAAACCACTTGCTTCTGTTTGGGCACCCGCGCAGTATCACAGCCCTCACACAAATCGAATGAGATTTATGAGGCGCATATGTATCTGGTGCTTCCTTGTACCAATATTTATTTGTTTAAATAAATAAATTTCATTCATCAACCTTACTTGTTAAGCGCGTTTTCCAATTATAATTAGATTATAATCTGCTGTAATATTTTAAGTAACTGACTAAGTTTCAACATCGACACCAAATTATTGACTGTGTTGAATTAATCTGTATAAAATGAGCATTCAGACGTCGTAGTTTCACTCAGCAATTTCATCATACCCTTTTTTATGACCGTGAACTTGCCTATCATATTCTCATTCTTTAAGATATGACTTCAAATTAAGGTATACCATTGTAAAACAGGTAGCATTGAGGAATCGGTTTTACTATAGTTTGCAAATCTTCACCAATGCTGTTACCGATGATGTTCAAAATATAATTGAACTTGAAACTTATTTCATTAGCATTTATGAAGATAGGTTAAATGATCAAATCGGCTTTGTGGTTAGAATGTACCCCAAAATGCCCTGGTACGTCCGAGAGTGGGGAGGGTCCGCTCTCCCTCTCGAAATGCTCTCACATGGCCACGCGAATATATAGCCTCTGCCAGGGAAGTCCTACTCACTGCCTTCTCGTGGCAGGGGTGTTCACGAAAGTGAGAGGACGAAAAGCGAATGTCCAGCAGAAGCTTTAACCGGGTTGGTGGATATAGAGGATCCACCTAGGGGAGTTGTTAAACCCTGATTCCCGACCAATGGTTCACATGGTTTCCAGTATCCTGAGGGAACAAATGGCGTATGAATCAATCGTTGGTCACCGACTACCATGGGACTGAATCTCTTTTAGATGCTCTACTTCCTTGTGGATCAGACCTTTAGATCAAAGGCTCGGGGTGTGGCCCTCTAAGAAAACCACCTGCTTCAGTCTGGGCACCTGCACAGTATCACAGTCCTCACACAAATCGAATGAGATTTGTGCGGCGCATATGTATCTGGTCCTTCTTTGTACAAATATTTATTTTTAAATAAATAAATAATAAATGGTTAGAATGTAACTTCATCAACGCATTTGGATTGTTCTTGTTAGCAATTAGAATCCATGTTAATTTTTTCTTCGAATTTATTGTTGTTTCAGCCTACAGATCATAATTCATGGGTAGTTGGTCATACAATTGAAGAAGCACTTCGAAAAGCCTGTGAAAAATTCAACTGTCCGCCAGAAAGCTTAATTTTAAAACAAGATAATGATGTATTAGATACATGGTTCTCTTCACAATTATTTCCATTCTCTGTATTTGGTTGGCCTGAGCAAACACCAGATTTAAAAGCTTATTATCCTGGGAGTTTATTAGAAACTGGGCATGATATTATATTTTTCTGGGTTGCACGTATGGTTATGATTGGTTTGAAATTAATGGGACAATTACCATTTCATACAGTCTATTTACATGCTATGGTTCGTGATGCTCATGGTAAAAAAATGAGTAAATCTTTGGGTAATGCAATCGATCCGGTAGATGTCATCAATGGAATATCTTTAGAAGGTACGTTATTATTGTTATTCATCATCATTTATATATCTCTCTCTCTCTCTGTGTATTATGTTAGATATGACTGGGACCTACTGGGCCTTAATCATGGACATAGGTTGTATTGTCTTGCATTACGACAGATAATTTGGTTTGGAATTTTCAAAGATGGTGTATCGGTTTCCGTGTGATTGTATAGTACATCTTACTAATAAGTACTACTCATTAAAAAAAACCTGTGTAACGATGGTTTATTGATACAATCAGTTATCTTTCAACCAGTAGGTTGCAGACCCAAACCCCATTTGAGCTACCTATCGTATAGTATTATTATTCGTTACACAAAATAATGTATCTCAAAATTAGATACCGAACCTTGCACTTCGTAGATCACTACTGCGTAATCAGAGGCTCTCACCTCAATCCAGTATTACCTGGCGTAGAAGGGTTACATTTCAAAATCCTTGATAAAATGTGGACCCGGCAACATGATATTGAATATCTGCTAAACGACCATTCAGTATGAACATCTTGGTTGCGCAGGAAATTGGTTGCAGTCTGTATTAATCAGTGGCAACATCTATTTTTGTGCTGTGTTCAGTTCTCATGGAGGGTATCAGTTTTAATCAAGATAGAATGCATGCATTCCCGACCAGTTCTTAATAACACGAAACCTACGTTCTAGACTTTCTAATACTTCGCCTTTAATACCTAAGGCATTGGTCCCAACTCCCTGTTAGTCATGTCGTAGACTAGGTGAACTTCAGTACTATTAGAGTGGGTGTGTGTAGGTAATTACCACCTACTTATTGCCTACAACATGGAAGAATATTAATTTTCGAAGGACTTAGAAAGAAGATTGGGTTAGTAGGTGTCATGGCAACCTAACAGATTGCCGCCGATCTCAAGCGACCGCTGTTTGTGGCCAATTACGCATACCAGGAATTTTTAAGGTCAACCTTATTAAAGTTCTTATTGTGGAAGGACATCATCACTGATTATTCACGCTAAATATCATTCTGCTATCATACTCTCATTATAGTTGAAAATGCAACCTCTTTTTCAAACTTTAGATTTGTCACTTTTGATCTTACCACTCTCCTTCCAATTTGTTTAGCGTAGTAAACATCCTTTTAGAAATAATTATTTCAATTAGTGTAGCTCGACTGGGTCATCATAATCGAAAGACAAGCTTCATCACTAAATCAGGGTAACAGTCACAATCGAGTATTACTCCTTAAGTTAAAATTGTTTGATTGCTGACTCTTCATGCTGTTTCTATCATTATATCATTTTTTTACATAGATTTACAAAAACAGTTAGAACAAGGTAATCTTGATCCGAATGAATTAACACGTGCTCGTCAAGCTCAAGCGAAAGATTTTCCTAAAGGTATTCCTGAATGTGGAACTGACGCTCTTCGATTTGCTTTATGTGCTTATACAGCTCAAGGAAGAAATATCAATTTGGATATAATGCGTGTACAAGGCTATCGATTTTTCTGTAATAAACTATGGAATGCTGTTCGGTAATAAATGTTTATTTCAATATTATTAAGGATTTGAATTGTCTGGTTGTTGATATTCAGAACCAGATATTCTTTTAAGTCAGAAGGGGTTTTGTGAAGATTTAGTATTTTCATAGTTGAAAGCATGAGTCAATTGAAGCTAAACCACCAAGGAAAACCTGGAAGCATTGGACGGCCGTTTCGTCCCGCTTCCAGGTTTTCCTTGGTGGTTTAGCTTCAATTGACTCATGCTTTCAACTATGAAAATTCTTATAAGTGTTGGATGATACATGTGTGTATTCTGTGCGAATCGCCTCAGTATAACCATTTTTTCATACGCTTTTTAAATGAATGAATTGTGGTTAACAGTAGAATCCAGGACTCGAATTTCATCCTATCTACCCTCCGCAGCTGGATGTACGTGTATTCCAATGTTTCACTGCTAGCCACAATTTATCTATCCTAAAGAATATTTGATTTTCTAAATAGACCATCGGATACAGCTGGGAAAACATCCGTGTTAATTTTTTGGTTAGTCTTATAAACGAAAAGCTTGAAAGCTAATTCTTGTTAAGAGCATCTAATAATCCTTCGAAGCTATCTTCAGAAGCCGGAAAAAGTGTCCAAGATATTTTGACCAATCAGCGTTCGTTAGAAATCCTCAGGACGATTTTAGAAAACAACGGATTGAATGATTGCTAATATTGTTACCAGTTTCAGCATGTTTTCTTAAATTAGCTCTATACTATAAATGTATAAATTGCACAAGCAAGTGGCTATCAGGACTCAGTGGCCGAGTGGATAACGCGATGGTGTTTGAAGCGAAAGATACTGGATTCGAGTCCCGGAGTGAACATCAACTTTGAGATGCAGGTACATCCAGCTGACGAGTTCCAAATAGGACGAAACGCGCCTCAAACTGGATTCCACTGCTAGCCACTATCCATCTTTGCTTATCATGCTTGTGAATTTAGGCTATATCGAGGCAATACGCACAGTATGCACATATGCCAATTACAGACTGACCAGTTGCTGTCCTAAAAACATCAATGGGAAGATCCAAACAAACAATACTAAGTAAATATAAATGTCCTTTTTTCTGCGTATTGTATTGTTTTTCTGTTTGAAGTTTAAGAGTAAAATGTTTCTGAAGAATAAGAAGTCAGTGTCTAAGCAAGATAAATCAATTTTCGCTACAGAACGACATCACTAAGGGAACTATTTAAAAATCACTAAATGGTTGTTTCTTCGTGGTTTGTAGATCGCTGGTGGTTTACACCAACCCGGAATCTCTAGATACCTTGACGACTACAATACCATTCGTAATGTAGTGAACACATTTATATGGATTGACCATTCCTTATTTGATTTGTGTGCTTATTAACTGTGTCAAATTTTGTTTAGTTGATTCAATATGATTTAGTTAAATTCATTGAATGATTGTATCCTGTTTACTTGAAACATCAATCTCATCAATCTAATACTCTACTGTGTTTGATTTCCTTATATTGGATTAGTCTTAATCTTTCATTGATAGTGGTTTGCCCTTGTATCAATTTATCTTGTAGTGACTGTATCCGCGTGACCATATGAGAGTTCTTCGAGAGTGAGAACAAACTCCCCCTCACCCTCGACCGTGCCAGAGCATTAGGGGGATGGCAAACTCTTTCTTATCTTCTTATTCTTAAAAAGCTAACCTAACTGTTGGTCACCGGCTACCATGGGACTGCATCTCCTTACGATGCTCCACTGCCTTGTGGATCAGACCTTTAGGTCAAAGGCTCCGGGTGTGGCCCCCTTAGAAAACCACCTGCTTCAGTCTGGACACCTGGACAGTATCACAGCCCTCACACAAATGGAATGAGATTTATGAGGCGCATATTTATCTGGTGCTTCCTTGTACCAATATTTATGTGTTTAAATAAATAAAATAAATAATAAATCTGCGTTATAGTTGATATCCGTTAGTAACTCTCATTTCTTTTCTTTTTTTTCTCTTTATTTGATTTTAAGTTACGCATTATTTCATTGTTTAGATAAAGAATTTATCCCGCCAGATATGACTGATTTAAATAGTTTATTTAAACAATTCATACAACATAATTTATTATCTGGTACTGACCGATGGATTCTATCAAGATTAGCTTATGCTGTAATTCAATGTAATACAGGATTTATAGAATTTCAATTTCCTATAGCAACTACTGCTTGTTATCATTTTTGGTTATATGAATTATGTGATGTTTATTTGGTAAGTTTCTTTGATTGTTTCTTGTTTATTCAAAGTTTTGATTAGATTGAAATAGACTGTAATGTATACAGTTGTCATTAGGTTATATGTATTTTTGTCTTAAGTTTTAAAATACTGCCCCAAATGCCATGGTACGGCTGAGAGTGGGGAGGATCCGCTCTCCCTCTTGAAATGCTCTCACATGGTCACGCGTATATAGCCTCTGCCAGGGAAGTCCTACACACTGCCTTCTCGTGACATTACTGTTGTTTACGAAAAGCGAATGTCCGGCGCTTTAACCGGGTCGATGGACACGGAAAGTCCATCTAGGCTATTTGGAAAACCCTGATTCCTAACCAATGGTGTACATGGGCTCCAGTATCCTGAGGTAACAACTGGTCTATGAACTTATTGTTGGTCACCGTCTACTACATGAGACTGCATCTCCTAACGTTGTTCCACTTCCCTGTGGATTAAATTTTTAGGTCAAATGTCCAAGGAATAGCTTTCCAAGAAAACCACCTCTTACTGTCTGGGGACTGGAGTAGTATCCCAGCTCATGTACAAATTAAATGATTTATCGTGTTTCACATAAATATTTTGGTGCTTCTTTGTAGCAGTTTATCTGTTTAAATAGATAAGCTGCGAAGGGGTGTTAATTTCGAGCTAGCTGAAACTTGCTAACAAAGTTATATCGATCAGAATGTTCCTATGCCTAATGTTAACTCTAGTGTAATTGAGCGATTATAAGTACTCATAAGAATTTGTACCCGATTTAACTTTGTCTATCTTCGGTCGAATAATCCCGTTACAATATAGAAATAAGATGTTGAATAAGGGTTGCATTTAAGACAGGCTTATTCCAGACATTAATTTGAACAGGCAAACTGAATGAGATAGTATGGAAATTGAATAGACAGAGATAGGTGTTGTTGTTATAAAAACTTACCCAGTGAGTGATGGACGACTTAGTCTTTATATAATGTGAATATTAGATAATCAATTAGAGTATAGATGACAAATTTACGTAAGTCGAGCAAAACTACATAAATGTTCAAAGTTGATAGCACATAAACTTACACATTGATGTGACCTAATGCTAAAGTTTATTCTTTGAAACATCCACAAATGAACTAACTCAGCATCCCAAGATCAGAAAAAAAAGTCACACAACAGTTTGTATCAGTCTATCGTTAATTCATGATGTAATTGTAAATTTAATCAAGTGTTTGTGTTTAAAATGATTCAGCATAACTACAGTTACTATCATTTCTTTTTTATCAGTCAGTCAGCTACAACGTAGGACCAGGCACACATATACATCGGTCCAAGTTGCCATATTTCGTTAGCACAAGAACATGAACACCAGATTCATAGAAGTAGTTAATTTAGTGGTGGTAATATATAAAAGAAGGGTTGGATAAAACGATATAGTATAAGAAGGAAGTTATGAAACAATGTTAATCTCAAGGTTTAAAGGAAGATAAAGAGTGTATACACCTACACCATTGTGATCGATTCTGAGCCATGTCACCTAGAGTCTCTAATCACTGGTTACGATAGTTGCACGGACCCAAACCAAGTAGTCTGCTTCTACCAATATGGCACAAATTAGAAGTTAGTGACTTTGTGGACTGATGCCACGTTTTGGTTTGGCCACCCCTAACTTTCTTCCAACCATTGCTAATACTAGTCAGCATAGCACGTCGTGGTAACCGGTGCCTTTTTTATCAGTATAGGGTTGTGCGAATTGTTGAGTTTTTGATCAAGATCATGAATCGATTAATGTTAGACACAATCATTGAAAAACATAGAAGCACTGATCTGCCGTTTTATCCTAGTACGAGACTCCTCAGTAGTGCAAATTCACGATTCCGCACGTAGGGGGTTCGAACCCAGAACATTTGGTCTCGTACACGAACTTTTAACCTCTAGACCACTGAATCGGCATCCAACGATGTTAATGTTTAACTTTAACCAATCCACGAAATTACGCGTTCATCTTCTATTGTCTGATGTAGATACCTGTCTCTACCTGAATTCCTTAGTAACCTGTTTTTTTTAGTTTCAATATTATTCATATTAATCAAATGTATTTGTTTTCTGATCTTGCATATACACTACATTCACAGGAGTATACCAAACCTATTATCAGATTAAAACAAAATCATTCACAATTATCTACTATGGAAATTGAACGAATTCAATTAGTTTGTCAAATACTTTATGTTTGTATCAATTGTGGTCTACGTTTATTACATCCATTTATGCCATTTATTACAGAAGAATTATATCAACGTCTGCTAACTAGAAGTAATAATAATAATAATACTGTAAATACTATGGATAGTTTATGCGTGAAATCCTATCCTAAACTCAATGATGTATGTCTACTTCATTACTGTTTTCCATTATATTTACATAACTGATCTGTGTTATAGTATAGTGATTGTTTCCAAGTACAATATAATCGTTCATCAATCATTACTATTACTACTATAGCCACTAACAGCGAAGTCCTACTCACTGCCTTATTGTGGTGGGGGTGTTGTTTACGAAATTGAGAGGACGAAAAGCGAATGTCCAGCAGAAGCTTTAACCGGGTTGGTGGATATGGAGGGTCTACCTAGGAGAGTTGGAAAACCCTGATTCCAAACCAATGATGTGCATGGGCTCCAGTATCCTGAGGGAACAAATGGTGTATGAACCTATTGTTGGTCACCGTCTACTACACCTGCTTCAGTTAGGGCACCTCGTCAGTATCACAGCCCTTACATAAATCAAATGAGATTTGTGCGGCGCATATGTATCTGGTGCTTCCTTGTACCAATATTTATGTGTTTAAATAAATAAATAAATAAATTACTTGTTCATTAATTTTGAATGTATAGTTGGTTTGTAAAGTTAGTCATTAAGAAACTGAACACTCAAGTTTCGTACTAGTTGGTTTATAGGTCTTGCTGATTGATGCGCTATACTCAGATCCTAAACTAGTCTCGTAATCCCCCAAGCTATAACTACACAGCGATTTGAAAACGAGATAAAAGGCACAAAATACGCGAGAAGCACTTTACTCAAAAGGTTCATTTATGTATAGAAAATGTAGGGTTTTTATAGTATTTTAGAAGTCCTTGGGTTTTCTTGAAAATTCTAGAATACTACTAAACATAGCAGCAGTTTAGTAATCAGCCAATCAGAACCTCTACATGTGACTTCATTTTCGCGTTACTTTTAGCAAAACTTCTAATCGAACGCTGATTGGATAAAATGCTCCTTAATGTTTCCTGAGCTTGTCATGTTTGTTGCGAGAAATTTTCAGGATCATCCCAACATTGGTACTCGACAGTCAATGGCAATGTATACCTGATGTATCTAAATTCAAACCATTTAGCTTTATGTTATAAAACGTTACCACCCAGTTATTCAGGCTGTAATTTGATCTTCTGTAGGACTGAAATATTTACAGTTGATTGATCACTGAATAGTAGTAGCCAGTGTCTTATTTGCTTTGTTGTCTAGCTCTGTTGATTGAATTCTATATGCCCGCTAGTCTGGGTGATTCGACACGGATACGTGATGTTTGGATGTTAGGTGGTTGGAGTTAAGCAATTGAAAATCCTGAAGTTAAACTTCGTTCTAGTTGATACTCGTCAGAAATAAGGATTACCTATAATCTTTCAGGTTTCAACCAGGAAGTCGTGATTGACCGTCAAGTTCCAATCGTATACAGTTTTCTTTCATACCTCAGCACCAAGTTATAAACTAATTATGTCTCCACTTTTTCCGGAGAATGATTTGATCTTTAGGTTTCGTTTTAGGGGGAATTTTAATAAACGCTAGTTGGCTTAAAGTAGTTTTTCATGTTCTCTGATAGTACTGTAGTGAACCAAACACAAATGGGGACGATCGAATGTATTGTAGCACAACATTAAAGAATATCTCATTAAAATATGAGAATTATATAGTGAACAGTTAATTTGCAAACTAACAATCAATTGTCTCAATTTGACTGTTCCTTCTGCAAATATCCATCCATGGTCTCTGATTATAATGGTTCATGCATTTTCGTACCGATTGCGTGTCGTTCACATTCTCTCCTTATCGATCTTCTACTGAAATACATCCAATGCCCGACCATTACCATATACTACTTATATGGATATCAGTAACCTACACCACGGTACCGCTTATATTGCTGCTACTATTAACCCTGTTTATGGAATCATATAATCTTAATATACCATATATGTGTATTAGTTAACGCTAGGTTTTAAGAAACTTCTTTTCATTTAATTACGAGGTTCATCAGTTGGATACACTTAAATCAAATCATTGATATTTACAATTTAATTTACATCCACTATTCATTATCTCAAATAACTGAGAATATATTTATTCAACAATCAAGGAATAAGCATATATGAGACCAGCCTTATACTTGATTTTATATAGTTCAGATCATGAATCAATTGAAGCTAGACCACAATGGAAAACCTGGAAGCACTGGGCGACCGTTTCGTCCCATTACGGGACTCCTCAGCAGTGGGCATCTACGATCCCGCCTTGTGAAATTCTGATTTCACTATGAATCCATTGCTTTTTATATATTATAGAATAATATACTTTAATTCTAGTCTATATCAAATCCAAAAAAAACTTATTTCAGTGTATCATATGATCAAGTATAGTGATTTATTGATCTAGTTAGTATCTATAAGTAGTAATGTAAGTGTAAATCGAGGATTGTCTCTTTTAGATACCCCCCCTTAATGAGTGATTTTGTGATTGTGTAGCTGTATTGGTTTTGTGTTGTGTTTCTTTCCATTTACGGTAACATACTTGACAAATTTCTTCGCTTCATTATCGATCCTCTCACTATTAGGTAACTGTATTACGTGATGAAAATGGAGTTGAAGCAGATTTCCACCTGGTACTTAATATTATTCATCGTATTCGTGGATTACTTTCAGCTTGTCATATACCAATTTCACTTGCTAATCGTCAACCTTTAAATGTTTTATTAATTGCATCTGAAACTATATTATCTACTCTTATTAATGGACAATATGTAAGTGATGTAATTGAACCATTAGGTCGTTGTCGTGTTATACAAATGGTTTCAGATCGTAAAAATGGTAAGTGTTTAAATATTGTTTCGTGGATGTTATGATCATTTATTTCTTTGGGGGGAACCAAACACTTATGCGTCATACAATAACAATGAGGACAGAAGTAGTTATCATTGATTTGTGTAAGGGCTGTGAAACTACCCTGATACCCAAACCGAAGCAGGTGGTTTTTTTAGGGAGCCACAACCCCAGCCTTTGACCGAGGGATTTAATTCACAAGGAAGTAGAGCAATGTTAGGAGATTCAGTCCCATGGTAGTCGGTGATCAAAAGTAGGTTCATACACCATTTGTTCACTCAGTATCTTGGAACCCATATGGACTAATTGTTTGGAACGTGGGTTTTCCAACTCCTCTAGATGAACCCTTTATGTCCACCGACCCTGTTAAATCGTCAGAAATTTGCTTTTCGCCTTCTCAATTTCATAAACAACACTCTATTCGCAAGAAGGCAGTGACTAGGACTTCCCTGTCAGTGGCTGTATATGCATGTTCATGTGAGAGTATTTGGAGTAGACGAGCGGAATCTCCCCACCTCACAGGTCATTTAGGGTCTCCTGATCAATTGGACAGGAATATTTGTTTCAGTTCATTTTTCAATACATATTTTCTTTAACTGAAGATTTATTGAAAATTAGAAAATATTTGGCAGATATACATATCCATTACCATTGCACCGACAATCTATTTATGTTTTCCACTGGTCTTGGGCATATGTAACAATCTCTCTTTAATAGGTATTCGAATAACTTCTCTGCATTGTACTACGGGTCGGAATCTATTCATACATCAACTTATCATTTATAATTACTTGAAAACAGTTGACTTGATTATGTATATCACTATTCTATTCTTTACCTAACCACTATTGGGAAGGATAGTTACTTTTGAAGAATTACGAAATAAAATTATAATGTATACAAGAATTTAGTTCGAAGTTGGATCGATAAAACAAGGATCAACAAATCATAGACAATGTTACTTGTAGTAACCGACCGCTTCAGTGCAAAACGCCTTATAGGTTATTGTACGATCATAAGTTTATATTGTACAATGTTTCTAATTAAATGATGCACTTATTAGATATCAACCTGGTACGGCCGAGATTGGGGAGAGTCCGCTCTCGAAATGCTCTCACATGGCCACGCGTATATAGCCTTTGCCAGGGAAGTCCGACTCACTGCCTTCTCGTGACATTACTGTTGTTTACCAAATTGAGAGGACGAAAAGCGAATGTCCGGCAGAAGCTTTAACCGGGTTGGTGGATATGGAGGGTCTACCTAGGGGAGTTGGAAAACCCTCATACCAAATCAATGGTGCACATGGGCTCTAATATCTTGAGGGAACAAATGGCATACGAACCAGTCGTTGGTTACCGACTACCATGGACTGCATTTCCTTACGACGCTTCACCGCCTTGTGGATCAGACCTTAAGGTCAAAGGCTCCGGTTGTGGTCCCTTAAGAAAACCACCTGTTTCAGTTTTAACACCTGAGCAGTATCACAGCCTTCACACAAATCAAATGAGATTTATGTGGCGCATATATATCTGTTGCTTCCTTGTACCAATATTTCTGTGTTGAAATAAATTAATAGAATATTACACTATTGACAGAGTTAAAGAGAAAGTTCATCATGATAAGTATGCTTTTATATGTCAGGTTTGATTGTTCAATATTCTTGACGAAAGGTCAGTGGTAATAGAGAATGATTTTGTTGTTTGTTAATCTTTAGCGAATAAATCGTTTGATTACAATTATAATTCTCACATTTTTTTCTCTTAGCTAACACTTCTGGTTGTGTTAGCGGAACAGTTTCAGCAAGTGATATTTTATGGTCCAACGAAGAGTCACCTGTTAATACAGTCCCTGAAGATAATGACGATGCTAGTATGTTGAATGGTGGAAATCTATGTTCCGATGATCAATTAAATTCTGTACTTGTTATTAAAAATTCACCTTCAATCATTCCAGCAACTTGTCAAATATTTCTACATGTTGCCGGATTAATTGATGTTGCAGTGGAACAGAAACGATGTCAATATCGTTTAGTGGAATTGAAAGATTCCATTGAAAGTTTGGAGAAAAAACGTCAACATTCAACGTATTCTGAGAAAGTACCAATGAAAACTCAATTGATGGATACGAAAAAGGTGATTTCTCTTTTTATATTATTAGTCATTGCAATCTAAGTTTAAACCATACATGATAATTATTTATTTATCAGAAGGGGTTTTGTAGAAAATTTAGTATTTTCATAGTTGAAATTATGAGTCAATTGAAGCAAGACCACAATGGAAGCACTGGACAACCGTTTCGTCCCATTATGGGACTCCTCAGCAGTGCGCATCCACGATCCCGCACTCGCGAGATTCGAACCCAGGACCTACCAGTCACGCGCCAGAGCACTTAACCGATAGACCACTGAGCCGGCATCCAACGGTGTTAATGTCTAACTTCAACTAATCCACGATTTTGAGCTACCGTTCACCAATTGTCTTCAGTGAGTTGATATCTTTACAACAGACTTGGTATTTTAAAAAAGTATTAATTTTTGGCGTAATTTTTTTTATTTACATTGAATGGAACATGACATAGATCTCTGTTACTTGCTTACTGATGCTTAGAATAAATCGTCTTCAGTATACCAGACTATATAATTGATATTTGCGTGATAGGTTGCAAACAACGGTCAAAATGATTAGGTGACATGACAAACAGTCATAGTCAATGTGTAGGGTTTTGCACGAAATATGTATTGGTCCAAGTTAAAACATCATATCAGCACAGACAGGCAAAATTAACAAGATTAATAACGAAGTAATAGCCCTCAAATAACCAGGTATGTTCGATGGTGAGAATAGTACGCTCTCCGTTTCTAAATGCTCTCACATTGTCACACGTATACAGCCATTGTCAGGGGAGTCGTTCTCACAGCATTACTGTTGTTTACAAAATTGGGAGGAAGAAAAGTGAATGTTGGGTACTTTAACCAAGTTAGTGGATACAGAGAATCCATCTAGGAAAGTTGGAATTATGGTTATATGGCATAAGTAGTATTATTCAAAGTTATCAATGGATCACTCTGTATCATTCTAGTTTTGGTTGATTGCACTGCTAGAAAATCATAAACCAGAACTGAAAAGCTCTTCATTATTGTTTATTAGTAGAAGGAGGCGTTGAAAGTTGTTAATCAATCACCGGGAGTTCATAAGATCTCAGATTTCATCCCAAATGCAGTCATTGTTTAACTGAACTCACTCTTCAATGTATAACGACAAACCTTCATACTTATAGGCTTGTTACAACTATCTATTTAATCGAAACTAGTTCGTTTTCACCTAGAATTATACTTTAGAATGAATTCTTGGAATTCCTATTTTTATTGGTTTATGAAATTTGAATTTCGAAGCTAATATCCTATGAGTATATCAGTAAGTATTGTATGTTGTGACGAACGGTGTCCAAAATCTGATACTAACACACCGTATGTTATGCACTCACCCCCCCTCCCAACTGACTACTTGAACAAGAACACGAAAGTGAGCGAGCAAGCGTGTTGGACTACCGAACAAAATCCACATATATTCATTCATATATATACCACTCTAATCTTTAGGAAATCGATCCATTTCCTAGCCAGTGAGATGCAGTTGTCCGTGACTTCTAATTGCCACAGATACTGGCTACTTCTGATTGGCTCTCTATATCTATGTACTTTTGTATACTATAGATCTTAACATCTAATATAAGTATTTGGAACCGTTAACAATTAACTTGCAACTACTACTAAGTTATAAGCTGGAATTACTGCCTTTAAATTAACTTCCATGTTTGACTACCTTTTATTAAATCAGTCTAATTAATAATTTTATTTTTATTTGAACACATAAATATTGATACAAAAGGGCACCAGATATATATGCGCCACACAAATCGAATGAGATTTGTGTGAAGGCTGTGATACTGTCCAGGTGCCCAAACCAAAGCAAATGCTTTTCTTAGGGGGCCACGCCCGGAGCCTTTGACCTAAAGGTCTAATCCACAATGCAGTGGAGCATCGTAAGGAGATGCAGTTCCATGGTAACCGGTGACCAACGAGTGGTTCGTATGCCATTTGTTCCCTCAAGATATTAGAGCCCATGTGCACCATTGATTTGGTATGACGGTTTTCTAACTCCCCTAGGTGGACTTTCCGTGTCCACCAACTGGATTAAAGCCCCTGACGGACATTCGCTTTTCGTCTTCTCAATTTCGTAAATAACAGTAATGCCACGAGAAGGCAGTGAGTAGGAATTTGAGGATAAATCTTTTGCCTTTTATATTGTATGCTTTAAGTGTGTTTTATAATTTGTTTCCGATTTATTCATTCTCTTATTTCTCTAGTTATATGAATTAAACTTAGAATTAGAAGGATTAAAAGAGGTTATTTCCAATTTAAATGATATGAAACAAATTGATGAGAATGATTCTTCAATGACAATTGGTGAAATACTATTGGATGCTTTATGTAATTATCTTGATGTACAACAAATACCATTGGATCTGTTTGATCTTGAAGCGAAAATTGACTATATTCTAAGCGATGAATTAAAAGGAGGAGATCAAGTAATGTGTTGTTGATTTTTTTTGTTTACTGATTGTCTGTAGATTTTTGACCTGAAACCTTAACACATGCCATTTATATTTCGATAGTCGGTAATATTTTACCGGGATCTCAGTTACCTGACATCTTCTTACTGCCTACTTATGCCTGTTACTCCTTGTAGAGCATAAGATGCTGACCACCAATCTACAACCAACTCTGTCCTTGGATCTCCTTTTTCAGTTGTTCCTAAATGCTATTTATTCTTTTAATGTCTGCTTCCAATTCGCAGTGCAATGTGTTCTTCGGTCTTCCTCTTTTCATTTTGCTATGACGATACTAAGTTATGGCTTGTCTCGTGATGCGAATCGATGATTTTCGCAATGCATACTTTTTCCTGATTTCCTCTTCAACTGGTAGCTGGTTTGTTCCCTATCACAGTAGAATGTTGCTGATGGTATCCGGCCAACAGATCTGATGTATCTTGGGTGGACAATTGTTTATAAATACCTGTATCTTGTTGATGTTGGTTGTGGTAGTTCTCCAAGTTTCAGCTCCGTACAATAGAAAACTATTTAGAATTGTCGTGACATTTGTATTAAAAACTCTGACTTGGATGTTGGCTGACAGAAAATTGTTTTAATCCCCGGATGTTCTCTTATTGTTGAAATTTTGTCCTTGCTTTGGTAACCCGTACCTTCGCATCTGCATCAGATCCTCCCAGTTTATCAATGATACTATCCAGATACGTAAAAGTTTACACCTCTCCCAGAGCTTCTCCATCAAAGGTGCTTTGGTCGTTGTTCACTGTGTTGTAATTTAGAATCTTGCTCTTTCCCTTATCAATATTGAGGCCTACTACTGTAGAGGTTGTTGTCAGCTAGTTCTTTTTCATCGTAATTTTACGTTGCTTTAAGAAATGTGTGTATATGAACAATGATATTGGTTCTAAATAAGCAATGAGTTTTAATCAAAGATCGGATGTTTGTCTTGTGATATTTCATGATTAAGATAAAAGGTACATAGTGACAACTGAAAAGGACATTAGAAAAACGAGATTGTTTATAGCTACCTTTAGATAGTTTAAAAAACCTTTTCGGTAATGTACGATGGAACCCCGCCTTACTACTTTAATGACTTAATAACTTTCCTTGTCCTTTTCAGCTTGTATGATAATGTTTTTACAACTAACTAGTTGATAAACTTTCGTATATAAAACTGTGCGACAATAAGACTAATCCCGTTAGATCAGAACTAGAATTGATGACCCCAGAATAACACTAGATAATACTTTATTGAATACAATTACAAACAGTTAATCTCAGTGAGTCCGGAGTAGAGATGACAGGAAGAGAAATCACACATTTAGTAGTCTGTAGTTTGTCCACGCTCAACGACCGATTATACTATACTTCTGTAGTGAACAAGAACACAAATGGAACAATCGAATGCATATAAATACAAAATTACAGAATCTCTTGGTAAAATCTGAGTACCATACAAAAAAATACTTCATTTGCAAAATGTCAACCAATCATGTCAGACTTTATTGTTTCTTCGTTTCTACACCAATCATTCCCTGTTCTCTATAGTTCAATGCCATGTATCTTGTTCCCTATATAAAAGGAAGGCACTGAATATATATGCGCCACACAAATCTCATTTGATTTGTGCGAGGGCTGTGTTACTGCCCAGGTGCCCAAACCGAAACAGGTGGTTTTCTTAAGGGGCCACATCCTCAGCCTTTGACCTAAAGATCTGATCGACAAGGCAGTGGAGCATCATAAGAAAATGCAGGTAGCCAGTGACCAACGATTGATTCATACACCATTTGTTTCATTGAAGTCCTGGAGCCCACTTTTTACCATTTGTTTAGAATCACGGTTTTTCTACTCCCCTAGGTGGACTTTCCGTGTCCACCAACTCAGTTAAAGCGCCGGACATAAAAAAGGGAAACGAGATATTAGCCAGCAGTGTGTGTGAGAGAGAGATCAATTATCTCTATTGGCCTAAGTCCCGACCGTTGCTGATACCTTGATGTGGTGGTCGCGCTTGCCTATCGTGATGAACCAATCGAGCTATATTGACTGGAACAATCGTTCCTCAAGGTTCTACCATGCCAGACAGGTCGGTTGAAGAGTGGTAAGACTAAAAGCAGCAAACCCAAAGTTCGAAGGCGAAGTCATACTGCTGACTGTACAAAGGTGTGTCAGCAGTAAGGTGTTTCCTTCAGAAATCCAGCATAACAGCGATGCTGCCTTTCCACAAGGGGGGTGGGGTTAGAAAAGGTCGACCCCAAAAATGCACACGTCGCCTTATCACTCGGGTGTCCGTCTCCGGCGTTAAAGTCCCAACAACTACGGAGCTAACACAAAAATTACCCATCAAAAGGTCGTGTGTGACCAATCCTCAAGCAGTTGTTCCTTGGGCACTGCGGTCACGCTCTCAGGTCATTAAGACCACTTCTAACCCAATTTCCTTTTCAGGTATCTTTAGAAGAACCCTTCCATAGTGTGGGCAACTGGGAAGTGATAACTGCCCTTATACCTCTAACAGCACTCAAAACCACTGTATTCATAATCGATTGGCCTAAGTTTGATTGTGACCCTCCCCCGCCGCCAACATATTAGTCTTTCCAGTGACCATTGAATTATATCATAGATATATATTAGTGTATACATTCTTTTTATTTCAGTCATATATTGATTACGTAATTGTTCTTTCCTCTTTTATATTACCCTATCTCTATGGATATCTATTTAGGTTTTACAATATTGTCAAATTAAACAATGGTTATCATGGAGTATACGAATCTTATCATTGAATCATAAAATTGATTCCAAAAAATATTCAATCTATAGAAAATTGGTTGAAAATTATTTACTGAATAATATTGCACTCTATTTAATTGGTACAAATAAACCAACCATAGCAGATATTATTGTTGCTTATACATTAATACAATATACGGATCATTCTGAATGGATCTCTTTCAATAATAATAAACAACATATTGTTGTATGGTTTGATAAATTGAAAGATTATTTCAGTAAATCAAATAAGGTAAGTGAATTATATTGTTTATTTATTTATTTTATTTGAAGTAGATGGTTTTAATAAGGGGGAAGGCTACACCAGGAACTCCTCCGGGGGCTACTGCCGGTCCCAAGCCCGTGTAAAGAAGGAGGGTTGGGCATGGGGTTAGCGATCCCATCCCGTAGAAAACCAACTCGCTAAAAAACGATAATTAGAAAAAAAAATTATTCAAATCATTTAAGTACACCAGAAGTCTTCGACCTCTAAAGGTCTGATTCACAAGGCAATGGAGTAACATGAGGAGATGCAGTCCCATGGTAGTCAGTGACCAACGATTTGTTCACACAGGATCTTGGGGCCCATGTGCACCATTGCTTTGAGATGAGGCTTTTGCAAGTCTCCTAGGTGGATCCTCAATATCCGTCAACCCAGTTAAAGCACCAGATATTCGCTTTTCATTCTCTTAGTTTCGTATACAACAGTAACGCCGCAAAAAGTCAGTTAGTAGAACTTCCCTGTCAGTGGCTGAATACGCGTGTTAACGTGAGAGCTGACTCTTGATGGAGTTTTTTTCTCTGGCCTGAATGATTAGGTCGCGAAGCTTTCATCGTTTTTTTGTACTACATCATCAGCACAAACTTCGGATAGAAGTGAAGTGTTTGATCGAACTCCAATTGACTCATGATCTCAAATATTGAAATTATTTCTCAAAACCTTACGCACATAGGTCGAATATGCCAGATAGTATCTATTTAAAGAAGCTTTCGGTATCCATGTTGGATTTCTATCAGAAAACAGTTTATATTAAGTAATTCTTAGAAAGTGTTCAAAAATCTTCTAATTTTGTTTTAGATATCATAGTATTTTCAAGTCTCTGAATTCATGAAAATTATTCATCCCGATCACTTTCGGAAAGGAGAGCTTAGGAAAAGTCAACTTCTCGTTTATCTATCGATTGCCGAAATTACATGCCGGGGTGGCTACACTGGACTGTGGATGCCAATGTTTTTCTACTGACAAACTAATCAAGACTAGTTTATCTTAAAACCAGTCATACGTGATGTAGAACCTAGCACATGTGTTCATCAGTTTGAATAGCCACATTCCATTACCATAGCAAGATGAAACTGTCAAGACTAATCCCAGTATAGTACGGGAAGTAACAGTAATAACGGTAATAGAAAGAATTAGGTATCGAACATAATAATAATCAGTAAATAATAATTAGTAAAATAAGAAAAAATCATCAGGGGGAGAGAAAGAATAAATGCACCTTTACGTTACTACAAACAATTTTGAGCCATTTCATTCAAAGTCTCTAGCCACTAGTTACGATAATCATGTAGACCCTAGCCAAGTAGTCTACACTTGTTGACATGACTCAGTCCAATTGTCGATGAATTCATGGACTGATTCCATATTTTGGTTTGACCACTCGTAACTTTCTTCCAAATATACCCACAGTAATCATCTTCCTAATACAACTACTTCCATCTTTTTTTCTTATTTTAGATGAGATCACTTTTCAAATGAACTAGTGAAGTGTTACTGACTCTAACCAACTAACTTTAAGTTCCGAACAAAATGTAACATTGTAGTCATCATAATTTGTATTTATCAATGTTTGTTTGTTTGTTTTTACAATATAAACAACTACTGAACATTTCATTTTTTTGTGACCATAAACTTTTTCTTCTTTGGTTGAGCTAATAATTGTTGTTCAATTTCAAATTCATAAGTTAATCGAACTGTTGTATCAATTTGTTCACCATCTGGAGGTTCATATTCTTTAGTGGAGTCAATCAATTCCCCGTGTAGTTTTGGTGCATTCATATATGGACCTACTATTGTTAAATAATTCCCTTCATTTTCTTTTGTTACCCCTGAGTGATCATCATTCGATGATTCTGATGATTGAATTAGTTCAGGACAAGGCTGAATAGCCATTTTATACAAACTAGGAGATGTTTCGTATAACCATTTTAAAGCATTCTGTTGAGCAGCAATTGCTGAATTATACATGATTATTTCACGTTTTGCTACATTTTTTTGATAACGTGTCCAATTCTTCCAAATACCTATTCGTTCATCTAATTCCGTTTCACTAATGTCTATTGGTGGTCGTTGACGTAATCTGAAGAAATTACAAAGAAGAAAACAACGGTGATAACATAGATGCATGCGCAATGGAAGATTTTTAACTTAAGTTACAAGTTTAAAAATACTCTGCATTTTCCACAGATATCTTAAAAATAAACGTTGCTGTAGTCGCTAATCAATTTAATACAACAAGTTTATGTACTCAACTTTGAGCTACATTGTTCATGAGTGTATATAGGCTAGTGGTATTGTTCAGTTGCTCAAACGAAAATATGTGGAACGAGATTCAAAAGTGCGATGACGATTGTCACCTTGAAGTCTTTAAATAATCACATATAGTAATCTGAATATCAACTAATCACTATATATCTCAATGTAGTCTGGTGTACAAGTAAGTAGTTTGGAAGAAAGCTAGGAGCGATCAAACCAAGATAGAACGTCAGTCCATGAAATCATTAACTTTTGGTTTAAGCCATATCGGTAGATGCAGACTATCTGTTTAGGGTCTGGCCGATCAATGATTAGAAACTCAGAATCGGTTACAACGTTACTGATGTGTCACCTTCATCTTGGTCTTTACTCCAACACTACCAGTCGAGTGAGAGCTTATGGCGAACTGTCATCTGATTTCACAACCTCAAGTGGTGTCCGACAAGGTTGTCCACTATCCCCATTCTTGTTTAACTTCATTGCAGACCTATTGCTGGAAATAACACTCTTCGACTGAATTTTCAGGAATTGATCTCCTACCAGGGAACTCACTAATCAAATTAGAATACGCAGATGACATAGTCCTGTTTGGTGAAGACGCTGGCAAAATGCAGAGTCTTTTGTTAGAACTGAGTAATAATGCCATGATGTTTGGGATACGTTTCTCCCCATCCAGATGTAAATTGTCACTCCATGACTGGCCTGCATCAACACCTGAACTAAGGATAGGGAGTGAAGTAGTCGAACGCGTCGACAACTTCACTAGTCTTGGAAGTCTGATCAGCCCTAATGGGTTGGTGTCTGACGAAATCTCAGCACGGATTCAAAAAGCTCGTTTGGCTTTTGCCAACCTATGGCGAAGACGAGATATCCGTCTATCAATTAAAGGACGAGTATACTGCGCAGCAGTTCGCTCTGTTCTACTTTACGGCTGCGAAACATGGCCATTAAGAGTAGAAGATACTCGTAGGTTACTAGTATTTGACCACAGATGTCTTAGAGATATTGCTTGCATCTGCTGAGATCACCGGGTAAGCGTTGGTGAGGTTAGACACATGGTATTAGGAAATGATGGTTAATCAGTTGATGAGGTCAGGAATCTTCATCGACTTAGATGGTTAGGCCACGTGTTACGTATGCCTGAACACCGATTACCACGATGCGTTATGCTGATTAGTGTAGGGGATGGTTGGAAGAGAGTTAGGGGAGGCCAAACCAAAACGTGGCATCAGTGCTTGAAGTTACTAACCTCTAGTCTGAGCCATGTTGGCAGATGCAGACTACTTGGTTTGGGTTCGCGTGACTATTGTAACCAATGGTTGGAGACTCTAGGTGACATGGCTCAGAATCGATCACAATGGCTAGGTGTATACACTCTTTATCTTCACTTAAACCTTGAGATTAAAATTGCTTCATAACTTTCTTCCTTCCTATACTATATCCTTATATACTACCACCACCACTAAATTAACTGCTTCTATGAATTCAGTGTTCATCTTGTTGTGCTAACGAGGTATGGCAGCTTGGACTGTATCTGGTCCTACGTTGTAGCTGACTGACCGATATTTCTCTAGATAGAGAAGTAATATGGTAAGACTGGAGATTTGTGCGAGGCATTGCTACAGCTACACCATAGTGAAATAACGGTACGATTCCGTCGCCAGACTTTGGGTTTACTGCTTTTGGTTTTACCGTTCTCCCAGCTGACCTGCCTAGTATAAGACTTCATGGAGCAAGTGTTCTAGCTCAATTGGGTCGTCCCAATAGGTAAGACAGTCAGTATATTTTCTACACTAAGTAAATAAGTACGTTTTACAGTTTGATTAATAACTAAGCACTAGTAGTAATATGAAACTGATGTTGAACGACTCTTTCAATGTACTAAGGAAAACTGAATATCTAAAATAGCTTACTTTATTTCTTTCTTCAATTGACGATCTCCTTCAATATCTTCAATTGGTTTCAATGTTCGATCGAGACGATTAAGACGTTTGATTTCTTTTTCAATTCTTCTAACTTTTCTACTTATTTGAATTTGGGTATCAGCTACACCAACTCTTTTCTTCTTTTTTAAAGGTTCTGCCCTAAATAATTCAACTACTTTTGAAATTTGTATAACCTACATAGTAATTGATGTTGTATGCAATCCAGCAAAATGATTGATAGTTCTTGGCTGAATAAATAAACTTTGCACAAACAAGCTATTTATTGACATTATCATACTACCGGAAAAATGTATCCGTACCTTGTTAATCTGTTTAACATGTCTTTATATATTTCTTATTAATAAATCGCACTGGTACCCAGCTGATAAATATCTAAATAATATTATTGTTTAGTGAAACATTTTAAGCATATCATATTTTCTAAAACTCTTTAAAAGCAAATACAAGAAAAACATTGTAAACAGTTCAGTCTCACGTAACATTTGGATATTTTAGAGAAGATGGACTAGTTGGTACACCTAGTATTCAACTTATCAACTTCTGCGATGACAGTTCTAAATTAACACACAATCATCTGGGAGGGATGCCTTGTTACGGCCGAGAGTGGGGAGAACCCGCTCCTCCTCTCAAAATGCTCTCACATGGCCATGCGAATATATAGCCTCTGCCAAAGAAGTCCGACTCACTGCCTTCTCGTGGCATTACTGTTGTTTACGAAATTGAGAGGACAGAAAGCGAATGTCCGGCGCTTTAACCGGGTTAATGGGCACGGAAAGTCCACCTAGGGGAGTTGGAAAACCCTCATTCCAAACCAATGGTGCACATGGGCTGACTGAAGTATCCTGAGGGAACAAATGGCGTATGAACTAATCATTGGTCACCGGCTACCATGTGACTACATCTTACGATGCTCCACCGCCTTTTGGACTAGACCTTCAGGTCAAAGGCTCCGAGTGTGGCCCCTTAAGAAAACCACCTGCTTTGGTTTGGGCACCCGGGCAGTATTATAGCCCTCAAACAAATCAAATGAGATTTGTGGGGCGCATATGTATCTGGTGCTTCGTTGTGCCAATGTTCATGTGTTTAAATAAAATAAAACATTAATTCCGGCACAAATGTTCGCCAGTCGAAGTTGTCATACCGTATTAGCATGACCGAATGAAAATAAAACGATATAAAAGCGAATGTCGAAATAACGTAGTAGCAATGATAATGAGGAGAACTGAATATTGTTCATAAAAACAGTAGGAAGGTGTATGTGAAAGAATACTTGGGTCTGATTATATTTTAACTTCTTTGACTATATTTTGTGCCACTACTGTTGAACTGTAAAAACTTTTCGTTTACTCTTTTGTACCGTATTTCACTTTTTAAATACAACTGACTGATCACTGAAACATTTTTATCACGATTGAAGGTACATCTTATTAGTAAATCCGAAGCAGCACGAAACTCAGCTCTAGGGTTTCCTGTCAATTATTAACACCTTAATGATCTGCATGCGATTTCGAGTCGCCTGGGCTAGTGGCCATATTGAAACTTGACCAATGGGATTCTATCAGCGCCAAAAAGGACTAGATATATATCATGTTGGTCACTAACCAGTGACGATCCAGTTGTATATATCTTAGTTTTATAGGGTGTCAGTCGTGACCCGAATAGCCTAATGGTAATGTCTCAGACTGTGAAGCTGGGCGAAGGTTTAAATCCTGCGAAAAAATATCAATTTTTTTAAGACATGGACATTCTGCTGAATAATTTTAAATAGCGCGATACCAAGGTCCAGTGTTTCCTGTCGACTAACCTCAACCACCTGACACTTTTTAGTTTGATAACAAACTTCGTTTTCTTTGTATCCCTTCTTTACGGTGGTGTGTGTGGTATCCATGTGTGTGGGTCGGAGAAGTTGGACGTGATAAGTCGATAATAGAGCCTCCAGTTTCTCATTTCCAAAATCAATCAGCTAAAACGTAGGACCAGTCACACATATGCATCAGTCCAAGTTGCCATACCTTATTAGCACAACAAGATAAACACCGAATTCATAGTAGTTAGTTTAATGGGGGTAATATATGAAAGAAAGATTGTATATAAGGATATAGTACAGGAAGAAAGACAGATATGAAGCAATTTTAATCGCACGGTTTAAAGGAAGACGAAAAGTGTATACACCTACACCATTGTGATCGATTCTGAGCCATGTCACACAGAGTCTTCAACTATTGGTTACGATAGTCATGCAGATCCATTTCGGAAATATACCCACACCGTGTAAATTAAGCCCAAAACAGAGTTGGACAGTCTTCTGACCACACTTAGCAACAGTTCAAGTAATTCAAATGGAATTTTCTTCCTCTAAATGCAAAGTATTTCTCAGAATCAATCTGTATCAAATCCAAAATCAATGACAGAGTGAACTGACTAGGTGCTTCGACTGCTTCACTTATATTAGGAGTTTCATCAATCCTGAACCCTAACCGAATCTCGACATGAACTCAAAATACTTAGTCGGTGTTTGCCAATCTATGCTACTTATAATTTAGTCAACATCCTCAACTGAAAACCAAAGGACGAGTTCACTGTTTAATTATACTCTCTATTTTAACATGTGCATGTGAAACGGGGCTTTTAAGAATACAGGATATTCGTCGGCTACTAGTACTCAATCATAGCCGTCTTCGGAGCACCACCTGTGTATTTTGGGACCACCTAGTTTGCAGTGTTGAGGTTAGGTAAATGGTACTAGAATAAGACTGCAAGCCTGTTGATGGGGTGGTGAATCTATGTTGACTGAAGTGATTGGGACATGTATTACGCAAACCGAACTGCTGACTACCTCAACATGCAGTGTTGGTTGGTGTAAAAATAGGTTGATGGAAAGCTAGGAGTAGAATAACCAAGATGTGGCTTTAGATCATGAAAGCATTGACTACTGGACTAAGCTAAGGTTACTTGGTTGAGTTCCATGTGATTATCATAACCAATGGCTAAAGACTTTGGACGATATGGGTGAAAATCATCCCTAAGTTCCTAATTACTGCATAACCAAGTTTCTTAAGGTTTAAAGGCTGACTCAAAAATAAGAGATCAGTAAAAATAGGATATTCTTGAAGTCAAATATTTAAAAGGCAATTAATAATAAATGCATCTGCACTATCGTCACAAACTTTAGGCCATTTCGTCGGTCTAGTACTGTTCACAACTATTCTACAGATTTCAACCAGGTATAGATTTTCGGTCATAGTTCTGCTTGTATAATTATGATCACATATATCTTGGTACAACGTATATAACAAAATACAAGCATAAAACAGCTGTAGAGAACAAACAAGTCAGACAATGGGACAGACCTATGGTAGCAAATGCCCTGGTACGGCCAAGGGTGCGGAGAGTCAGCTCTCCCTCCCCAAATGCTCTCAAATAGCCACTCGTATACAGTGACTACTAGGGAAGTCCTACTCACTGCCTTCTTGTGGCATTACTGTTGTTTACGAAACAGAGGACGAAAAGCGAATATCTGACGCTTTAATCGGGTTGATGGGTGTGGAAGATCCATCTAGGAGAGTTGGAAAACTCATCCTAAATCAATGGTGCAAATAGGCTCCAGGATTCTGAATGAACAAATACTGTATTAACCAATCTTTGGTCACCGGCTACCATAGAACTACATTTGATGTTGCTCCATTGCCTTGTGGATCAGACCTACAGGTCGAAGGCTCCTGGTGCAGCCCTCTAATAAAACAATCTGCATCGGTTTGGGCACCTTAGCAGCATGACAGTCCATATACGAATCATGTGACTTGTGTGATGCATATGTATTTGTTGTCTCTTTGTACCAATACTTATGTGTTCTGTGTTAATTGTCCCAAACTTCACCCGAAAATGGATGATAACGTAGAACAATTGTTTCACTTCAACAAGTCACACTAAACACAATCACTTTGCTGAGTTTTTAGTCAGTTTCGAAGTCAGAGTACCATGAGAAATAACAAATAACAGATTTGATTGAGCTGCATAGTTAGTCAAGAATAGGTTTGTTAAACAATTACAGCGTAAATTGGATAGACTATAAATAATCTCGAAAATATTGTACACTTGTTTTCTAGTTTCGTGTAGTGGGGAATCTTACAAAATGATTATAATATGAAAAAATGTTTACCGATAGTTAATACATAATAATAAGATGTAGCTGCGTAATAGCTACTGATGAGACTAAACTGTTGCGTGAGAACTAAAATAATTTGAGGTCAGAGTCAGAACTGCTAGCCAGAACAGTATTTTACCTGGTAAAATTTTATTTAATTATTTATTTAAACATAAATATTGGTACAAGGAAGCACCAGATAAATATGCGCCATACAATTCTCATTCGATTTGCTTGAGGGCTGTGATACTGCCCAGGTGCCTGAACTGAAGCAGGTGGTTTTCTTAGGGTGCCACACCCGGAGCCTTTGACCGAAAGATCTGATCCACAAGGAAGTAGAGCATCGTGAGGAGATGCAGTCCCATGGTAGCCGGTGATCAACGATTGATTCGTACGCCATTTGTTCCCTCAGGATACTTCAGTCAGCCCATGTGCACCATTGGTTTGGAATGAGGGTTTTCCAACTCCCCTAGGTGGACTTTCCGTGCCCATTAACCCGGTTAAAGCGCCGGACATTCGCTTTCTGTCCTCTCAATTTCGTAAACAACAGTAATGCCACGAGAAGGCAGTGAGTCGGACTTCTTTGGCAGAGGCTATATATTCGCATGGCCATGTGAGAGCATTTCGAGAGGGAGAGCGGACTCTCCCCACTCTCGGCCCACCCTGGTAAAATTACACTTTTCCATAGAAATTATCAGATAATAAGGATGCTGTCACAAGCAGTCGTCATGTCACTAGACGACAGTTCGGCTTACTGTACGAAACCGAAATAATGGAATAGCAAGGATACGAGGAAAAGAGGAACAACATGGTTTGAAATACACTAAAACTTGGTTAAGAGTGAGTTGATATGCAGGTAAGAAGCTGAAAAGATGAAAGTGATATTATAAGGAGTAAAATTAAGGGAAAACTAACGACTGTAAATCCATGCTTTCCTGTCTTATGCTATAACCTATCCTATCAGCAGGTAATTCATGGATAATTAGTCTTCCAACATTTTCTACAGATAGTCTGATGATAAGATTTAAAATATGCTAGTGCATGAAAAGCGTTTTTAGTGGAACAGATACGTAGCGCGAGTACGTAGAAAATTACACGGGTCATTTTTTGTTAATAAACAACCCTGAGATGATTTCTTCATGGACCATTACGACCAAGCATTAATGATTGATTATAACCAGCATATACCGAGATATTTGGTGTTGAATTATAAGTCCATCCTATGCCACTCAGTTCCAAATAGACTTCTTTATAGAGGATAATAAAATAGAGGGTGCTGTATTCCTTCGATTTCATTCCACGGTAAGCGTTTTGTGTGGAACGCTTGTAGTTAGATCCCAACCGTAACGAAATGAAGTTTTTATGTGACGGAACCTGGTGTCTTTTGTTTTGTCTATTTTAAAAGGAATTGTGGCCTATGACATGATAAACGTGACGGATTACTTACCCCCTAAGTAATAGTAGTGTTTAACTTTAACCATACCGCTTCCAATAACAAATAGTTCCAAATGGTATTAGACGGAATAGAAGCTTTCCCTCAATGAGTTTTCGTATCGAGTAGTAGTGGATCATGGATGATTCCAAGTAAAAAATTAGGCATATTACAAAAACAAGAAAGGAATATCAGCAAATTATAGTGAAATACTGCTCTGAGTCCTTAGTATTATGTCAAGTTTTCTTTTGAAGATCTCCCAAGGAAGTCGCTTGGATCACCTCACTTGAAATTGAACTCCACGATTTGACTACTTGTAAGAGGCAGAAAGTGTACCTGCTGTCTATTCTGTTATTCCTTCGACCTATCGAAGGAACCAAGTCGTTATCTGGCGCGTAATCTTATTGTAGGGTTGATCATATTCAGTCACGACTCGATGCCATTGTAGTGACCGGCCAGTTTCGATAGGAACACGATTGGAATAACACAAACAATTATTGTTATTGTAACCAATTGTACCAGAGATTGTTTTACTGTATTTGTTTAACTGTGTCCGACTCACTTCTTGTTTCGCTATCCGACTTGTTCGGTTCGAACTTTTGTAACGGGGTTGAAATTGCTATGTATGATATACTAATGCATTCTATTTTCTTTCTATTGCAGGGCGACCGAACATAAACTCTTTAGAGGAAGAAGAGCAAGCCCTATGTACACTAAGCTTACAGGATGACTCATAAGACTACTTTATAAAACTGACTCTTCCCGCTGTACTCTCGCGCACGGCGCTTTTTGATTTTGAAATAAAGAGGCTCGTGATTCCCACTGTGTTCTCTCTTGGAATGAAGTCCTTGTTTAGCATTGTGTGCTGTGCCGTTTTTTAGATATGTACTGCTGTTATCTAATTGCTGATTCCACGTGTTACACTTTCTTACGCTCTGCCCATTTCGCCTGTACCCTTTCGAACGTCTCGGTATTATTTCGATACCACGAGATCGCTAATAAATATACTTGATCTGGATTAATAAAGCCTTCTGATTTACGAGTTATCAAAGGAAACAAGTCTTTATATGGCGCGTAATCGAATAGTAGTGGTGATCATAGTCCGTCCTCGACTTGACACCCACTACATCTGGTGAGCCGTATTTGGAATTCGCAATAAATCTGGTGAACCACAACTGGTAACCCAATTCATCGAGCACAATTCAAACTTGTCCATTTTTCCAACCCAGATCAATTCGGTGAGTCTGTTTATCTATCCTTATCTGTTGCACATATTCGTATTGATATTTTTCAATATATAATATTTTGGTAACTTAATATGGTGGATAACGATAAGAATAGCAAAAATATAGTAGACTCCGGGGTGCAGGCTATTAGTTTTCGACCGTTTCCATTTTTCCCACATGATCCAGAAATCTGGTTTGCGGCACTGGAATTTTAATTCGAGATCCGCCGCATAACCAATCAAAGGCAGAAGTACGGCTACGCTCTGGAGTCATTGCCCGGGGACCATTTAACCGCTGTTCGTGAGGTTGTCCTCAATCCCAACGTTACAAACGTTTACGACCGTCTCAAGGATACAATCCTTCGACACTTCCTCCCCTCAAGAGAGGAACGATTGAGAACCCTTTTAGCACGTCACCCTATGGATGATGCTAAGCTGAGCCACCACCTCACGCACGTGCAATCTCTTACAGGAAACACAACAGCTGACTCTAAGATAGTCAAAGAGCTGTGGCTCGAAGCCTTACCAGCGAGTATCAGACCAACTCTTACGGCTCTGCTCGAGGACACCCCACTCAACAAGGAGGCCCTCATAGCAGACAAAATTGTAGCACGGGTTGGGGCCAAAGACAACTATGTTGTTGCCTGTACTTCCCGTTCAAACATTTATTTCGATGCTAGACGACCTACGGCTCATAGGGATAGGGATAAATGTACCCACACCCGTCTCAGTTTTCAAGACTGTTCAAAAGTGCCAGACCCCAACGTCCCCCGACCCAGGTCACAATCCTGTAAAGCCATAACGACTCGCCCCAAGCGGGCATCTTCCAAGCCACGCCAGAAGGCGGTTTTGGAAGCGAGTCCAAGTTGGTGCTGCTTCCACCGTGCCTTCGGGGCCGGTGCCCGTCATTGTCGAGCTCCCTGCTCATACAGGACGGGAACTTCCCGAACCGGTGAGTAAATACGGCCGTACTCACCGGCCCTTTACCTCAGTTTGACCGTCTATCTTGCGTGCACGAGTATCGCACTAACGCTAGGTGCCTTGTGGATACGGGTGCTCAAGTTTCTGTCGTACCTATCAGTAACAGTAAGTCTCAAGCTACGATGCTTCGACTACGCGCTGCGGATGACTCAGTCATTCCCAACTATGGTACACGACAACTTACGGTCAATCTTAGCAAACAGCCTTACGAAGGCCCTTTTCACGTGATTTCCCGTCACGAAAAGTCCTTCAAGGTTGATCGACATGGCCGTGTCAAAGTAGTCAGCATTGATCGTCTCATGCCAGCACACGTCGATGACAGTGCCCTACCTGATAAGCCAAGACCCAATGCTAAACCCATCAAAGCTTCTAGCGGGATCTCTACATCTACTTAGGATCCCACGCTAGATGCACCTGAGACCTCATTCTCACGTCCCAGTCAACAGCACGTGTCATCTGCCCCGTCTACTGACGAGACTTCCGTCTCACGTCCAGACCAGCAGACCACACCGCCCTTGACCGTGGATGAGATTGCAGGCTCACGAGGTTCGAACGAGACTACCGTCTAACGTTCTGGTCGCCGGGTACGCTTTCGCGACCAACCTCATAACCAGCAGCGGATACAGTATAGGACCCTATCCCTATACTACACGAATGCCACACTTTTCTCTTTTTCCTTCATTTTTCTATTCATCCTGAGCAAACGCCTCCGAACATCAGTCAGTCACAATGTAAAACTTCGTACGTACGTAAATCAGTTCGAGTTGCCATACCACATTAGCACAGAGATGCAGTTGTCCATTCAAATCCCATAGTGGTAGAAGTAGTAAGAGTATAAGCTTTATGTGAAAGATTAGGGTTTGAATATGTTATTGAAGGAGTATAATACAGTAAAATAAATTTGAAAAGAGAAAAGGGATAGGGACATAAGGAATTCAGAAGATTAGTATTTGGTTGAACACAAAGAGTGGATGCACCTTCGCCATTGCAAACGATTTTGAGCCATGTCATTCAAGGTCTCTAACCATCGGTTGCTATCATCTCGCGAATCCCAACCAGGTAGTCCACACCTACCAACATGGCTCAGTCCACTTGTCAGTGACTTCATGGATTTGTGCCACGTCTTGGTCTGGCCACCCCTAGCTTTCTTCCAACCTACTCCTACACCATGAAACATTGCACGTCGCGGCAGTCGGTGGTCGGGCATACGTAACACATGTCCCAGCCATCTCAACTGATTAAGTTTCACTACTTCACCAATCGATTTGCCATCCCTACCTAGTACTCGTTTCCTAACAACTGCATTACTTACCCGGTGGTCCCAGGATATACGAGCAATGCTTCGAAGGCACCTATGATCGAACACTAGTAGCCTACGAATATCTTCTACTCTTATTGGCCATGTTTCGCTTCCATAAAGTAGGACGGAGCGAACTGCTGCACAGTAAACCCGTCCTTTGATTGGTAGACGGATATCTCGCCTACGCCATAAATGACGCAAGTTGGAGGAAGCTAGACGAGCCTTCTGTATCCGTGCTGAGATTTCGTCACATACCAGACCACAAGGGCTGATGAGACTCCCAAGATAAGTGAAGCTGTCAACACGCTCAACTACTTCACTCCTTATCATTAGTTCAGGTGTCGATGCAACCCAATCCTGAATTGACATTTTGCACTTCGAGGGAGAGAATCGCATCCCGAACATGCCTGCATAGTTGCTTATAGTGGTCAGAAGACTGCATGTTGTCAGCGTCTTCACCAAATAAAACTATGTCGTCGGCGTATTCTGAGTCCACAAGTGAGCCTCCTGGTAAAAGTTCAACTCCTGGAGATTGAGATGATGAAGTGCTATCTCTGAAATTATGTCAATGACAAAGTTAAACAAGAATGGAAAGAGTGGACAGCCCTGACGAATGCCACTTCAGGTAATCAGTTCTGATGACAGTTCGCCATAGGCTCTAACCCGACCAGTTGTGTTCGAGTAGAGAGCCTTTATAAGGTTAATGTACTTCTTTGGTACTCCTTTCAGTGACAAACACTGCCATAGAACCTCACGATCAACGGAGTCAAATGCCGCCTTAAGGTCAAGAAATACTACTATTATGGGACGTCTGAATTTGTGTCTATGTTCTAGGACCTGACGTAGGGTGAATATCTGGTCTATGCAACCACGTCCAGGTCGAAAACCAGTATGGTTTTCTCTAGTCTGCTCTTCACGAGCTTTGGTTAGACGACCTAGTATTATTGAAGCTAATATTTTAGACACTATATTAGTCAAACTGATCCCTCTGTGATTGTCACAGGAGGACTTTTGTCCTTTCTTATAGACTGGCATAATCAGTGATTGGGACCAGTCAGATGGAATTACGTCCAGTTCCCAGATTCTACCTAAGACTTCAGTCAATCTCACTGCTAGCACTGGACCACCATCCTTAAAAATCTCAGGGGACAACCTGTCAAGGCCTGCTGCTCTCCCTCGCTTCAGATTTCCTATAGCATTTTCAACCTCGCTGAGGGTTGGAGGACTTACATCAATTTGCCATTCAGGACGACTGGGGATCGTGGGTAATTGAAGTGTGGCTGAAGGCCAGTTGAACTGATCCCTAAAGTGTTCTGCCCATCGATAAAAAATCTCCTGGATTGAGAATGAATAATATGCCCATCTTTATCTGAGATGATTTCAGTGATATTCGGGTTCCTAATACCGGTTTCTTTAACGAGTCTGAATAGCTGCCTACTGTTACCTATTGCAGCTGCCTTTTCCATCTCACTTGCTTTCGCTACCCACCACTGTTCACGATCATTACTTCGGCTTCTTATAAGCCTGCGCTTAAGTTGACTCCGCTCTTCGTTATGTT